TTCCCCAACCACCACCTTTATATAAATTCTAATTGTTATGGAAACAAAATACCTTTTACTTATACTCATCAATCTAAACAATACTTGTTAATATACATAATAATTTTGACACAACTTTGTTAGTATATTCAGAAATGTTTATTGTTTTACATTTATGTATTTGTTGCATGTCATGTGGTAGAACGTAAACAGATATATCTCGGTATAACCATGTTAGAAAAATTAAATATGAAAATGAATAAAACCTATGTTACCAAATAATAATAATAATAATGAGAGATAACTATTGGTTGCATATAAAGTGGATCATTGATGCCTATGTGTACTTTAGCAGTCTATGGATTTGTGACTCAGCAATATGCCATGCTGGCATGCCAATATTGCCCACGCATGCATCAGCGATCCAGTTTGTTACACTGAGTGCATGCAACCCTTTATAGGGAAGGGTTTTTTAAAAACAAAAACAAAGCACACCGGATCTTGCTTTTAACTGGGTCTCTGCTTCCAGGAACGCTGTAAGAAAAAGAATCCTGGACCAAATGGAGCTTCATCTGAATCGGTAAAACATTCTGATGTTCTTATGCTTAGGCTGTGATCCTGTACCCCAGGGGTGGCCAACCTGTGGCTTCCTGGTGTTGCTCTACTACAATTCCAATCACCCCTTACCATTAGCCATCGTGGCTGGGGCTGATGACAGTTGGAGGTCCCTACCCCTGCTGTAAACAGGTGCATGGAAAGAAATTTCCCCAGCTGAGTGTGTACTGCTGAGTAAACATGTCCAGGATTGTGCTTTTGACACAAACAAGCATTCCTAAAGCTGACAACCATCTAGTACCAAAAGGATTTTTTACTTTTATTTGCAGCTGCTTATAAATCAGATGGAAAAGGCAGGTCCTCTGTCAGAAAACAAGTTGCCTGGGAATACTGACAGAAGCGACCTGGCAGCGGGCAGCACAAATGAAGAACCTCTCCTGGGAAGCACTGAATCCACCACTGCAAGCCTGCAGCCCAATGTAAGAAAGTGTAGAAGCTGTTCAACTGGAATTTTCTCTATACCTGATGACTATGGGGTGGGAGCATCTCTGACCACTGGCCTTGCTAGTTAAATCTTATCCGAGTTGGGAGCTCAACAACATGTGAAGGGCCAAAGGTTTCCCCACCTCTGCTTTATGGTGGTGTGCAAGAAACTGATTAGGTTAGCTGGCTATTTCTTGGGTACCAGCAATCCAAAAACAGCAGTTGGGAGCTCAAGCAAAGAACATACTTAAGGTAGATGGAAAGAAAAAAAGCAAATATTGATAGAAGTATCTGAAATGTATCTCTAGACCATAGCTGTCAAGCGTCCCTTATTTGGCAGGACAGTCCCTTATCCCAGCGCCATGTCCCGCTGCTGTCCCTTATTGATGATGTCCCTTAAATTTCCCGGGTTTCAAAGGAAGCAGCTCCTCTCCCTCCCTCCTTGCCGGCCAGGGAGGATGGAGGCTCCAACTGTGTTGCTTGGCTGCGTTGCACACCCAATAAGAAGTCTAAGAACGACGGGGGGGTAGAGCTTGCATGCCTTGTGCTGATCAAATCGGCTGCATTGCCTGGGGACTCGCCTTTGCTCAGCGTTTCCCAGCGGAGAGGCGACGGTGGTTTTCCTTGAGGCTTGAGGCTTTGTTTGGCTGCTGGCTGGGCTTTCTGCCTTTGGCTCGGAGGGGCTCAGAAGTTGAACATACCTGTGCTAGGAAAATCCCTTATTTTGGCTGCTGATCCCTTATTTTCGAGGCTGCTGGTCCCTTATTTTCAAATCTGTAAGTTGACAGCTATGCTCTAGACTCACCTTACTTTCCATGTGGGTACTACAGTACTCCATCTTGGGATGGACCAAGATGGGGTACTTTGAGTTAATTAGTGTTGTTCAATGAGAATCATTCTCTGTACAAATTTAATATTTATATCCTGGTTGGATATTTGTGATGATTCATTGGCTCACAAATACCGTTGAATAGAGAGTTAAAGAATGTTAGGGAAAGTTTAAGCACTAAAAGATAAGAAATAGCAAGACAGAGTTGCCTTTTTGAGTACAATTTATGTGGGTGTTACGTTCACACGTATAAGTGAAACAACGTATATTTGAAACACCATTGAAAAAGCCTGCAAGCATCCCATTATTCCCCTTTTGGTGACATTTTTGGGTCACTTCTGGGTTCAGCAGAATGTCCATGTGCACAGTCGCACACATATTGGGCATATCTAAAATGGCCGCTGCCTGTATTGTTGTAAAATAAACCCCTTGAACATTGTATTTTCAAATATGGCCCTTTGCTTAATTATAATACTTTGAAGAAATGCTTCAATAAATTCTGTGACAGTCATCACCTTTGTAGCATGCAATAGGAAAGGTTGCTTAAAGTTTGTCAGTGATGTGTGGTTTTCTTCAAAAAGCTATTCCAATTGCTGCTGTTAAGGAATTTTTGTAGAACTGTTTATAAATGTAACATGCCAACTACCCTAAAGCAAATCATATGAATTCTTTAACTCTCTGAATTACTACTGAGATTTATGGCGGTTATTTTTTCCCCACAGTTGCAGGGGTCAAGGCAACAGCCTGTAGTAGTTGTGGTGGCGGCGGCTGAAAATTCTGATTCTGTTAAAGGTAAGTCTTTCCAAGTGTTGTTTTCCCCACCCCACGATCTATAAACCAGAAGAAGTATTGAGAAAGTATTTTTCCTGATTTTAACCTGATGTAAAATGATGGTAATCCAGTATTCATGTCTGTCCCAAATTTTTATTGGCTATGTTCTTAGACTTTAGGAAATGCTTAAAATTTTATGTATGTGAATAAGTTGATTCTTTTCAACTTCGATTGTTCTGCTTAAAATGTTTTATTACACCAAATGTGCTGAATTCAAGAAGTTCCAATATGAGAAAGCTATGGAAGGCAAGCATGCAGAACAAGAGGCCAGTGTTCATTGACCCATGTTTTGCAGAGACAAATTCTGTTGTACAAGTCTTACATGAACAGAAATGCAGCATTGAAAACAACCATACATATTTAACTGAAATAGCAGTATGTTGAGCACTATACAGTTGGTATTTAAGTCTTTTAAACTAGATGCTGCAGAAGAAAAGAGGTAGTATCACCTTGAAAAAAAATCTATAAAGTTTTTTTGAACTGCAGTTCAGTAGCATGCAAGTGTACTAAAAGTACACCTTCTAAACTAAATATTATCTTGTATTGTAGTGCTGGATGAAATCTATTTAAATTCAAGGAAGGAGGTACCACTGCGCTACTGGAAGAATCTTATGAGAAAGAGTGGCTTAGAAGACAATGACATTGAGGAAATAGTGCATGATTACCCTTCGTTAACCGATGAACAACATTATCAGATGCTAAAAACTTTACAAAACAGATATGGCACTAACGATGCTTTGCTTAAATTATTAAATGGCATATGGGCTATGAAGCTTATACATATTTATGAAAATCTAACAAATGAATTAAAAAGCAAAGGTATAATAACACTGGAGACCGAAGACTAATATTTTGGTTTTTTAAATAAAACTGAACAAGAGCAGAATCTGCAAACTACAAACTGTATGGGTCTGCTGACCTTATTTTAGTGCATGTAACTTTGCTGAGGATGTATAAGCAGAACACGCTGCTAATATGGTAAGTATGGAGACTAGTACCATTTGTCTGGAGGACAACAGTGCATGATGCAAAGCTACATCTATGTATTTTGTAACATCAAAATGTGAGATTGTAACTTGAGCTCCTGTGAATTGCTGTACTTGAACATTTTTGCAATGAAATCTGAGCAGCTGCAAACAAACAGTTTGTCATTCAGGTTCAAAGAAGGTAGAAAATGAATGTACACAGTTCAAAATGATGCAATTTTACACCATTTCCAAATATCCAATGAAATTGTTACTGTAAGATACTCAGCAGAAAGGACTGGAGTATATTGTATCTTTAACACTTGCATTATCAGAAAAAAATGTTCTTTATAAAATGTGCTTCCTATTGTGACCAAACTTCAGTGTAATACCAAAGGTTTTACATAAATTGCAAAGCGTTTTTATTAACGTTCAGCAGGCTGAAACGAGACATAATTTGCTTGAAGCCAGAACTGCAGGGTTATAAAATCATGTAGAGGTCTAACTCCAGTGAAGAGTGGGGGCAGGGGGGAACTTTATATTTACAGTGAAATCTTAGAAATGTGAGATTTTATTTTTTGTATTTAAAAAATATACCTTTTGCAAATCTTTTATATTTAAACACTTGTCAATAAAACACTTTCTACTATTAAAATTCATTGCTTATGTCATATGTGGGGAAATTTACAAGGAAAAAAGTGAGATGAAAAGGAATGAAACAAAATGGCTCCAATTTACATAGCACATAAAATGTCCAAAGAGCCTTAACAGTGCTTCATCTTTATTTCTGAAGATGGGATGCTAGAAAATTGGCTTGCGGGGGTGGGGGTGGGGGGTTGAACAGATTTAGGATGTTTAACCTCACCATGGAGTGGATCCAGTTAAATTTATATTATGGGAATACCGGCACCTAAAAAACATCGAGCAGCATAGAAGGCTGAGTGAGAAATGAAATGAAAGACATTGGATGGAGTATATTTAAAAAAGCACTCCTATAATTGTCCCCCCCCCAATAGTTCCCCCCCTTAAACGACTCAGCTGCTGTCAATTTTTTAGAAGGAGCACCACTTTCCCACGGGGGGGGCTTTAAAAGAGGATTGAGGACATGATGGAGGAGAGGGCTATCGGTGGCTACTGGCCACGATGCCTACGCTCTGCCTCCGCAGTTGAGAGGAAGCCGTGCTGCTAGGAAACTAGCCTAGGTGGGCCACCGGCCTGATCCGGGTGAGGTCTGTCCAGCGGTAAACAAGGAACAACTAGAGCGCATGCGCGTCGATCAATCAAGGACGGCGGTCACATGACCCGCATCTGGGCCGGAGAGGCGTCCCTGCGTTGCCTGGTCACGCAACGCCCACGCTCACCGGAAGCGGCGCCTGGAGGCGGAGCTGCGCTTCCGGACGCGCCGTGGGTTGCATCAGCCTGTGCTGGCAGAGCGGCGTCGGCGTCAGGCGAGCGGCTGAGGAGGAGCGGAAGAAGCGGGATGGCGGCGTCGGCAGCCGGTGAGCTTTGCGTTTCTTGGGTGCTGAGCGAGGGCTGGGAACAAGGAGGCGCGCCGGGGCGAGGGCCGCGTCCCCTGGAGCAGAGGGGCGGGAGTGTGGAGCCACAGTGGGGTGGTTTTAGCTGTGCAGTATCTGCTGAGGCGCCATATGGGGCACCTGCGGGGCTTTCCCTCATGGGGTTCAGTGGACCACCTGCCCAGGGCTGTCGTGGCGCTGCCCCGCTGGGTCTCCTGCGACCGACAATGGGCGGCCCACGACGCTTTTGGTTGTCGTGGAATCCTCTCCGATGTGACTCACCGACGAGCCAGTTTCGATTCCCGGGAGCCAGCGGCTTCCCTAAGCAGGCGACTTTCAGCCAGGTGAGGTTTCCCTTTCGTGAAATGGAGTTGGTCGTCTTTGCAACCTACGTCCCGGGGGCATTTGTAGGAGCCCCTCTGGTTCCAACGGCAGACCCAGCGTCCTGGTCCCTCAAGGGGCCCGCCAGAGGGCCACTGGGGAGTGCTGGGTGCGCGGTGGGTGGGATTCGGATGAGTACTGCGCCTGCACCAGGAGGTTCCATGTAGCTGCTGTGCCTGACATTAAAAGGTCTGAGGGACAGGTCTCCCCAAGCCAGCAAGCATCACTGAATGCTGGGGCCGTGAATTGCAAACACAGAGTGACAGGTGTCACGAGAAACCTTATTATTATTTATTAAATTTATGTACCGCTCTTCATCCAAGGATTGCAGGGTGGTTTACTGTATTTCCTTTTGTCAGTTCTGAATCTACTGCCAGTCGTTTTCATTGGCTGCTACCCTGATTTCATTTGCCTCATATCTTTCTGAACTCTTGTCATGCCTTCCTTGTTCATCTCCCTGCCACCCCAGCAACTTAGCTCACACACACACACACACACACACACACACACACCCCGCGCGCCAGATTTAAATTTTCATTAAGGGAGTGATGTTCCTGCACTCTGGTATTTTAATTAAGATTTATTGGAAGTACCTTTTCCAGTGTTGTGCTCCTTTTTTAGAGGTGGGATGACCGAGTACATGGTACTCCAAACATGGCTTTGTATGTTGATTAATGTAGTGATTGTAAAACACTGTGTCCATTAGTTAGAAAATGCTGTGAGAACATAAGGAGAACATTTGCCATACCCTTTTCTTTGCATGAGAAGGTGTAAGGTAAATAATATTTAAGGCTAGTGTAGATGATCCGTTTGACATGTTGTGAATTTGTCTTGGATCTTGCCCATTTGATTGTGCAGCTGCTGTAGTGCATGCTATTCAGATGCAATGCTGCTGAAAGCAGACTGAGAGACACCATGGCAATGTGGATTGAGCTGACTCCATCACATGACTGCTTCATGCATGCCAGCTGTTGCATGGATAGTCTCCATCCAGATTAAAGCTTTACCAAAAGGGTATTGTGAATTAGCCCTAAGTGATCGTGTTTTGGCAGCTATTAGTATTTGACTGCATTGAGGACCATGGCTTGAACAGAGCACACACTATTGATTATTCCAAAGCATTCCTGGTGTTATCATGTGGTCATCTGGTCTTGCTTAGGTCACCAGATGCCCTGTTATTAACCTGGGCTGTTACTGAATACAAATGTTTACTTCCACATAGGGTGCCAGGAAAAGTCTTCAGTACTATTTCTATTTTGGTAATACTAGTACTTTGTTTAGTTCATATGAAGGTAAGCCAAATACCATGAAAACATCAAGCAACTCCACTAATAGTGTTATATAAAAGCTTATTAGCCCTCAGGCCTTTGGATACATATCAGTTTCCAAAAATAAGGTCATTATAACTTTCTAATTGACTGTGCAATCCCTTGTAAGGCGACTCAGACATATGTCCTAATGGGACTTATTTCTAGGTATGTGTACAGGAATTCAGTCTGTCTCGACCTTCTTTATCTAATGAAGACTGCTTTGCTTACCTTGATGGAATCATCCCTGTTTGCTTCCATTTAAACTAGGGTTGGTTAGACATTTGTTTAAAGAAAACAATTGATCATATTTTAAAAATAGGAATTGCTTTCAGACTAGTCTCTGACATTGGTTCTGTCTAGGCCCTGAAATCCAGATACCATGCCATATCTATGCCCTGCCAGACTCCACATGCTATGATAGAGTATACTCTTATGACTCAATTGAGTAGCATGCAGTGTACTTAGCATTTCCATTTAAACGCATAATTAAGTCTTTGAGGTAAATGTGCAGAACCATTAATTTAAAAAGAAAAGGGTCATCAGTTTGCATTCCAGAGCATGTATGTAAAAACCTGCAAGCTTTGTATCCTAGATCACTTATATTTCAGGTAGTTGTCATGAGGGAGTTACTGTTGTTAACTACATATTTATTATGAGCATATTTATACCTTCCCACTTCCTCCAAGGATCTCAAGATGGCTTACAACAGCCTTCTCCAGCTGATACCTTCCATATGTTTTGGATTACAACTCCCATCAGCCCCAACCAGTATTAGAAACTCAAATATATAAGCTAGGTGCCAAATGGCACCATAAATCTAGGTTACCGTCACCACAACGAAATGTATATTCACCAGGGGGCTGGACTAGATTACCCTCGGGGTCCTTTGCAATCCTACAGTTCTGTGATTCTATGTTACATTGCTTGACTGTAGCTTGCTCTTAAAACAATTCACTTGTCCCAGTGCAAGAAGGAGAAAAACACACAGTAGAAAGGAAAATAATATTAATGATGGACTGAGGCAGAGGTTTTTAAACTGTGGTTGACAACCTGGTGCCCAGAAATAGCCACATAGTCACAATTGGACCCACACCGGTAGCAAATTGCGCCTGGCATTTCTAACACTGAATTCAACATGGTGCTAAGTGGGGTATGCACTTTCCCTTCCAGACCATGTTCCCTCAAACCCCAGAGCAAATTGTGGGGGGCACGGGAGGAGCAGGGGAAGTCCTGTTGCACAAGAGGGCCTTGTTCCGCGCATGCAACAACTTAGTTGAGCATTTCTCAAACTTGGGAACCCAGCTGTTGTAGGACTAAACTCCCATCATCCGTAACTAGCAAGACCAGTGGTCAGGGATGGTGGGAATTGTAGTCCAACAACAGCTAGGGAGCCAAGTTTGAGAAACACTTTGTTGAATCCCACCCAATGCTGTTCTGCTACTGACAGCGTAAAAGAGCTTGCCAAATCATTGTGCAGATGCTAACATGCAGTTGAGGCATGCTTGGATTATTCAGTTGTGTGGAAAATGTCCAAAGAGGAAATTTGTATATTGTTGTTCAGAGATGCACAGTTTGACTTTTGAGCAGGGGCAAGTGAGACTGCAGCCCAGGAGTCCAAGGGTCAAGCTACACATTATTTTAAGCATGCTTTCTCCAGCCACTTCCTCCGTGCACCCCCACCCCGAAACAAACAGTAGCTTTTTGTGACCCTAATCCGGATCAGGATCACAGTGAATGGAAATAAAGTCTGTTTCTGTTTATCATCATTGCTTTGTTTCCAAATGTATGTTTGAGGAAGAATGCAAGCAATGACAGTAACTAAATATCTAGCAAGTGATACTTAGCCAGAGTAAATTAATAGCTCATATGGCTGACCTCAAATATGCATCTGTGTGTATAATGTTTACAAGCTTTAAGCATACAAATTAAAGTTATTTAAACTGTTTGCTGAGTGTATGATTAAACAGGAATGGTTTGGGGGTATTTAAGAAGCTAACATTAGCTGACCTATGGCCTGTGGGTCACCTACATCCCTTCTTGTGGCCTTCCTCTCTGTCTAATAGCAACCCAAGCTTCAGACTGAAGAAATCAAACAATGACTCTATGCCACAGAGAGATTATAATGGGTATAATGTTAATTAGATGCCGGTTTCTGCCCCACCCCAACCTCCTCCATTTTATATGGTCTTTGTTATTTCAGTGGGACACCAGCTGCTTCCTTTTCTGTGAGGCTGAAATTTTTTTCTGGTGATTTTGCATCGGATCCTGGAACCCTAATGTCTAGTTGGATGTGTTTTGGACTGCAGCTCCCATCAACTCAAGCTATCACGGCAAATGATTGGGAGTTGTAGCCCAAAACATCTTAATGGCACCAAATCAGAGAAAGCTAACCTAGAGGACAAGCAAACATATAGCAAGCAAAGGTTGTATCAATCTTATGTCCTCTTGTTCATGATTTTGTGGGACTCGGACTTCATCATTCTCCTGAATTTTTCTTACTTCCAGGGCCTGTTGCTTGAATTGCTGCTTAGTCTTACTGTTCATTTGGAATGACTGAAACACACTGTTGAGATATGATACATTTTAATTGTACACACAGTGTATTTATTTGACAGAGGATGTTTTCATTACTGGGTCTGTAACGTTAGTCAAATACATGTGTTAAAGTTGCAGTAAAACCTGCATTATTTTCTGCATGGTCTGTCTTGCTACTGTACCACAGGCATTGACTTTTTGTTAACCTTTTAAGTTCTCTCTTCAGTTTCTTATCCCCTTACCACTAGCCCAGTTGGTTGGCACACATTAACATGAGAAATAATTTGTGATTGTCTAATATTGCCTACATTGTTTTACCAGGATATATATCCTGGTTGCTTTCACTAGCCACATAGTTTGTTTTAAAGTATAAACAGCCGAGCCAGTGTATTAAAAGCACTGGGCTTCATTCTGTGCCTAGAAGTTTGCCTTGGGGCCCAGGCTGACAATAGAAATTGTAGCAAGAAACTACTGTGTGTTTTTCTCCTTCTTGCACTGGGACAAGTGAATTGTTTTAAGAGCAAGTAGCTCTTTTCTTTCCACCTAGCCAGAAATAATGGTGAAATTGAATTCCTAAGGGTTTGTGTAGCTGCTTCCTTCATCTCTATTGTTTATTAGGTGGCAGGAGTGGAATGTAATCTGATATACAATCAGATTTTAACATGGGAACACCTACTTGTAAGTCAGCCTTGTAAGTCAACTCCTGGGGTTTTAGTTAACTAGACAGCCAAAAAAATTACGTACCTGCCTGCCTTTTACTCATCAGAGGAGCCATCTATGAGTGAAAAAACTGGCTAATAAAGAAGTTTGCAGCCCAGAAGCATTTAACTCCCCGCTTTCTCCTCCTCCCCTGCCCCCCTGGTTGCTCTGTTTTTCTTCCCTCCTTAATAGGAAGAGGATTCTGGTTCGCCTTTCCCCATTTTAGCATGTATTGGTGTTCTTTGTTGCAGGGGTGCACCTCCTGATCTGGGCTTTAGCTGCAACCCCCATCATTATCTCCCCAGGGGGGCAGTGTGGGCAAATGAAAACACTGGAGTCTGGAGTCAGCACAGGAGGTGTTTGACCACACTGTCAGAGAAGGGAAGGGCTAGAATAGTCCGCTTTGTTAGCCCAGTTTGCTCTTAGGCTAGTGAAACAAAGTGCTCTGTCCATGCTTTGCCAACCCAATTGGGTTCCATAAAAGCAAGAAAGAATAAGTGGCTTCACTTCTTACATGGCCAGTACCAAAGCTGATTGGGAAGGCAAAGCTTTCTGGTTTCCGCACCCAATCAGTTTTCATATTGTGAAAGTGGCTTCTTCTGCAACAAGTATGGAAGCCATTTGGGCAGTCAATGCACAACCTTCTGTCCCTGCTTGGACAGCCCAGTCACTTGCCTGGAAGGAATTCCATGCTTTTGTTTTATGTGGAATGCCTGGTTACCAGCGGTGACAAAGCAAGTGGTTAAATACATTAATGGCATAAGTGCATTACAATTCCCAACAAGTGCATGTACTTTCCAATTGTATATTTCACCAAAAGGTGGAGCAGTTCTCCCTTAAGTTGCTCAACAATATGAAAATTATTTCCTGAGTGGGATCTTCAGCCAGATGGTGATGCAGCCTCTTCTGAGCCTCAGCCTGGACTTTTCTTTGCCTACAATGCTCAGTTCTCCTGTTCCAACTGTTCCCGGAGTAGTGATATCTGTATATTTGAGAGTTAAATTAGGATTTCCTGTAATCTGACAACTGAGAAAACATGGCTTTATAGTATATATTGAAACAAGCCTTTATGAACTACCCTATTATTTTTTTTAACAACAGATATTCCAGCCTTGCTATATACAAAGTTTTGAGCCCACCAGCCCATGCATACCTATGATCCTTATATATTTCCCTGCTTGGTTGCCTGGTGGCAATGTAGAACCCACAGGGCACTCTGTTAGCAACTCTTTACAAGACTAAAATCCTCCTGCGTTTATCATGTTTACTGCTTTTTCTTTCTCTGCATCGAATGCTTTTTTTTACTTGTCTTATTTCCCCTATTTGGGCTACTTGAGTATTTGGTGCAATATGGCCTGGCTGCTACTGCACCATTAACCCCTTAATGTGCCTAGCTACCCTCCCCATCTGGGCTGTGAGGGATGCTTTATTACTGGGTGCTTTTAAAGCATGGGATCTGACTGCTTGTCATCTGCCTCTGTCTTTACAGCTTCTGACTACAATTGTATTCTGAGCATTAGTGAAGAGGAAGCCAGGTTGAAGGCTCTGAATGAGTACCTCAGCACTCGTAGCTATATCCAGGGGTTCACATTTTCACATGCAGATGTGGAAGCTTTCAGGCAGCTTTCGGGCCCGCCTGTGGACCAGCATTTCCATGTGGTTCGTTGGTACAGGCACATAGAAGCAATTTATGATGGCAGCAGAGGAAAGCATGACTCCTGTAAACTCCAAACAAGTGAGTAATGGCAGGGGCTAGTGGGCAGCGAGCTAATGGCTGTCTTAATATATATATATATATGGAAAAAAACTTCCTATCCAAGATTATTCTGTGATTTTATTTATTTTTAAAAAGCTCCTACATTTGATAGCCATAGACTTCTGGGTCATTACAACAAATAATCAGGCTCTGTTTCTTTCTTATTTAAAATATTATTTATTACATTTATATCCTTTTTTTTCTGCCAATGAGTTCAGGGTGGTGTACAAGGTTTTCTCCTCCCCTCCTCCCCTCTGTTTAATCCTTACAACAGCCTTGTGATGTTGGTTAGACTAAGAAGGTGTGACCAGCCCAAAGTTACCGTATTTTTCGCTCTATAAGACGCACCAGACCACAAGACGCACCTAGTTTTTAGAGGAGGAAAACAAGAAAAAAAATATTACAAATCTCAGAAGCCAGAACAGCAAGAGGGATTGCTGCGCAGTGAAAGCAGCAATCCCTCTTGCTGTTCTGGCTTCTGGGATAGGTGTGCTGCCTGCATTCACTCCATAAGGCGCACACACATTTCCCCTTACTTTTTAGGAGGGAAAAAGTGAGTCTTATAGAGCAAAAAATACGGTACTTTGTGAATTTCATGGATCACACTGCACCCTCCCAGTCTCAGTCTTGCTGGAACAAATGTGCTTTTGGTAGATGCTGAAAAGAGTACAGCCCAAGGTACCTACCTGCCTGATGTCAATAGGCAGGAAGTTCCAAAGTCTAGGTCATGGGTAGGCAACTTAAGGCCCAGGGGCCGGATGCGGCCCAATCACCTTCTCAGTCCGGCCCGCAGATGGTACAGGAATCTGTGTGTTTTCTACATGAGTAGAATGTGTCCTTTTATTTAAAATGCATCTCTGGGTTATTTGTGCGGCCTGTCTGGTGTTTTTACATGAGTAGAATGTGCGCTTTTATTTAAAATGCATCTCTGGGTTATTTGTGATGCATAGGAATTTATTTATTTATTTTTTCACAATATAGTCCGGCCCACCACATGGTCTGAGGGATGGTGGACTGGCCCATGGCTGAAAAAGGTTGCTGACCCCTGGTCTAGGTGCTGCCATACTAAAAGATGGATTTTGTTAATCAGCTTTGACTGAACAGGCAGCTTTTACGAAAGTGTACATCAAATGCAACTGGTAAAACTGCTTATTTGACACAAATAGGGGCAGTCACTTAAGTTCATCTATGGACATGAATTGTCAGAGGCTAAAGTTAAAATTTTCTCCTTATTGCAAACCCATGTTCAAAATGGTATTTGCAGTCTTGTTTTTAGTGCTGGTGTGTGCCTCAATTGGCTACAGATTGCCTTCCAAGGACCCTAGATAAGAAACCTGCAACCTTATTATTGAACATCAACTCCCGTTATCCCTCACCATTGGCCATGGTGGCCAGGGTTGATGAGAGTTATAGTCCAACAACATCCTGGCAGGCCACAGTTTTCACCATTCTTATCATTGAATTTTAAAATTGGAAGGGACCCCAAGAGTTATCTAGTCCAACACCCTGCTATGTGGGAACCTCAACTAAAGCATCCATGATAGATGACCATCCAACCTCTGCTTAAAAATCTCAAATGAAGGAGAGAGCCCATTCCACCGTCGGAACAGCTCTTAACTGCCAGAAAGCTGTTCCTGGTGTTTAGTCAGAATCTTGTTTCTTGTAACTTGAAGCCATTGGTTGAATCCTTGCAGTGCTCTAATAGTGTCAGAGAACAGGAAAGGAAAAGAAAAGAGACTTTGTTACATTATATGTGAGTTTTCTCTGCAATGACAAACACGAATCTACGCAAGTACCTATAATGAGTATTGTTAGTGGCTGCTTTCATACTTCCCAGAAAACCCTGTCAATTATATCTTCCTTATATTCCCTCAGGTGTTCAGTTGAGCTCTGTGGTATGGAAGACTCATCCAGGTGTATTTCAAACACATTGTTTCCCTCAAAATATACTCAGATGGTCATTGTCAAGACTGTGCCTTTTCAATTTGTTTAGTGGAATGTTGGCATTTTTCTCCGGGGACACCAGAGGGTGAACTGGGAGAATTATGAAAACCTCACTGAGCAAGCGTCTTCATACCTTTGTTGAGGTGGTAGTGCATTTTATTAGCATTTGAAGCTCCGTAGGTAGAGTCTGAAAACAGAAGAGATTGGTGTGATGTTTAGAAGTGCAGATAAGAATTGTACTTGAAACTACAAATAAAAATGCAACAAACCAAGATAAAATAAATGCTTTAAACCTTTAAGCAGAAGATAGGAACGACTATTGGTTTTATTTGGTTTCATTTTCAAGGTGTGTCACATAATGGTGAACACAGTGGAAGTGATTAGAATGATAGCTGTTGTTTCTGGCAGGAATATTTGAATATTTGATTTGCCTGAATGAATAGTTTGGGTAGATTGTTGTATGTTTTTCTTTTGTGGTTAAGGTTATCATATTGTGGCTTATGCATTCTTCTTATCTGGAGTCTTCTGGAGCAAGTTTTGATTGTGTGTGCTGGTTTAATCTTTTAGAAATTAACCTCCTTGGTGGCCATAATTAATTCTCTGTGTGTGTGTTGAAAAAGCAACCCAAAGGACAGAATTAAATTGCTTTGTGTATGTTCCTTAAACTCAACCTTAAATCAATTATTTCCACTGCTTATGTCATAGTGAAGCCTTATTTAAGCGAGAAAGACATGTTTTTCTGGTTGCCAAATGGAAATAACTGGGAATCACAAATTATTGTCATCCTATTGCAAATTGCCCAGTGTTCTACCAGTAAACCACTATCTACCATCTCTCCATTCCTGACATAAGCTATAGGAGGGAGAGGGTTCAGCTTTTTCACTTGCACACCCCTTTTCTTCTTTAAATGGGACTCCCCTATTGCCCACTTCATACATGATTGAGGCAGGGCAGAGGGAATTGCAGATAAAATGAAACCAAGTGGGGAAATTATTTACTACATGTATGCCATACATACATGTGCCATCCCCCCCCCCCCCGATGCTGATTAAGGTATTGTTCTGTGTGCTTACATTAAACTTATTCATGCATTCTGCATCATATGTCTTCTTCATGAAACTGCCTTGTTGAAGTTTTCCTGTTTTAAGTATAGCACATAAACATTTTGCAGATGCAATGCAAAGAGACATTCACCTAGTCAAAGTGTTGATTTTGGAACACTTTAGGAAAGAACTTAATTAAGGCTACAATTCTGTGGATTTTAACTGGGACATATTCCTGAGAAAACATGCATAGGATCACAAATATAAAATCAGGTAGAAGAGGTGGTGTGGGATATATATGCATTGTTCATGCTATTCAGGGTCTTGCAAGCATTTCAGATTGCCAAATGGAATTATTCCCACCCCACTTTGCTGCGTGCTACAGCTGACCCAATTTCATGGGGAGTGGGAGCAGGGTGTGGTGTGGAATGAGACCCATTTAAGTGGACGTCCTTGCACAGGCTTCCACTGAGGGGACTCATTAGCTGAATCCTGCCCACTTTTTCTAGGTTTTATGTCAACTTCATAGCTTGGTGACTATATTCAATAAGTTTTTTGCTCTGTCCTAAAACAATTCAATTTCTTCTCAGTGTAGGAGCTTATCACTCTTTTTTAAACTCCCTAAAAGTTTCAAGAACAGCATGTGCATGTGATTTTTGGGAGGTGAGGAGGATGTTTTCACTTTTTGCTGAAACAGGAGTTCCTGTGGGAGTAAGTGCACTGAATCAGAGCCCTGAGAGTTGCTGTCACTTTCTGAAAAAAAGAAAAGTGGCATCAACAATGTCATGATGTACTCTGCATCAAAAACGTGGTGTTGTTTTTCAAATTGGCTATTATTCCAGTGTACCTTCTGAGCTAATGACATAGACTTTTATAGCAAAGAAAATCAGAATACCCTTTCTAGATTTGTTTTTCTTGGAAAATTAATACTAAATTTTTAAATCCTTTCTAGGTAAAAACAAGCGTACCCAGCCTCCCTGGTCTCCACCCCAAGGAACAACATTACCCAAACTCTGCCTATACAACAGTCTCACTCGCAATAAGGTACATTTTTGAATTTGGCTTTTCCATGTGCTGTCTTTTGCATAGTAGACTTAGTAGCATTGCTCATTGTTGCTGAACTGCTTTTCCTGTGGGACTCTGCCTGTACAAATTTGGGTGCTTCTAACTACTATGTCTCCTTTTCCTCCTAAGGATGTGTTTCAGCCCCAAAATGGCAACAGGGTGAAATGGTATTGCTGTGGTCCGACAGTGTATGATGCCTCCCACATGGGGCATGCAAGGTATGGCCATGTCTGAGTAGCAAGTGCCTTGGGCACTTGAAGATCAAAGCTGTAAATGAATTTGTTACATCAAACTAATACTGCCATCTTTATAAAATCTCTAAAAAATCCAAAGTTTATGAATAATCTTCTTTTTGACATATTGGCACCAATTAATGCTGTTGGACATCGATAACAAGGATGTCTCTTGTCTGTTTAAAGTGAATAGCTGTCTATGGTGATGATCAGGACCATGGTTCTGGAGGAGGAAGTGTCTAAACCTTTCATCCTGTGCTTTTCCCCCAACTGAAATTGCCCTAAAGCTGCTCTTTGACTAATGGCAGAGAGCAAAGACATGGACGTATGTTTTAACCTCCTCATCCCCCACCTCAGTGCAGCAGTCCCGATCAAATTCTCCCCCACTCCAGGCCCCACAATTTCAGAGATCCTGATCACAATTTTCTTCATCACAACTAGTTTGGTCCTTTCTAGTTTCTCACAAGAACTTCATATACCGCTTTATGATACAAATGCAGATGTAATGGCATTGCTTTGAAACAACATAAAAATGAATGCCAAATGATTTTTAGGAGAACAGTTCATTACTTTTCAAAAGCAAAAATATAATGTGATGCTTCATGAATATAGTGAGCGCATGTAAATGGTCCCGAGGTTGCAAAATCAATTTGTCTTTTGAATTATTGTAGATCATACATCTCATTTGATATCCTGAGAAGAGTTTTGAAAGACTATTTCAAATATGATGTCTTCTACTGTATGAATATCACAGATATAGATGACAAGGTAATTCTAAAGTGCTGTCATTTGATTAGCTGCAGGAATGAGACTAACAGATGAGATTATTGAACTTAGTTTTTATTTTAATTTAATTGTCTATCCCACCAATAAGTCAAAGACTTTCTCTTTGAGGTTATTACTTCTTAATTCATACAGTGCCATCAATGTACAAAATGCCTTTATATAGTTACATAGCAAAAAGACAGATCCCCACCTCAAGAAGCTTACCATCTAATTTTCAGAAGAAGATGGTTGAAGAGACAGTGAGGAGAGGAGAAAAATACAGAGGCAAGATAATTGGGCATATATGGACGAATGGGCTGAGGCTTTGTGTCAGTTCTCGTCTCTCCCCCCCCCCCCCTTTTGGAACTTTGGGAATGTTCTGTAAGATGAACACCAGTTCTAATTTTAATCTTCAAATTGTATACACTGTATGTGCCTCCTAAACATCTTTTAACTTTTGTGTTACAGATCATAAAAAGAGCAAGGCAAAACTATCTCTTTGAAAAATACACAGAGAAGCAGCCATCAGCAGCACAGCTACTTGAAGATGTCCAGATTGCCTCTAAGGTCAGCTCCTTGACTGTTCTCTTCCATACTTCATGTAGGCAGGAGACTGCTTAATTGTCTTCCAACACCTTGGATCAGAGGAGGAATCAGCCAGCTGCTTGTTCCTTCTTTTTTCCCCTCTCTTCAGACTGTGTTCCATCATTGGCCACACACAAGTTCTTTAAATGAAGCCACCACTCTCTGTTCTAGCAGAGCTAAAATCCTCAAGAGTCCTGCAAGACTCCAAAGACTTGTTCACACTTGGAAGCAGTGTTGCTTCTGCTGGGGACAACCAGAGCTTTACATACCTTGGCTGCTCCCGTTTCCAGCACATTGCCTTCATCCCATCACTGGGACTAAATTCAATTAATTGGCATTCCCCACATCCACATCCAATCATAATCTCCCCCCATCGAAGTGGACACCTTAGTAGTGTCTGCCAAAACCAGTTTGGAGAGAGACACCAAGCTTTAGTGTCCTAGCCTTATCACCTTTCCTGAGAATACTTTTTGTTGCTACCTACTACTGGCAATCAAACACATTTACTTTATTTGATCTGCAAACCATAAGCATCAGATACAGTGGAGGGTCATCAATACAACCATAACAAAAAGAGAAAATTGGAAAGGGGGGGGGGCGGAGAGCACAAGATGCATATACACAAATGGTGTCTTTAAAAATAGTGTAACAAAATAATAATCAGAGAGACAGTTTTGACTCAGAACTCATCCTCCCTTTCATCATAGTGCGCATAGTTTTGATGGCTGCAGCAAGGAACTTGTCCATATTTTTCTGGAATCTGCCATTAAAATGAAGATTATAAAATTCATCTGTGTTCCCCACATGTAGAGAATGTAGTGAGGAGATAAAATGGAAACTTACCAGATATAAGATCTGGTTCTTATTTTCCCATCAGTAGGGTCCCATTTTTATCTTCCCAGTCTGTAATTTTTATATTGCTATAAAAAATGCAACAATGGAGAATGTGGGCTCATGTTTCAACTGAGCTGCTGTCACAAGGACAAACACTCAGTGACAAGGCAACTCAGTAAACTTGTCTTCCATAACTGCTGATGGCAAAGTGTTTAACCTGGCCATTGAGAGTGCTGTCCTATATCTATGAAATTTGAGCAAATCTTTCCATTCTTTCATAACCTCCTGTGACTTTTTATGAATGCCTATATGATTCCAAAATCTTCTGAAAAAATGGATTATGAAAGCAGAATGTTATGTTTAAATAAAGATGTGCTAATTTTTAAAATTTGTGTAATATTGGGGACCAGAACACTAGGTTTTTCCTGCTGTGGGATTTGTTGTCTTTAAGTCTGGAAGGGGACTGTCGTCCTCTTTAATATGGTTGCTACCCATGAAAATGCCTGGTAATGACCCTCCTCACTATAGCATGTCTACATTCCATTTTAATTTTGAAACTCTACCATGCAGACATTTGTTACTGCTTTACTCTGGAGATTTTGCTGAAAATTAAACACAAGAAAACTTCTAAGGAATATTTTATAAGATGGCCATGATTTTATTAAGTGATGCTTATTTGTTGCCTTCAGTGTGGTTTCATGTATATTTCATTCATGTTTATTAAATCAGCCTTTTGCAGCTAAGCTACAAGAGACCACTGACCCTGATAAGAAACAGATGCTGGAAAGGATTCAGAGTGCAGTGAAGGCTGCTGTGGAACCTCTAGAAAGTGCACTGAAAAATAAACACTCTGAAGGTCAAGTCAGCAAACATGCTGAGGTCTGTACTGAACGGGCTGTTGTGCCCTTAAGCAAATTAAACAGTATCCTTGAGCTCCATTTACTATTTTAGGGTGGGACTTTGCTTCATTGAAACCATTTATATCTGTGAGGTTACATAATTATTTAGTTACATTGGTGTGACTTAACTCCCCCCCCCCAAGTATCTTATTGATGGTTAGGCACATCTCTGAGGGTCACATGGCAGCAGAGGCCATGTGCACTCGTACACACACACACACACACACACATTAGACTTGTGCATGTGTACAAACACACTCTGCCTCAGCATTTCCAGTTCTTCCTAGTCTTGTGCTGGGGTAGGAGTGGCTTTAAAGAGCCATATTCCTGCTTTTGAGTGGATCATTCAAGAACAGACCGGGGGAATTTATTTGCTAAACACTGCTAAACACCACAGTACTAAGATTGGAGAGAAAACACTCTGCCTATTATTTTAAGAGTAAAAGGTAGCACTTCCACCCCAGCGCTAAAGAAAGAGTGTGTGTGTAAGTGCTGCTTGTTTCCCTACAAAGTATCTTCTAAGGTCTGGGCTCTTTGGGAGTGGCTTTCCAAGAAGTATGATAGGTTGTCTCCAGGTGGAAAAACTGGCAACATGAACTCAAGCTTTGGATCCTGGCCCAAATAAATTAACATTATTTAATCACAATAAAGAACACTCTAGGCTTTTTCTTGAAGAAGTGTGCATTGCTGATAATTATGTGTTTTATATATAGATCTATAATTTATTTCTAGGTGTTATTGCGAGAAGCAAAAGATATACTCTCTGAGTGGCTGGACACTAGTTTGGGCAGTCAGGTGTCTGACAATTCCATATTTTCAAAGCTCCCCAAATTCTGGGAAGAGGAATATCATAAAGATATGGCAGCTCTCAATGTAAGTATGCACATTGATTCAGCAAAATGTAAAAGCACATGGAAATCTGGTGTTGGTGGAACTTATTTATTATAGTTTCCCTCTCTTGGAAGGCCTAGAAAGCAAACTTATAAAGCTTGTTTATAATTAATGGCTTCACAGTACTGCTCCATGGACACATTTTGATATATATTGATTTATCAAGATGACACACTAACACTTTTTGCTGGCAGTCTGGATAGGGCTCTCCCTAGCACTGTGTTTCAAGGTACATAAAACTGTTCTTAATACCTAGGAAGCTGGAATCATGTCAAGACACAAATCAAGACTGATTTTCCTTTCATCAGCAGTTAGAGCAATGGTCATGCCTTTCTAACCTTACAGATTATCTTTCATCTTGAGCTCTTGGAAACTGCAGATATGCTTTCAATATGGTTAATTAGAGCAGATGCCTAGAAATGCTGGGCTTCTGTGTTCAGTTTCTGCCCATCAGTGTGTGTGCCTGTTTATTTAATTTGCTAATAATAGTAATAGGATTTATTAGTTGCTTGTTACCTAGAAAGGTTTCCAAGTGTTATATTTCAAAATATAAGCATAAGTACATTGTACCATAAAGGGAGTGGAGTGCACAAGGGCAGGAGAATGAGGGAAAGCCCCATTGTGTAAGCAGACATTATTGCGCATGGCTTCCACTGATAGGACTCAGTTGAAATCTGCCCATGAGTTGAAGCAGGCCCCTGAATGCCTATACTGTAATGTTCATTGGAAGTGCAACCCAAAGGGAAGGTGCCACTACACTTAAAGCCCTGGTCTTGCTGGGCATAAGATAAATCTCAGGAGCATACAGCAATACTCTCTTCAACAAGTCCCTGTTAATTTTGCCACTTGCCTAGTTTTCTATATACAAATATAGAACTAATTGCAAAGCAAAGCTGTTGAGAGAGTCTGGTACAAGAAGGGTTGTGAAACAGAGAATATATATTATTTTGTTTGCTTGCTTCTAGGTATTACCTCCAGATGTCTTAACACGTGTTAGTGAATATGTACCAGAAATTGTGGACTTTGTCCAAAGGATTGTAGATAACGGATATGGGTGTGTATAAATTCTTCTTACATTTTACGTGTTATGTAAATCAAAAGAAAATCATCACATGCAGCTATATGTGTGCTTCACATGTAAGCAGCCCAAATTCTGTTCTAATTAAACATTTGCCATCAGACCTTAAGGCACAACAAGGCCATATGATGGGCGGCCTAATAGAAAGCTATTTTATTTATTGGCCATCTCAAAGATGCTGTTTCTACATGTTTTGTGTTGCTAGAGCTTCCAAAATCATTAGTAGTCTCCCATCCAGCAAACTTGGAGTAAATCCCATTGAACTTGCCCATCATGGAAAGCAGCGGAAGAAATTCACCTTTAAATACAGTAGTTCCTAGCCAACTGGTGAAATGTATCCACTAATAGATAAGGTGGGGCACTTTTTTATGTGTGTGCCAATTTCACCCTCCTCTTTGCAGGCCCCACCTCCTCATGAAAATCTGTTCTAGAGGGTTGGGGAGCACTTCAACGAGGGCTTCATTGAGAGGCTTTAGCAAAAATCGCACCCAGTTCTCCTTGATCACCACATACCTCATGCTGGAGCAACAGTGAAAGGAGGACAAGTTGCATTCCACCCAATAGTAGGAAAGTATCTGAAACTCTAGAACACCTAGTACATTTGTGCTTTTTGTCTTCTAGTTATGTGTCCAATGGCTCTGTCTATTTTGATACCATGAAATTTGATGCATCTGAGAAACACTCCTATGCCAAGTTGGTTCCTGAAGCTGTAGGTGATCAAAAAGCACTTCAAGAGGGTGAAGGTAATATTACTGTCAGTCAGGGGCTTTCCAGTGCATACACGAATACAATTTTAAGATTCCTTTCTGAAGGTTACAAATGTTCTTCCTCTTGTTCTCCACAGGTGACCTGAGTATCTCGGTGGATCGTTTAAGTGAGAAGCATTCTCCAAATGACTTTGCTTTGTGGAAATCCTCCAAACCAGGCGAGCCTTCATGGGACTCTCCTTGGGGAAAAGTAAGGACTGTGACTTTGATCAAAGATTCCAGCTGCATGGTTGGAAAATGCTTGTGCTCCCATGGAAGGAGGGGGTGGTTGTTTTCCCTCTTTGTCTTTAGTGCCCTATGTCCCCAGTTGTCTGGAACCAGTTTTTATGGGATAAGGTTTGGCTGTAGACCAGGATGGGGGATTATGCATCCAATCCTCTTTGCATCCAATCCACTATAACTTTGCTCTTTATGCACAGTTTTATATGGAGACTAAAAGTAAGTATATTCCATAACATGTAGTCCAGGCTTAAGACATCTCCTGCCGCTACTTTTTTAAATCATGGGGATACAGGTCATATCTTAAGATGTAGGCTGACATCATAAAGGACAGATAACTTAAATGTCCTGCCAAAGCATTATGGCCTGGGGCGTCTTGATTCTTAATAATGTTCTGCATCTAATCAAGTCATTGACACTGATAGGATTCTAAAATTTAAATAATAGTTGGCAGGGGTATCGATTATTCCCTTCTAGAAATTTCCACTGAAATGTGCTTTTCAACATATTTTGTTATTTTTCTCCTGTAATCCAAGAATTTTCATAGTGAAAACTCATCCTATTTTGTTTTTAGCCTGAACCCCTGGCTTATTGCCCTTGCCCCTTTTTCATAGCTGTGCTGTCCTTCTACTGACTTATTTTTTTATTGAAATATGGTGCCCAAAACCAAACATATTCCAGCTGATCTTTTACCCAGTGTTAAGTAATATATAATGTGTTGTTGTTCATCTGAAGTTGAATTTACCTAATTTTAAGACGTGCTAAGGAACAGGTGATTGCTTATTATGTCTTCATATGTAAAAGCACAGAATTTAAAGAGGGTGCATCCCCCCCCATACCTGTATATCTGATGGGATACCACAATTGGGGCTAACTCATATACACTTGCATGCACACACCCTAAAAACTAAATTTCATGGTTTTATCAAGAGTCTCTACTTTCAATTAAATTTAGTCAGTTTAGCTTTAGCTTTGGAGAGATCTTGAAATTTGATGTTAAATATATTTTGGACTATATTGAGGACTGTGGGGAGTGGGACTGTGGGGAATGGGCGAGCTGGATGAAGGGTGATGGAGACAATTTTGGGTTGGAATCCCCCAGAGACCTACTCCTCAAGGAGAAAGGAAAGAAACTAAGACACAGACCAACAAAAGACAAGGAAAAGGGCAAGCACAAACAAGATGAAGAAGAATTGTAGAAGGGACATGGAAGAGACTTAAGGGCCTCGGACATAAGGCTTCCAGGTTGATGGACTAGATGGAATGGACAGTAAGGACTGACACGACCCAAGACCAGGAAGAAGAGACGCTGGATGATGATTGAAAGAGAATTTATAATGGGAACTTTTTATTTTAGAATCAGCTTAATGAATATTAGGGAAAATGTGGGAATGAAACTATACGACTCTAGCAGAAATGTTATCAGGAGCTATGTATATTTGAAAACTAAGATTTAAGTCTTACGGTATTTAGGGGTAAGATAAGGTTAAATAAATTAAGATAATTTGAATAACAGAATATGGGGAAAGATGGAAAGGATTTGTTGAGTTAATTATTAGGTTAAATTGTTAAGATAAATTTTATAACAAAAATTGAGAAAGATGGAAAGAATTTGCTGAAATAATTATTAAACTAGAATACAAAAAGGGAGGTGTGAGGAGGTCAATGAAACAAGCAAATGGAAATTATGGATATGCAATCTGGGATTTGTGTTTTTTTCTTCTTTTTTCTTCTTTTTTACTTTCTTTTGCTGTATTGTCGTATTGGTTTTTATATTTTGTGCTTTTCTCTTTTTTATTTTTTTTCTCTTTATTTTTGTGTATTGTAGTGTTGTTGTTTTTTATTTTTTATTTTTCTTGTAATCCTGAAATTATCAATAAATATTATTTTTTAAAAAAAATAAATTTAGTCAGTTTAGGAACCTCTCCTGGGGGATAAAAATTGTGAAAGGAAAACATAGGTGAGAATGTGATGTGTTGGCTACAAAGTAATACTGAAAAACTTCTTTTAAGTGATGATTTTGAATGATTTTAAATGGTGATTTTGAGATGATTTGTCTTGAATTTTGCCATGCACTGATATTCTGTCAGTTGTTTTTAGGGTGTAGCTTTTGATTGACTATTTATTGTGCACTCTGACCTTGTAAAGCCAGATTATTGATTCAGTGCAAAGATTGCCTTAACTGAAGTGCTCCAACAATAGAGCATGTAGACCTAAGTTCAAACTGCAAGATAAAAGTTCTGCATTAAAATATCTACTATTAAATCCAGTTAATGAACATTAATAGGCTCATTAACTGGGGAGAACTTTCCTGAACATCATTAATAACCTACTTTATTTCAAAACAGGGCCGTCCGGGATGGCATATTGAATGTTCTGCAATGGCCGGGTCCATTCTAGGAGATTCTATGGACATACATGGAGGAGGCTTTGATCTTCGGTTCCCTCATCATGACAATGAGTTGGCACAATCTGAGGCAGGTGCTCCCATGTTCTAATTCTTACCATGCTCTGATACCTGCCAGAGAGCTCTCAGGTTCACTTGGCTTTGAGTTGGATGTTTCCCAACTAATAGTTCAGAGAGCACGGAAGTAATTCAATTAAGTAGGCTCTGTTGGCTGTCAAAGGAGAAAATATTATCAAATGTTCACATAAGCAGACTGAAAATAAAAACCATGCTACTGTTGCTAAACTTGGCTTTAAGTGATACTATACTTTAAAATTATCTTAAGTTCTACTTGTAAATATCAGACAATAGTGCTTTTTAAATTCATGCGTTCCTGCTGTTTTATTTTGCAATTCAGACATCATAGAAAACCATAGTGAAGCTCCCTGCACTATGGCTTGGTGTGATGTCTGAATGGGTTGGGTAAAGCAGCCAAATAAGTTATAATCATTGGGTCTGAGCCTAGGGGCCATGCATTTCCTCCTCCCCTCATGCACAAACTACTTCTTTCCCTAGCTTGTCAGGTCCAGATCTTTTATACATTCATCTCACGCAGTGCTTCCCTTCCTAGTCAGGCAAAGAATAGTTTGCCATTGCATCAAGACTTACAAACTATGGTTTGTGTTTGCAATTGAAACCAGACTTGGGAGTAGGTTTCTAATTCTGGGCTAGAAGGCAAGTGCAAATCCTGGTATATCGCAGGAATAGGCAGCATGGTGCCCTCCATATGTTTTGGATAACAACTTCCATCATTCCTTTTTGATTAAAAAAAATAGAATTATAATTGACATTATGGTGTCTTAACTTTGGGAGGCAGTAGCAGTGACTAGCAACTGCCACAAAGAGAGCCCCATTTGTAAGGCAACTGTCACTAGGAAAAGAGACCCGGGGGCTTTGTCTCTGGGTCACAATGGCGGAAACATAATACAGGATCTGAAGGTGTTGCTCTGTCAAAGGTTTTGGATTCTAGAGGCTCCCTCCCTCAGTAGTGACAGAACAGCACCTTCCCCAACTACCTACTTAGTTAAATTAGCTTTCTCTTTATGAGGTTTATCCTATTGACTGAAGTGCTTATTGCTTCCAAACTGCATCTCCTTTCTTCATCCACATAGATTTGCTGCCACCTTCTCTGAAGAGAATGGGAAGGTCCTTTGTTGTGGTATCAGGGCCAGGGAAAGGAGTGCTTTGTGTGTACTTAGGAACTTACATACCTTTATGTGATCTTCACATTGGGACAGTGGTGTTGAAACTAGTTTCCTCACTCCAGTGGTGCAATCTTGTGGCTCGGCTGAAGTTGCAGTTCCTTGGTATAGGCTGCCTTCTTTTAACCCCCAAGGTTAAGAAAAAGTGTTGCTGCAGTTTGAAACAGCGATTACTAGAGTCAGGAGCACTTGCCTGCTCTGAGGCGAGCTGGAACACCATGAGAAATGAAGCCTGTCTGTTTGATGCATCCATCGCTCTGTGTCCATCAGAGCGGGGAGGTTCAGTGATGCATTGGCCCCTTCTCCACGCTCCAGCACAGTTCTGACCTGGGAAAGGGGGGCAATGAGAGGCCTATTAACTGGGCTATTTTGTAGTCACAGGGAAGGTCCCAGCCTATTTCTCTGAAAGCTGCTTGAGGAAAATAATAATTATAAATATGAAAGCACAACTACTGCAAAACACATACATAGAGTGCCTATCAATCTCATAAGGTCAAGGGGGAAATTCACTCTGTAGCTTCTTAAATACTTCCAAGCCTCGGCTGTTTGAGAAAGAATATTTATAGATTTTTGACTGCCAAGTGAAATGTGCCTCCACTTTGCCTTCAGTTTTTATCCACCCCCCCCCCCAAAAAAAGGAGCCAAGGTATCCAGAATTTGAAAAATACTGATGTTAGGAGCCCATAATTCAATCAATAATATGTGTAATGGTAGATAATTCATCCTACAGTTGTATCATGTTTCAAACTGAAGAGAGAAGTGTGTTGGGGGAGTGGGGCTGTGTAAATTGGAGATTGAAGCATTGTTTTTTTCTCTCTCTCCCCATACAGCTGTAATCTAATAGATATCTGTATTATATTATCCTTTCCCATGTGTTTTTAGGCATACTTTGAAAACGATCACTGGGTTCGCTATTTCCTCCACACCGGGCACCTGACAATTGCTGGTTGTAAAATGTCCAAATCTTTGAAAAACTTTATTACAATAAAAGATGCACTTAAAAAGCACACAGGTAAGATATAAATATATATATATATATATTTAAGGAAGGAACACTTTCTATTATTTTATTTTTTAAAATCATTTTTGAAACCAGCTAATGATTAATCTGAGTGATTTTTTTTCATTTATGAAAATTTCTATTGTCTTTGGCACTGTGGTTTCTGCTGTAGTCCCATATCCTCCTACACTTTTCCATTTTCTTTTTAAAACTCTCAACAGCTCGGCAATTACGGCTGGCTTTTCTTATGCATTCCTGGAAGGATACGCTAGACTATTCCAACAACACCATGGAGTCCGCTATTCAGTATGAGAAATTCATGAATGTAAGTTTACTTCCCCTCTTCACGTTTTTCTGCTGTACAAATTTTGGGTTGTAGTAATGTGATGTACCCGGTGTTTTCTTCTGCTGACTATATATGTATAATATATGTGCTCAGGTTTAGCAGGTTGGCCTGTCGTTTTATTAATCTCTTACCAGATCTGCACTCCAAATCTAGGCTTTGCAAACCATTTTTAAAAGCTCCTGTATCCATTCACCAATTCCCTCATCCCCAAATCTGCTCAAAACAACTTGGTCAACCTAATCTGTTCTATGTGCTTGATATATCCTATGTTTGCATATATATTGTGGTAAAACAATAGTAACCAACAGGAAACTTAGTAGTAGTAGGAAGTTAAATAAAAGATCTCTCTTGGAAAGGTATCCTTCAGACTGTAATGGGCAGTGGCGTGGGAGGGGGAATAGGATGTAGGTCATCATTATCCTGTTTTTGCCTGAGACTTGATGAAGGGTCTTGAATTTCGTTAATTGCAAACACCATTAGCTTTTTTGTTAATGTGTCATATCACATTATGCTAAGTCACAGCATAGACAAAAATCGGCTTGACAGCAGGTAATAGAAAAGTTGCTTTTCTTGGCAGATGCAGGGTATATCTTGTTCTTGGCTGAAAGTGAGTCTGATATGAGTATTGAAATAGCTAACTGGACAGTATACTTTGCAACAGGAAGACTTCAGATTGTGGGCTCTTTCCCTCCCCCTTTTAGGAGTTCTTTTTAAATGTGAAGGACATCCTTCGGGCCCCCGCTGATGTGACAGGCCAGTTTGAAAAATGGGAAAACCAGGAAATAGAGCTGAATAAAAGGTGAGTGAGAAACCTGTTTTCCCCCTCCTTTCTTCATGAATAGACATTTGTATATTCATGGTAATGGATCCCATTTTTCAAACTGGCATTTCCTTTTGGTGCAAGCAAGATAATCTTGCATTTCTACAACACTTTCCCCTGGATCTCAGTTACTTGTTAGTTCACATAGCAATCAGACTGCTTGTGGTGCAGATCCTAGATCCTTTCACTTGCTTTCTTACTATTTTTCTTAGTTCTTCACATAGATGTGTTTCCTTACTTATTTTTACTATACACACACACACTGCATCCTAAAAGCTAAATTCTGAAACCTGCATAAATTAGGAACATGAAACAACTTTATATCAGTGGATTTGTTTTACATACTTTATTCTGTCATGCATGAGTAAATAGAGCACGGGGGCCTATTAAAGGCAGACCCCTGACACTGGGAATTTCCTCTACCCTTTCTTGGCTTCTGCAATTTATTATGCACTGACCACACATTTCTTATTTTTGTTTTCATCACCTCAGGGATTAGAAATGGTTGTTTTAAAATAATACCTGAAAACCAAACTTCTCAGAATGTACTCAGTCTCATTAGACTTGACTTACTGGCTTGTGGATTGCAGCTAGATACTTACGTTTTCTATTCAAACACCTAACTGTTTTGTTAATCCTGATGCTTTAAATGGCTGTATTAGGATGTCAAGGTAAACTATGGTTAATTGTGAAAACAACCCACAGGGAACCTCAGACTTTATGCAGACTTTCTTCTGCATCTGGTTTTGATTAACCACACCTTAGCCCTACATCCAAACCTTAAACTGTGGTTCAACTAAATATGATTGATTGAAACAATCCAACTTTCTTAACTCATGATGTAAAGTTGGTTTGTTTGACGCAAGCCATAGTTGACCACAGTTTGTCTGGTTTTGACAACATGACACACTGCAATGAAACAGAAGCAAAAGCTTCTGAACTTCTGTTTGCCACACCAGCGGGAGGAGGTACAGAAGCCCCAGGCTTGTACCTGTCATGATTTCTGAATGCCACTAATAAATCTTATAGCACTTATTGCAATTCATCAGAGGAGTCAGAAGAGTCCTACATTTACAGATTTGATTGACAGGATTGTTAAAATAAAATGCTGTCTCTATAATGTAAATGTTTTCTGTTTTTTAGCACCGTTATATCATATTCTCTTCATAGATTTGCTTTTCTTGTGTTTTTCTTCTCTGATAACTTTTTCTCTCTCTCTTTTGTAATTTTCCATGCTTCAGTCCATAACGCTCTTCATATTTCTTATCCTTCATTTACCTGGCAAGTTGTTTGAGTCTTTTCTCTCCTTCCAAAGCTGGTTTCAAGATCTGTGTCTTTTTTCAGTATGTACTCTGAAATGCAAGAGAGAAATGGTGTATGTGGGAGTCTAGTGAGATACTGACTATTTCTTTTATTTCTTGCTCAATTTCTAACTGCTGCTAAAGGAGTCTTTCATGTAAATATGCAATTTCCTGACTTGTGCCACTTGAACCTGAGTTTAGATATGGCAGGAGGAGTGTACAAGCCTGGAGGTAGGGTTGGCTTGTTTTCATCATGGTAAACCATCGTTTATCATGACATCTGAATGTTGCCACCAAGTATGTGGTAGGGCTTTTCTCTCCCACTATCTGCCCGTTCAGGTTTTACCCTAGCAAGTAAAGTACTGAAATGCTTTTGGCTTTCTTTTATCCATGGAGTACTGGAATCTTTGGCTGAAAACCATTAAGGATGACACAAATGACATGTTGGTCCTTCTTTGTTTCCCTGCCCTGCTCGGCTAGTTTTTATGACAAGAAGCTAGCAGTCCATGAAGCCTTATGTGACAACATTGATACACGCACAGTCTTGGAAGAAGTGCGATCGCTGGTCAGTCAGTGTAATTCCTACATTGCTGCAAAGAAGACTGCGAGGCAAATGCCAAATAGAATGCTGCTGGAAAATATAAGTCTCTATCTTACACAGATGTTCAAGGTATGGGATTTTCACAAAACCTTTGAAACTGCTGCATGTGTGTTGTAACTGTGTGTGAATGTGTCAGCCTTTTCACTGTTTAGATAAGACTCCAGTCATTCCTGACCATGAGCCAAGCCTGGAGATGTTTGTGGTTGCAGCCCAGCAACTTCTGGAGGGATTCCCCTACCACAAGGAAATAATTGTGACAAAAATGTAGCACTTTTGAAAGAAGGATTAGCTATCAGTATAAAACGGTGGTAGTACTTGAATTGTTTGCAAAGTTTTGCTGTTTCCTGGACATAGATAAATGGTCATCAAGCACTGCTATGCAAAGATCGTAGAAATATTGCAGTCCCCTGTACTTCCAGGAGGCCATGCTATGAGCAATGTTTACTCTTGGAAATAATGTCTTAATTGCAGCTCCAACCCAGTGCAGACAAAGTCCAGGAAACTCATTTGCCCAGCAAAGTTTTGTTCACAGCCTTTGGGGCTGGATTTTCTGTCAGTGTTAAAGTATCTGCTGCTGCGTGTTTTTTCAGTTTGTTTTGTGTTTCACTCACATAGGTGTTCGGTGCTATAGAAAGCGATGAGGCTATTGGATTCCCAGTTGGAGGAAGTGCCCAAAACTTAAATGTAAGTTGTAGGGAAATTTTACGGTGGCAATCTCAACTCTGCTCATGGCTTTCAGAAAGATTGGATTACATGCTGAAGCAAAGCCACTTTTTCTGCTCGTACGAATATAAAATTCTGCAGTAAAACTGAATCACAGAATTACTCCAATTGCATTTAGGTAAGAGAGAAGAATTATATTTGTATGTGAGAGCATAGCAAGGAAGGGCCAGAGTTCAGTTGTCGAGCCAAAGCTTTGCTTGCGAAGGTCATATCTAGATAGGGCTGGGAGGGACTACTGCCAAAAACCCTAGACAGCCGCTGCCGGTCAGAGTAGTCAATACTGAGCTGGGATTGGCCAGTGATCTGACATGGTAGAAGATAGCGTCTTATAGGCAGCATTCAACTAACAAGCCCTGCCAGCAGAAGTGTAAGGACTTTGTTTCTTCTCCTCTCTTCCACCCCAGCCAAATTGATTCTTGGGGGTGGTCAAGAGAACCCCCAGAACATCACACAGGGGGGTGGAGGGCAGATAGCTCCATCAGGCAAGCAGAAATGGTTGTGCTGATGGAGCAATCTGCCTAGTGCTATACTGAATTGCTCCCAATGTTTTTATGCTTCCTAGCAGTATTTTCAGAGGAAACCAGAAAGAAATGGGTTGAATCTCAACTAATGGACAAAATGTTTCATTCTGCAGCTTGAATCTACAGTGATGCCATACCTACAGGTTTTGTCCGAGTTCAGAGAAGGTGTGCGGCAAATTGCCCGAGAAAAGAAAGGTGATGTTAACTCTGTGCTTTTTTTTACAAATGGAAATCTCCACAAATGTGCAATTGTCTTACGAAATGTCATTTTTATTTGTACCATAGTGCTTTGTTTTCTTCCTCACACTTGTTCATCTGCTTGCTCGATATGGGTGTGGGCACACAGACGCATGTACTCTTCAAAACTCTTAAAGCCAAAAACTAGGGAGGTGTCTGCCTGCATTTGCCTTGCGTTTTACTTGCGTATGAGTCTGGGCCAGCTCTGCCATTAACCAGATTGAGGCAGCTGATTATGCAAGTCATGAAAGGGCAGCAAATCATTTATTTATTATTACCGTATTTTACTGCTGGGATGGAGCAGGCGCTTGTTGGATTTTCTGCCTTAGGTGCCAAAAAAAAGAAAAGGAAAAAAAAGAAAGACAGCTTTCCTCTATTCCTTGACTTTGGGTCAGGGTGGAGAATGTGCCATTTGTTGTTTCACCTCAGATAGCAAAGTTTATTGGACCAATCCTGGTGTGAATGTCTATGTATGCAAATGTGTTTACATATATGTGTTTGCCCTGTTCTTAACAGATGAAAGTAAATGATGGCCCTTATTTGTATTGTGAGTTTTCAGAATGCCGCTTAACATTCTTCCATAGGATATACCAATTAAAACTCGTGTGTTTTGACAGAAAAATCCCCATAATGTATGTGCTTTGCTTTTGAAAAATACATAGAATTTCTCCTAACTGCATAGTAGTAATCTTACTGTGGTATGTCAGGGGTTGTCTTCCCTCAGTTACATTCCTCTGGAGGCATATTTTTGAAGCTGGAAAAGAAAACCTGTGTATTCCTTTTTATTTTTTTAATTTATTTATTTTTTTTAAAAAAGAAAGAAAACCTGTGTATTCCGTGGTTATATTTGATGGTGCCTTAGGAGCTAGTACTTAAACTCCACCAAGGAGGAGACAGGGGACTCCCCTGAGAAGGAGGCTAGTTCACCAACACAGGAGCCAGATATATGGAGAAACGTGACTCAAAGAAGTAGGAGGCCCAGGGTTCGCTCTGATTGATAATAAATACACAATTGCTTTGAGGTCCTCTCCCCTAGCATGGAAGACGAAGAGCAGACTCCATTTGAGGATCTCTCCCTCATTACAGTCGATCAGGTATATGAAGACAAGCAGCAAAGTCAGTCCTCAGGGAATGTGCAGGCGACCTTGGAACGGACAGCTCACGGAAGAACCCCGACCAAACCTAAGAGGAGGCGTGTAGTGGTGATGGGGATTCCCTACTGAGGGGAACAGAAGCAGTGATCTGTGGGCCTGACAAGATCTCTCGGGAAGTGTGCTGTCTCCCAGGGCTAAGATCCAAGATGTAACTGAATGACTGCAAGGAATCATAAAACCCACTGACAAATACCCCTTCCTCTTGGTTCATGTGGGAACCAATGACACTGCAAGCAATAGCCTCCAGAAGATCAAAAGAGACTACGAGGCTCTGAGCAGGAAATTGAAGCAATTAAATGCACAAATTGTCATCTCATCTGTCCTCCCAGTTGAATGACGTAGCCCAGGGAGAGAGGGAAAAATAGTGGAAGTGAACAGCTGGCTTCGTAAACAGGAACGGTTTGGATTCTTAGATCACGGACTGCAGTTTCTTGAAGATGGACTTCTGGCAAGCGATGGGCTGCACCTCACAACGGTTGGGAGGAATGTTTTTGCCAAAAATCTCAGAAACCTCATCAGGAGGGCTTTAAACTGACTAATGTGGGGGAGGGAGACAGTGCTCCTGAAGGTAGGAGTCTATCAATTGATGAAGATGATCATCCAAATGTCATAGACCAAATGGAGCAAACAGCACGCAGACCTAGTGATGGGAGGAAAAAATCCTTAAATAAGAGACACGGAGGAACAGCCATTTTAGATCTGGTCCTAACCAATGTTGATGACCTGGTTAGTGGGGTAGAAGTGGAAGGATCATTAGGCACGAGTGATCATGCTCTTCTGAAGTTTACTATACAGCGGAAAGGAGCAGCCAAGCATACTAGGACTCAATTTCTTGACTTTAAGAAAGCCGACTTCATAAAACTTAGGGAAGTGCTGGGTGAGATCCCATGGACAGTAATACTAAAAGGAAAGGGAGTTCATGATGGCTGGGAGTTTGTTAAGAGGGAGATAGTAAAAGCACAACGTCAGGCAATACCAATGAGACGGAAACATGGAAGGTGCCTAAAGAAGCCAGGGTGGCTATCTAAAGAACTTTTAACTGAGTTAAGATTAAAAAAGGATGTGTACAAAAATGGAAAAGGGGGAAACCACCAAAGAGGAATTCAAACAAATAGCCAGCACGTGTAGACACAAAGTCAGAAAAGCTAAAGCACAGAATGAACTCAGGCTTGCTAGAGAGGTTAAAAGCAACAAAAAGGCTTTTATGGGTATGTTCGTAGCAAAAGGAAGAACAAAGAAACAGTGGGGTCACTCAGAGGAGAAGATGGTGAAATGCAAACAGGGGACACAGAAAGGGCTGAACTCCTCAATGCCTTCTTTGCCTCAGTCTTCTCCGATAAAGAAAATAATGCCCGACCTGAAGAATTTGGAGCAAATGATTCAGCAGAGGAAACACAGCCCAGAATAACTAAGGAGATAGTACAAGAATACTTGGCTAGTTTAGATGTATTCAAGTCTCCAGGGCCAGATGAACTGCATCCAAGAGTATTAAAAGAACTGGCAGATGTGATCTCAGAACCACTGGCAGTCATCTTTGAGAATTCCTGGAGAACAGGCGAAGTCCCGGCAGACTGGAGGAGGGCAAATCACACTTCAAAACGACCTTGACAGATTAGAGAACTGGGCAAAAACAAACAAGATGAATTTTAACAGGGAGAAATGTAAAGTATTGCACTTGGGCAAAAAAAATGAGAGGCACAAATACAAGATGGGGGACACCTGGCTTGAGAGCAGTACATGTGAAAAGGATCTAGGAGTCTTGGTTGACCACAAACTTGACATGAGCCAACAGTGTGACGCGGCAGCTAAAAAGCCAATGCAATTCTGGGCTGCATCAATAGGAGTATAGCATCTAGATCAAGAGAAGTAATAGTGCCACTGTATTCTGCTCTGGTCAGACCTCACCTGGAGTACTGTGTCCAGTTCTGGGCACCACAGTTCAAGAAGGACACTGACAAACTGGACCGTGTCCAGAGGAGGGCAACCAAAATGGTCAAAGGCCTGGAAACGATGCCTTATGACGAACGGCTAAGGCCGCTGGGCATGTTTAGCCTGGAGAAGAGGAGGTTAAGGGGTGATATGATAGCCATGTTCAAATATATAAAAGGATGTCACATAGAGGAGGGAGAAAGGTTGTTTTCTGCTGCTCCAGAGAAGCGGACACGGAGCAATGGATCCAAACTACAAGAAAGAAGATTCCACCTAAACATTAGGAAGAACTTCCTGACAGTAAGAGCTGTTCGACAGTGGAATTTGCTGCCAAGGAGTGTGGTGGAGTCTCCTTCTTTGGAGGTCTTTAAGCAGAGGCTTGACAACCATATGTCAGGAGTGCTCTAATGGTGTTTCCTGCTTGGCAGAGGGTTGGACTCGATGGCCCTTGTGGTCTCTTCCAACTCTATGATTCTATTCTATGATTCTAGGTGTGTGAGTCCATCACTTCCTGCAACAATGCATGGATAAGACTGAGGGGCAGGTGAACCTCACCAAAAGGCAAAGAGCCCTAAACAGCGTTCATTACAACTTCCTATAAAACTCTGAGCTGAGGCAATGCGCCTTCTTATCTTCTTATTTTCAGACATTGCAGAGCCTCATCATTTATATGTGGAAAGCTTTCTTTCTTGAGAGAGAGAGAGAATTGGAGTTTCGGCAAAGTACTCACTCAAACATGGATCATGAAGCGGAGGATCTTAATTGTGGGATATTAAAATGCCAAGCAAATAAAATTTTCTTTATCCCTGGTACAAGAAGAGTAGACACCAGAAACCCTGAGAGCAACACTGGCCATTCTTAGCAGGCAGCTGATTTGCTTTTTTGATGTTCTAGTGATAACGCACAGTGAATGAAAGAAAACTACCCCCCTCAAATAATTTGATAGCTGTACATTGAGAAGAATTTTCCCCTCTAATGAAGCCTTGCCAAGGAATGTCAGTCAGGATTTCTTTTCAGCTCCTTCCTTTGAAAATAAGGAACTTCAAATCATAAGTTCAGTCGCCAAACAATTGTGTTGGCTGACTGGAGCAAAAGTGGTGACCTCTACACCGGTGCGCCTATAGAAATCTAATAATCTTCAAAGTTGTGTTGGTTATAAGTGATCAAATGCATTTATGTACATGCAGGAACAGTGTGCATGCAGACGGGGTGGTACTTGTTTTGATATATCTCGCTCCTCTGCATTGCACCACCAGCAGCATTTGAGGGTGAAAAAACCCTTGTGGTTCAGAAGTATGTGGCTGTGCAATTGGAGGAAGGAGACTGCTGTACTGAAGCAGATTGTAGTTGAGCATGCCTTTCATCAGGATTTGGCACATGCTCTTCTATGGATTATCACTAAAACCTTCTGTCTTTGATGTCCCTCTGAAAACACACTGTTGGCACACATTAATCCTGAAGTAATTCCTGATGCCAGAATATTAATTCTTCAGAAAATATAATACCTTGGATAATATTCTCACCCTCCGCATAATGGGGGTTTTTTATACACACATCTCTCATTCTCCTCTGCCAAGAAGGAATTTTCTCCTCTTTGCTGCTAAAGTTTAATTATTCATAGTTTTTGGCTGGTGAATATTTATAACTCAGGGAGACATCAATGCAGAGCAACTGCAGAGAATACCTTCCTTCCAGAGCACTTACAGCTTTTTCTTCACCTGTTCGTGATAATACTTTTCAGCGTGTATTTAAAGAGGATTTTTTTTTAACTCTCTAGTTTTTATTGAACTACTGGGGATGAAGATATTATTTTGATATTTATTAAATTTGTTAGTCACTTTATCTTGTCCAGGGCAACCCAAACAACTTAAAACCCGGCAGACAGAAAAAACCTCACACAGATACATTAAAACAGAGGAAAACATAATCAATTAAAAACATCCCGCCCACTTCTAAAAGACCTATTATTATTAAGATACGCAGGCTTGGAGGCGGGCAAGCAGACTTTAAATCACTATAAGAGGCTAATAGTTCTAACGAAATAGATATCTCTACCTGTTAGGTGGAATGGGGAAGAACTGGCTAATGCCCCAGTTCACCTCAACCTTTTTTAATGAGTTGATAGCTTATGCTGTAGTACTTATAACATAATCCTATGTCACTCTAGGGGACTTTTGACTTCTGCTTTTCAAGATGGAGGTTCAGTGAAAAGGAAGGAAGGGGAGGAAAGCAGAGACAAGGACTAAAGAGTTGAGGGTGGGGAGAAAATCATATGTATTTCTGCTAGCAATTAAATCCCACTTGGTTCCAAGGACCTACTCCCTAGCACATGTGTTTAGGACTGAAGAAGGAGAACAGCAACTGTGGAGTTCTCCCCCACCCCATAGCATAGTGGAATTGGAAATGTCATTCATCCAAAAGGGGGAGAGCAAACCCATTGCTCTATGACATAATAAAAGGTGGTGTTCCCTTCTCATAAAACATCCACCTGACTAAAAGATAAGAACTTTTGCAGATGTTGATATTAATGGTTTCTTCTTATTCTTTGTAATTGTAGTGTTTGAAGTTCTGCAGCTATGTGATTCTCTTCGAGATGATGTCCTTCCTGAGCATGGAGTTCGGTTTGAAGATCATGAAGGTAATTAAGTTGGAAATCAAACTGGGCTCCAGTCTTGCTTTTGACAAGTTAGTACATCCTGGTGTCTGTTTCCAACTAACAGTAATGAGGCGCAGTAACAAAATGAATGAGCTTTGTCAAGCACCCTGGACTCTTAAAAGATGCAATGCTAAAGACATTTACGTAGAAGTGGCATTTCAGTAGGATTTTCTTCCAAGTAAATATGGTGATGATTTGGATGTGAAATAGACACAACAGCAAATAATAGCAGCAAGAAATCATAGATTTCTCAAACTTTTGCCCATCTTTTTCCAAGAGTTGTCCATCAATTAAGGTTAAGTGAGTTCTGCCTTTTGTGTTCAGCAGTGTGATGTATATTTTAAATAGCTGCAGAGGAGTTCAGCAGCATCTAGAGGGTCACACGTTTCCATCCCTGGTGTGTATCATTGGGATAAATACTTTAAAGTAGTAATATATATGATCATTTATTCCTTGTAATGCTTCTATTGTAGGACTCCCAACTGTGGTCAAGCTAGTGGACAGAGACACCTTACTAAAAGAAAGAGAAGAGAAGAAAAAGGTTATACGTTATTTGAACTAGTTTCTGTCTAGATGTGCCTAATTTTTGTCTAACGTCATTTGGGATGTTTAGAGGAATATAGCCTGCATCAGTCTCCTTCCACAAGCACAGCTTCTGCTGGGAATCTTGGACTTTCTAGACCCCACCAACCATGCAAAGACCTCCTGTAGCAATTGATGGGGCGAGGCAGCACCGCTCACTTGGCTTCCCAATAGGGATACAGCTGGTTAGGGGGAGGGGCAAGGTGGCAGGCGGGTGGTGTGGGTGCAGTGATTGTAGAGCTATATTGGCTCCACTGCCCTACTGGCGCTTTGCCAGTCGCCTTGCCCCTCCGACCCCCCTGTAATCTGTGGCAATCCTGACATTTGTAAACCGGGTAAACTCCTGTAATTAAGACACAATCATCTGACCAAAGGACTTTAACATGGCCAGTGTTCCAAACTCCTTTCTTTCCTTTTAAAAAGCTCTACAATTTTTCCTGGCTTTTGCTTATCAGAGTTTCTGAATAAGAGAACTCTAGGATTCTCTTGGTATGTTCACTCATTGTAGCTGACAAGTGCCATCTTCAGAGAGAAAAATGAACAAAAATCCTGTCATTTATAAGCAAGTAAAATAAAAGTTACTTCCCATTTATAGATGTAGCCCTCAGTGGTGATGCACTCCTATAAAAATAATGACACCATTCTCCCCACCCACCTAACAAGTACCTTCCGACATAAATCTTGAGATTACTACATTAGCACACATACTATTTTTATTGCATTATGGTGAGCCTTGGGACGTGCATATGAATGAGGAACATGCAGAGCTGGTGATTTTAATTCCCTCAAAAGTCAAAGACTGGTTGTTCTGGATAGAACTTTGTAAAGCTAACAGCTTAATTAGGATCCTGTTGTATAAAACATAGCTGTGGATGATTTGCTATTAAAATGCTCAGTGATTTACTTCTGTATTTTTTAAATCCTAATGTTGCTTTTCAAATTCTTTTTCCATAGATTGAAGAAGAGAAAAAAAGGAAGAAAGAAGAGGCAGCTAGAAAGAAACAGGAACAGGAGGTAAAGTAACCAAATACTTTTTAAATATACATTTTAAAGGTTGGTTTTAATGGCACTGATGTCAGGCGAGAAAAGGCATGTTTCAGGCTTTATCTTCCATTTATGTCACCTCCTCTGTTATGTGAGCTGCAAAGCAGAGCCAAATTGTTAGAGAGACCTTAAGCCACACAGCCCCTCAACACATAAACCCCTGAACCACCTTTTGCCCAGCAGCCGTTCCCAAACCATTGAGTACTTTGGTAGACCTACAGCATGAATGACACTCAAGGACTTCCAGCTGAACTCAACTGCTCCAGCATCCAACAGATGCCAAAGACACCCTCTTTCCAGAACCAACAGTATAACATTAGCAGAGAGTGAGATGCGGAGAGACCTGCCCAGCCAACTCTCTGCTTATAGCCATTTATTCCAAACATTTTATGTTGGAATCTTTCAGAAGAGAACATTGGGTTTTGCTGCCAAACACAAGGAAATGGCTTCTCAGTTGTGTGGGGTGGCTTTATCAACAGGCAAAACTGAATCTGCTTCAGTCACAAAATATGCTGTATATTCTCTGCTACCACCACCCCAATCTCTCCACCCCTACCATGTGTACATAGCCTATTTTTGCTCCTGGCGTATGCTTTGATCATCTGCAAAATGTTCATGTTTTGCTAGGCCTCTGTCTTCTATAGAGTCAACATATTGCTGGGTTGCATTTAGAATGGCTCTTCTGTGACCTTCTATAGTGTTATGGAGGATCCCTCCAACTCAGCTTTTCAAGGGGCATAGGGAGCTGCAGGCAGAAGGAGGAATCACTAGAATTTCTCCTCTCTACCCCTTTCCACCAATGGGAGTGTCTTGTAAGCACACCTCCTGCTTGGATCTGGATCCAGTTCAATATATTTAAAAACTCTATCATCAACACCACAAGTGCACAGAACAGCATCTCTTTAAAAGGGGAATGTCTTACCAATAGAAAGCTAAAATAGCAAGTGTCTCTTAAAACTTTACCGGACATTTGCTTTGCAAGTTGTTCTCGCATCTTGCGATACATGGTATGAGAAAATGGGGAAATTAAATAAAAACACAGGTTTCAGCAGATTTTGAAGATACTTTTGTACTCAGGACCCAAACCAGTTTTAAATCCAAAGACTTATATGCTTTTCTGACAGCCTTTTGTGGGGGCGGGTTGTGTCTTTGGAAGGATGAGCATCAGAGTATCAGCTTAAATTTGTTTTCAGGAATTGTTTTGATGTAGGAGGTTAATACTGGCTGTGATATTCATGTATTCCAGAGTTGTAACACTTTTTAAATATATTGCAGGCAGTAAAATTGGCAAAAATGAAAATCCCCCCAGGAGAAATGTTTAAATCGGAGCATGACAAGTATTCCAAATTTGATGAAAATGTAAGCATTACTGCAATTTTTCTTCCTTGAATATTGTATTTAGGGATCCTGGGGAAAGCTGCTAGTTCAATCCTGGACAATTAAGATAGATAGATAGATAGATAGATAGATAGATAGATAGATAAGGTAAGGTAAGCATTATTTTATTAACATTTGTGTAGCACTTTAAGTGATCCAAGGGCTTTACGTGCATTATCTAATTGCAATCCTTAGAACACACTGTAAGGCAAGGCAGTATTATTATCCCCTATATTGTATATTGAGGAGGAGGTGAAGGGAGACAGTGGCTGAGAGTTCATGGCTAGAGCTCAACCACCACACTACACCAGCTGTACAACCTATGCACGTTTATGCAGAAGTAAACTCTACTGAATTCAATGGGACTTGCTCCCAAATAATTCTGCATCATATTAAAGCATGTGAGTCTTTTGTTACAGCCACAAATTCTAGAGCCTTTTCATATTTGTAACTTTGGCACATTTTTCACCCCTCTTCAATGAGGATGCATGTCTATGGTTTTCTGTGCATGTAAAGGAAAATAGTGATAAGGCAGGTGAGTCCTAACAACCCTACCTCCTGCACCTAGAGGAGACAGACATGTTGACTACTACCTGATACTTAATAAGGAGGTTCAGCCTTAAACTCTTCCAAATCATTTCCTAACTTGATGTGTTACTGCTTTTTTTCAGAATCTTTTGGAGTTACATATGTGGTTTATTGGGCTTGAATAAATAAGCAAAGAACCCAGGTTTTTATTTTTCTTGTTGATAATGCCTAATTACTGGTGAAAAGGGATAATGCTATTGCATTACCACAGCAGAAAGAAACAAAAACGTTGAGATAACATGGTCCTAAGATAATGAATTAATGTTTTCCAGGGGTTTCCAACTCATGACACAGAAGGCAAAGAACTCAGCAAAGGTCAAACGAAGAAACTAAAGAAACTCTATGAAGCACAAGAAAAACTGTACAAAGAATATCTTCAAATGGTTCAGAATGGAGTTGCAAACTGAGAACAAAGCTTGGACAATCTGCTTCTTAAATAAAATATACAGCTGGATAAACTTTGTGAGGGGAAATGCGTTTTCACTGGGCTTTAACTTTCCATATTGTGCTGAACAAAAAGTAACGCTGCAATCCTATACACACATGGGATTAAGTCCCATTGAACACAATGAGACTTACTTCTGAGTAAACATGCATAGGATTGCACGGTTAATATCACCTTGTTTAAAACGTCAATAAAAGTTTTGTTAGTTAAATAAGGTTCTGTAATATTTTTATGTGATACAAGTCAATAAACTATTTGCTAACTGTCCCTAAGAAGATTTTTTTTGGGAAATAGAGGTGCGTAGGGGGAGGGGGGATCAGAGACAGTGTCCTTTCCATCTCTGCCATCTGTAGCAGCATCAGGTTGGACTTTTGCTCCATGGAACTCTGGATTCAACCCCTTAACTTTAGCTGGACTTGTATCTTTTGTGAGAAGTCATTCAAGCCAAACTCACAATGTCTCAATTCATCTGTTAAAACTATGGGGAGAATTCTCTTTGTAATATGGATAGTACATGCGCTTAGCTTTGCTCAACAGAAGCAGTTTTTACATGTGCTTAACTTGGGTAACCAAGTGCTGCCTCTGACATTTACTTTCTGAACTGTAAGCCTAAGAACACACCTGCTTCAATTCATTTCCTCTATGGGGACTCCACAAATGCCATGTCTTTCCCCCCTTAGTTTTGTTGCTCCTTTTGAGGAGCTTAAAAGGATAACCTTGAGGAAGTGGAAAAGGGCACCAGTGTTTTTCTCCAGCAGGAGCATTCTGCTGGACTGAGCTGCTTAAGCAATGTGTAAATGGAGTACAGTGTCAGTTAGTGTGGACAGCGACTATTGGTCACTGCCTCTACCCTTAAAAACATACTGAGGAGTGGGATCCCCTAAGGCAGTGCTGTAGCTAAGGTGATGCTCTCCAAATGTTATTGAACTATAGCTCCTATTATCCCTGACCACTGGCCATGATTGTGGGGGCAAGTGGGAGTTCAACAACATTCAGAGACCACCACTGAGGCTGCCTGTACTCTAAGGAGAAGCCCTGAAATTAAAGTGCCTGGACATTTAAAACAGACTTAATAAATGTTATATTTTGGCTGTTGGTTTTGAAATAAAATTGGCAAGAAAATCTGCAATGCCAGATAAATGGCATCCTGGAAATACAGGGTACTGCAACTTCCCTATCATCTTTGCACAGCAGTGCTTGATTCTTGGCCAGGAACAAAAAGCACTGCCTTGGCTCCCTGGTTAACATGAAGACACTGGCAGTTATCTTAAGCTGTGAACGAGACCTTTTTTTATACTTGTCCACCTCCAGGTATTTCCAGCTTTTTTAATAGAGAGAGTACAAGGCTGTACAAGAGTTGCATACTCATGGTTGGTTTATACAATCAGCAGATGGCATCATTTTAAGGCAGGCATGTTCAACCAGTCGATCGCGGGGCATCCCTGGTCGATCATGTGATCCTGAATGATGCCCCCCCCAGAAAAACCTCAGTGGGTAGATCACTGCCAGATTTTATATAGTGGGAGTAGATCGCAGTCTCTTGGGAGTTGGACATGTCTGATTTAAGGGTATGATACTAGAATACTCCTTCCAGCATAAACTGGATCATGTCATGAGAGGTTCTACAAGCTTTCTCTCTCACGTGCTGTACTACTAAATCCTGGCCATTGTTTAAATTGGCCGAAACCCAAGGAGCTATATAGGTTGCATGAGATCATCAAGCAACCTTTAACTAAATGGCTTCTATAGTCTGATATGCATCAAGCTGAGTTCATCATTCACGTGCAGGTGTGCAGGCTTCGACTTGCTTGGCACTTGTTGGATCAGGAACTGCTAGCATAAATTGCTTGTTGTGTCAAGAGATTGGTTGTAACAGTGGCTGCTCTTGATAACAACTGGCACAGAATGTCACTCTGGGGATTGCAATGCCTAAAGTCCTACACTGCACATCTCAGGGCACTGGTTTTCAAACTATTTTCAGAAACCTCATGGATTCCTTAATGAGAAAGATCCATTAGGATATGCAGAGAGTTTGCTCCCTGCAATTGGTCTTGCCCTGCAATGTGCAGCCAGGAGGATGTGTATTGTAGGCTGTATGCCCAGTTCACACAGAGCAATGCTGAAACTTGGTCAGTGCCCCATGTCAGTATCTAGAACATGCCCACAAATTCTCAGGGATGGTGTGGCAGTGTTGCTGAATTATCCAAAGAGAAAACACTGGAAAGTGTTTCTGATGGAAGAAAGGTAAAAAAACCCCGCCTCTCATCCTGTCATACACACACGCATTAAGATATCAACTAGAGAGGCTCCATTCTGTGTACCATCTGCTCATGAAATAAAATCTGTGTAGAAACGGGGCCGCATTATAGGCAGGCATATTTTGACTTCATTTGTACTGCATAACAGTGTGATTCCTGTTTAAATACTTCAGTGGAATTCTTTGTGCTTATCAGATACTTGATAGCACACCATTCTGTGATATTGTTTCTCCTCATGACAGCTGCTTGAGACCTCTTTGAAGGAAAGTGCATGGCAAAACCTACAAATAAATCAATGGATCTGTTACATTCCAATGCTCCACATATCTGTGAATTTTGTCTACCTTCTCCTCCTGAATGGCTTTGATAGCATAGGCAAGTGGGTTCCTGTCAAAAAGGAATGCAACAGAAATGTTTGAAGAATGTGAATCTTTCTGTGCAGGGCCCCCGAAGGAGAGGTGCCTCATCAACTGAGTCAGATAGCACCCCGATATCTACTCCCATCCTGCCTAAGGAAGCTAGAGCTCTCCCTAAGATTGTCTGTGAAGGGAGAACTGGGCACGCAAACTGAGGATGAGGTAAAATAGCTTTTGTAGTCAAGGCTATTTGATAAAGAAGAGGGAGATGTACAGCCCATTTTCTAGGATCCAGCAACCAATGACACCATCTTGTTCACTTCCTTGGAAGCAGGGGTGTTTCTCATTAGCTATATCCCAGCCTTTCTTCAAGGAATTCAGAGCAGCCATTTAGCTTCACAACAGTTTGGAGAAATAAGTTTGGCTGAGAGATAAGTGTTATGTCTGTACACACCCTGCCAAGGTTTAGGGACTAAACTTCAAGCCACAAATTACTGAAAAGCTTTACCCTGGCATAGGTCTCATTTGCTTGTTTGCTGCGCTGTTTGTTCTCTTGAAGCTGCCCCCAAAAGAAAACTGTTCAGCAACATAATACATTTAAAATGTTATACCCTTGGAAATGGCATATTTTGGAAGAGGGTGCATTTCAGTGGGTGGCACTTCTGTGGAAAGCTGCACAGTATTGGAGTAGCACATATCATTAGGGAATCATGATTCTGGCAGTGCTACAAAACACCAAACAGGATCAGCAATTGTGCATTTAAAATCTAGTATTGTTAACAATATTACCCTCCATTAAAAATCACAAGAGGGGCTCAGAGCATAAAACAAAACACATCAATAATAAATAATATTATCAGATACTCTCCCAGTACCCCCCCTCCACAGAAATCTCAAAAACAGCAGTGGGATCCTGCTTCCATAATCATCCTACAGCAGATGTGGGCACAGAACCTATTTTTCTAGAAAAAATAGCACTGTGTATGGGGGAGCCTTTTGGAGTCGAGATGTTGCTGAACTACAAACCCCATCAGCCCTGGCTATTGGCCATATGCTTGCTGGGGCTGTTGGGAGCTGTAGTTCAGCAACATATGGAAAGCTAAAGGTTCCCTACACCTGTCCTATAGCAACAGATATACTACAGACTGCTCTACCAAACATTGGGAAGTCTTACTGTGTATGTTACTCTTTGACAATAATGTTTTATTTCTTCGTTTACTTCAAAATGTGATAAGCCAGCCCTGCTGTGTTTGAGGGCCTTCATATTCATTCCGAGTGGAACCCTGAACTTCTGCCTGAAAGTCCTGGCTTGATACCACTGACTGGACCAGACAGGACTTTGATCCGATACTGCAGGAGCTCTAACTTTTTGTGACTGGACAGGAGGAGAAAAGAGTGATCTTACTGAATGAAGGGTATCTGGCACCAAACATGGCTTCTGTTTCAAAGTTTAAAACGATTTCGGAACTATCTTGAGGCAGTATTCTCAAATTTTCCCCTAATTGGTAGTGTGCAAAATGTCAAAGACTATCTGACTATTCAAGTTTAGCAATGAAAGTGCACAGGCGAATTGTGAGTGCTGTTAGTGTGTGTGCTGGAAACTTGCTTCTACAGAAATGACTCTGTTGAGAAGGTAGGCAGATTGGCATGCTCTGATTTTTGTCTTTGCAGCAAGGATTAATATCTAAAGAAAAAAACAGCCCCACCCCACACCCCACTTCAGCACTTGAATTACTTGGTCAAAACAACCTGACAAGGGCACTCCTCCGCATATTTTAGGGATTTGGCTTCTTGCTTTCAAGGACATGGAATCAGCACTGGAGGGGTGGGGAGCAGGGCAGGGATTGGCATCAGCAGGTATCCACCAAGGTCCACATCCCAGGAAGAGGATAATCCCTGCTGCTGTTCATTCTTTGCTGTTGCTGCTCACTCAGAGTGGGAGAGGAAGTCCGAGAGAACAGTGTCAAGGGCAACAAGGTGGAACAGCAGGAGCGTTCTGGAGGGAGACCGTGACAAGGGGAGTGAGTGGCAAACACTGTCCTTCCTCCTCATTGCTGCTGTCACTCACCCATCTTGGTGAATGAGCAAGGCGGAGCAGCAGCTGCCACAGCTTGCTCCTTGATACTTCCATTCTGGCTCCCAGCAAGTAAGTGAGTAAGCAAGCATGCATGCATGCAGCAACTCCTCCTTGCCAGCCTGCTCTCCCCAGAGTGGTTAAGTGAACCAACATCCCACCTGCTTGCCTGCCTACTCTTGCTTGAACCCAGAAGGTCCAGATAAAGCTGAAAGGGACCCGGGTTTGAAACCATAGAGAGCTGCTGCTGGCCAGTGTAGACAATATTGAGGTAGAGCCTGGATGAAGAGCCTAAGCCTAAGCCTTCTGGGCCTCTTCATTTGACTCTCAGGACTCTTCCCCAGACCACCCCTTCCTTGAGTACTTTTGCCCATCTGGAAGGCAAAAATATAGGTGTTGTGTGCCATGCTCTAATTATTGCATGGCTGAAATGTAAGCTTGAGGCACATCCGTCGCTCTGCCTACTGTTGCTTCTGGCCATATGTAGCCCCCGTTAAGTTGACCACAAGGAAACATGGCCCTCAGCCTGAAAAGGATTCTCCACACCCGAGCTGGAACAACCAATTTTCTGACTTGTTATAAGGCAGCTTGCTGTGCCTCTGTGAGGTGTGCACTGAAATAGCTGGATACTCTGAGGGCATCTTAAGCTTACAAGGCAGGCTTAAGCAGTATGTGGACCGAGAACTCCCAGAAGTGCAAGCTGGATTTCAAAGGGGCAGAGGAACCAGAGACCAAATTGCAAACATGCGCTGGATTATGGAGAAAGCTAGAGAGTTCCAGAAAGACATCTACTTCTGCTTCATTGACTATGCAAAAGCCTTTGACTGTGTCGACCACAGCAAACTATGGCAAGTTCTTAAAGAAATGGGAGTGCCTGATCACCTCATCTGTCTCCTGAGAAATCTCTATGTGGGACAAGAAGCTACAGTTAGAATTGGATATGGAACAACTGATTGGTTCAAAATTGGGAAAGGAGTACAGCAAGGCTGTATATTGTCTCCCTGCTTATTTAACTTATATGCAGAATTCATCATGCGAAAGGCTGGGCTGGATGAATCCCAAGCTGGAATTAAGATCGCCGGAAGAAATATCAACAACCTCAGATATGCAGATGACACAACCTTGATGGCAGAAAGTGAGGAGGAATTAAAGAACCTTTTAATGAAGGTGAAAGAGGAGAGCGCAAAATATGGTCTGAAGCTCAACATCAAAAAAACGAAGATCATGGCCACGGGGCCCATCACCTCCTGGCAAATAAAAGCGGAAGAAATGGAGGCAGTGAGAGATTTTACCTTCTTGGGCTCCATGATCACTGCAGATGGTGACAGCAGTCATGAAATTAAAAGACGCCTGCTCCTTGGGAGAAAGGCGATGGCAAACCTAGACAGCATCTTAAACCTAGACAGCATCTTAAAAAGCAGACACATCACCTTGCCAAAAAAGGTCCGTATAGTTAAAGCCATGGTTTTCCCAGTAGTGATGCATGGAAGTGAGAGCTAGACCATAAAGAAGGCTGATCGTCAAAGAATTGATGCTTTTGAGTTATGGTGCTGGAGGAGACTCTTGAGAGTCCCATGGACTGCAAGAAGATCAAACCTATCCATTCTTAAGGAAATCAGCCCTGAGTGCTCACTGGAAGGACAGATCCTGAAGCTGAGGCTCCAATACTTTGGCCACCTCATGAGAAGAGAAGACTCCCTGGAAAAGACCCTGATGTTGGGAAAGATGGAGGGCACAAGGAGAAGGGGACAACAGAGGACGAGATGGTTGGACAGTGTTCTTGAAGCTACAAACATGAGTCTGACCAAACTGCAGGAGGCAGTGGAGGACAGAAGTGCCTGGCGTGCTCTGGTCCATGGGGTCACGAAGAGTCGGACACGACTAAACAACTAAACAACAACAACTGAGGGCGTCTTGCCTTAAGGGTGCCCCTCTGCAATCTGGAGTTGGCACTGCATGGCAGCAGAAACTTTCTGCCCCAAGGGGTTTTCTAACCCTTTCTCCTGCAGCTGCTGTCACCACAGACCAACCCTATGTCAATTTCAATGGAGTTTCATTCTAAATCAATATGTCTCTAGAAATAAAGTCACTGACATTTTAAAACTGGAAGTAAATAGTAAATATGCCATCCTGCTTTGCTTCCCACCCCTTTTATTTTGACACACAGATATGAGAAATTTGAAACTAAACACAATGACACCCTCTGGAACTCATGGTAAAGTTGGCCTTGGGCCTATTTGCATGTGCGCTCATGATGCTTACCATTATGCGCATAGCAAGAAGCCCAACTTTGAATCTTTAAATTAAATTAACTTTTACAAAGTTATTACACTGCACAGCGGGGATTACTGTGTTCCGTCTTACACGCCTGTGATGGATTTCTAAAACGCTGCATGTTCAGAGGGTAGGAAGTTGCGAATGCAATTTCTTGCCAGGATGTGAACACGTGATTCCGCACAAATGTGCAATACGTTTATTCTTTCCTTGAGGCTTTCTTGCATTATTCATCACCATAGCACACCGTCCCTTTCAAACGCGAGTAGGGAACTGTTGCTGATATCCAGCTCCCATAATCCCTGACTATATGACATGAAGGCTGGAGCTGATGGGAGCGGAATCCAGCACAAGCGGAAGGGCCACTGGTTCCCACTAAATTACCTGCCAGTAAATTTACTTATGCGTCGAATCACTGGCACAATACTCTCCCTTTCACTTTAAAACGTCCTCAGCCTCGAGGTGAAAGTCGACTAGCTCTAGCTTGGCGCCAGGCGCTCAGATGTTGTCCATCACAAACGTTGCCATGGCAAAACGCAAGCATTAAGTTAGTGCAGGGCCGACCGCCCCTTCCACCTCCCCACCCATTGTTTCCTTAAACAGCTCCTGCTCCTTTAAATGCCGCGGCGCGTTCCAGCGCCTCCCTCGCTCCACCGGTCAAGCCCCGCCCACCCCACTCCTCTCGCCTCGCCCCCTTCCCCGCATCGGAGAATTCTCTCGCGCTTAGAGCGGTCCCGCGCACGCGCGGCGAGCGCGAGCTCTCCCACCTTCCCCACGCTCTGATTGGCTCATCCCCTTTCTGCCGGAAAGTCAACATGTCCCGCGTGTGGAGCAGCGGCCGCCGCTAAGCCTAGGCCAACCCGAACGGCTCTTACTGCGCGCGGCGCTGTCGCGTCGGCCAATGGGAGGCGGCCTTCTTTAGGGCGGCGCAGCCCCGAGTGAGTCGGAGTGAGAGGATCAGCCTGGGCGCTGCTATTGCGGGCGTGAGGAGACGCAAGGGCCGGGCCAGGTGAGTTGGGGATAGCGGGGGCTGGGCCCGGGCGAGGCGGGGCGCAGCGCGGAGCGGGCCTGTTGTGCTGCTGCTGCACACCCGGGCTGAAGGGCGGAAAGGAAGGCGAGCAGGCCCCGTTGTGCTGCCGAGGCCCGGCTGACGGGGGGAAACAGGCAGGGGAGCGGGTGGGGCAGTCCGGTCCCAGCACGGGCACCATTTTAAGGAGCGGCCTCGGCTCTGGGCGCGGCGGAGCGGCTATTAAGGCTCCGAGATGCGGCGCTTCAGCGAAGGGGCGGACGAGGCGCTTCCTCGCTCTCTGGCGGCGATTCTTCACACGGGTTGCCGCAGGCGGATGGGAGGAGAGCCGCTTTTTTCCGCCGCCTCAGGGCGGACCCCGGGCTCATCCACACACGCGCGTATCGCTTCCTCTCTCTCCCGTACCTCTTCTCGGCCATGTGCTCTGCGATTTCTCTTCCCGTCCTGCTGTCTAAGCCACGCCGCTTTAAAAATGGCTATCTAGGAAGGTGTGCCGTGGGAAACGGGGACGGGAGTTGCGGTGCGGGGAAGTCAGTTGGCGCCGTGTGTGCGCGCCTTATGAAAGGCTTGTCGTATAGATAAACACCGTGAAAAGCGCCCCCCTCTTTTTTTCTCCCGATGTAGGCCCTGCAGTATGTAACCTGGCAGGCCCTTGTTTTTCCTGCCAGCGCCCTCTAGTCACTGCTCCTCTCTTCCTCTCAGCCTCCCCCCCACCCGCTGTATAGAGAACACATAGTTTTGTTCCTGCCCGAGGGTTTCTGACTGCAAGTTCTGTAACGGAAGCCATAATTTTCCTTTGTGGTTTGGCATCGCTACTTGTAGCTCTTATTGCAGGGGCCGCACCATCTTCCAGGCTTAGAAAGATAATTGACTCGCGCTTGATGCAAGTTTTGAAAGAGTCTGATAAATGCAAGACCTTGGGGACGCAAGTTTCATCATGCTGGACTGGTCAGTCAGCTCCGACAAACTTTTATATGTAACACTTAGCTGATCAATGTGAAACTCAGTCAAAAAAAAAGAAAGAAAGAAAAGAAAAGGGGGGGTTGAGTCAGTTTTAAACTTACTGCACAGAAACCCATTCCTTCAAAAATAGGTGGCATTGTGGAAGATAATATTCAGTAATGAATTGTGTACACAATAACACCATATGGGTTGAAATCTTCCTGTAGTAGAATCTCAGCATGACTACTGTTTGTGTTCCCTAGCATACAGATTCTTTCCCCTGTTAGTTTGCAAACATTTGCTCCTATTTACCATTGCTTCATCTTGATTCCTCCCATTTGAATACTCAGGGGATTGATAGGAGTTTAAGTCAACTGCAGCTGGATAGCCATGAGCTCCTATACATTATAAGAATTAAATCCCACTTCATGACAGATGCTCTCCAATAAGTGTGCACAAGCCCCATTAAACATTATGGAATTATATCTGAGTAAACTTAAACAGCTATCTTAGATCTTAAACTAATTTGAGGGGTTTTGTGGTACAGTCAAGCAGTATATAGATGTTATGAAATAAAATATGGAGTCAGGCCATTTAGTTTGTTTTGCACATTTATTTCTAACTAATTGGCTGTAGCTCTTCAGGGTTTCAGATGGGATATTCCCAGCTCCACCTGGAAATGCTGATAGTTGAATTTGGGACCTTCTGGGTGCAAAGCAGATGTTCTACAACTGAACTGCAGTCCTTCTTTGGTTCATATGAATAGTAATAATTAGTAGTTGTATGTATGTATTCAGTGTATATCCTGCCCTTCCTCCCAGAGGAGCCCAGTCTACAAGACTTGATGAAACAAGATGCAAATCTTGTAGTTTAATTGTGTTTGCATTAATTATAACAAATAATCCACTTTTGGAAGGCTCCCAAAATATAGACACTTACCAGCAGTTTTCTTTAATTATTTTCGACTGACAGTGTAGACGGTCTCTTAAAATGCTCTTGCTTCTTAGGTATAATTCTTTGCATACTTGACTGGCTTTTTAATAAGTATGTACTATTGTAACTGATGGGGCAAGGAAGAAAAGAAAGAACTGTTAGTCCTTTGTTGAAAACCAAATTAATATTGGTTGGAAACTAAATTATATTTTGCTTACAACTTGCTGTCAGTTACTCTTTGAGATAAAGTGGCTAATTTTGTTGCATAGCAGTAAAGACAGATGTAAGTTTACATCTTCCGCTAAACATGTGCATATGATCCTTAAAAGGCCTAGTTCAAACAAGCCTTTGTTGGCTACAAATTCCGCTAGGGACATTGCAGAAAATCTGTCTCAGTTCTACACGTTTACAAAAGTAATTCTGAAATGAGTAAGCAAATGAAATTAGTAGATTTCAGGAATCTTGTTGATCACCATGTTGTTGGTTGGTGGTATTCAGGACAGTTACTGTGAAGGACTATGGCACTTACATAACATTAAGTATAACTTGATTCTCTATGAGGACCGAGTTGTGTTCAGGATTTCCATGAGTAGAACTCCCACCATAAGATGATCCCATCAGAGGAGGGAGTGGAAGCAATTCCTGCCAATACTTCCATTCCTCTGTACCACCTGAATATTCTGCAGAAGGTTGGGGGCCCCTCCAAAACATGGTGGGAAGTGTTGTGAGGAGCTGAAGGAAGAAGGTCCCATCTGTAAATGGAAAGAGCCCTTCCATTCACAGTAGGACAATTCACTACACAACATGTTTTGTTTGTGGGCCTGCTTTATAAAAGGTTTGAAATATGGTCATGTTGACTGATATCTAATTTAATATACATTATAACCATAATCCTACAGATTTCTGGCAATTCACCTTGCTGAAATACTTCAGCAAGTGTTTTTGGAATTTGTTGACTGTTGCTGTTGGTGAAAACATGCTTATAAAAGCATTGTGTTCTATCTCACATGACTGAGAATTTGGTGTTAATACACATTGTCACTTACATTTTTCTTTAAACTACTTTGTGTAGTTTTAATGTTATTCTATGGATATTTTATTTATTGTATTTATTTTTATTATTTATTGCATTTTATGTCCCATCTTTTTGTCCAAGGAGCTCAAGGTGGCCTACATGGTTGTCCCCGCTCCTCAAATAATTCCCGCAACAACCCACTGAGCGGCGGTGACTAGCCCACAGTCACCCAGTGAGCTTCATGACATAGTGGGGATTTGAACCCTAGTCTCATGGGTCCTAGTCCAACACTCTATAATCACTATAACACACTGGCTGTCAGTGTGGATAATGATGGGGGAAAGTCAAAGTAGAATTTAGCATTCCATCTATGAAACAATCTATTGCTGACTGAATTGGTCAAACTTTGTCTTATTATTTGATAGCAACTTCACGTAAAGTGCCTTTATTTTTAATTATGTCCCATATATTGACCATTCAGTAAACTTTAATTCAACTACCTTTGCAGGCTACATATCTTTAGAGGTTGCTTATAAGTTGTGATTATGGTTAAATATTCTGATGTTTGTCTTCTGGGCTTCTAAGTGGTACTTCTAATATTTTATATCTTTGAAGTAGGTATTTTGCTCTGTTACAGAGGTCATAACTACGTGTTGCACATGACACAGGACTGCTGCCAAAAATTGCAGCCCCATATCAAGTTCTTCTCTCCCCACCATCCTTCATCCAGATCCCATTTAATGCAGTCATTACATTGTCTGTCACCTCCCCACCCTCCCAGCTAATGCCAGTAACATGCAAGGCAGAAACTCAGAGTATTATATTGTCACAACATGGAATAAATTATCCTAAATGGGAAGACAGGGAGAACTTGAGAGAGAGGACTCTTTCAGCAGCTTCATATTGGGTGTAAAGTATCTTTCTAGTATTGTTGCAGTAACTGTTGCTCCGATCACTCCTGCATGTTTAGCTGTTTTCTTAATCTTTCTGATCATAAGTCAGAAATACTTCATCTTAAATTTATGAAACAGTGAGCTGGCCCAGATTTGTGATGAATAGCTTTTTCCCAAATGAGTGGCTCTTTCAGATTTTTGCTCTTACCTGCTTTTCAGTTTGTCATGTGATCTTGTAGGCAGAAGTAGGTAAGAATCTACAAAAGTAGGTAAGAATCTACAAGTAGTAATCTGGGTGATTTGCAGTAGATTTTTAAGAGTTTCTTTGTCAACAATAGCAACAACTTAAATCTCCACCATATTTATCATTGTTAAACCTTGCTAAAATGTAACCAAAATATATTTTGGAGAGTTTTGATATTGTGTATCAGAGGTGGAGAAACACTTTTTTTCTCATGGGACATTGATTCACAGGAAAGAAACAAAAAAAGAGCCAGAGTCCAGGGTGTTTCCTCCCTCCAGGCTCCCTTCCCGTGCAGCTCCACCAAGGCTTCAGCAGAATCACTTTTCAGCCATTACACACTGTGCACATGAACTCTCTTAAAAGGGGTGGGTGGGTGTTATGCCACTGTCCAGCAGAAGCACCCAACCAGTTGCTTTCCTTGCAGAGCTTTCACTTGGGAAGGGCTGTTCTCTCTCTCTCTCTCTCTCTCTCTCTCTCTCTCTGTGTGTGTGTGTGTGTGTAAAAAGATAACACTATTGCCAGACAATGAACAAGCAAGAGACAATAGTTTTCCATTTCTGCTGTAGAAAATCCAGCTGTGAGAAGAGGAAGCGTCCCTCCTTCCCTGTAGGCTCCTTACCCTAGCTCAACAAAGCAATGGGCCTCTCTCCTGTAGACTGTCTTCCTGCACTCGTCTTGAACAAGCTGGCAACAGATCTGTGAGGCCTTTTTGGCTCTCTCTAACTTTGACCAGCATCATGCCAGCCTGCCTTCGTTCTCTGAGCAAGACTGCTGCAGCTCCATGTGGGCTTTTACTTCTTTTACTTCCACTTCACCTGTCATGATTCCGAGTATTTTCCCTCTGGGGTGACTCCCTACCCCGGCAAGGTGACAGTTGCCCTGTATGTGCTTTCCAGCCCTTTCCTCCTTGCTCTGGCCTACATGCATCCTTTGCCAGAGCCATATATTGTGGCTACTGCAAAGATACTTCCCATAAGTTCTGATCCTTAGTGTCCCCCCCCCCCCACATTTTTTCAGGAAACAAAATTTGGATGAAATTGCACACTGGTTTGTCTTAAATTCAGAGTGGAGCAAAGGGAAGAGCATGAGTCTGATACTCATGCTTGTAATGCCAAAATATGGTTTGATGCTGACCTGCTACAATATGACATCCAAGTCACTTAACTGTAGTCATATGGACAATTTTCTAAAACCACACTCCAGAGTATATATGAGTATACTTTCTGGGTATATATGAATTGACCACCCACTTGTCAGTTCTGATGTCATGACATCTTCAGCTGATGAACTGTTCAATTCTGTCTACATAGAATTCTGCCAATGCATAACAGAATTCCCTACCTGTCAGCTGCCATCACCGACTCAATAGGGCAGAGTTTTCCAAACTGTGTGTCGTGACACATTAGTGTGTTGGCTGCAGTGTATAGGTGTGTCATGCTAAGACTCTTATAAGGGGTTAGTTTAACCTCTGGTTTGCTAATAAAACTGAATTACTGTGTCATGAAATGATATGTGTCTGAAAAGTGTGTCACCAACATGAAAAGTTTGAAAAACTCTGCAACAGAGTGATGCCAGTTGATTGACAGATGGGTGTGGTTTTGGGGAGATAGCCTCTCAGACTAAGATTGACTTGCATGCCAAAGGTTCCCCATACGTGCCTGTGGCCTAGGCCATGACCCTCAAATGCATAACAATGACAGTACTGCTTCCTTGCCTGGATGGAGGCATGTGTTTGTATAGAAACCCCCAACTTCTGTGTAGTTGGAATGTATCCCTACCGTACAAACAAGAGTTGCACCCATTATTTCACTCACTTTTGCTTCTGATCCTGCCCACAGGAGTAATTTCTTGAGTTTCTCTCTTCAACACTTGCAAATGATTCATTTTATTTATTTATTTACAAGGAAAAAAATTGGAGGGAGGAATGAAAAGAATGCCTAAGCACAAGTTCTTAAAGTTACATTTCTTAGAATGCAGTTAAGAGCAGCAACTCCTTGCAGATGTCAGTATAGAGATATTTGATCTATATACATTACAAAAGTAATAGAGAATAGAGGGCAACTCTGCTATGTACAATGATGCACTTATTCAAGCTCTAAGTTCATTTAAGCTTTTTTCAAAAATTGTGATTGGCTAAATAAGTTCTACCTCTAGTATTACAAAAATGAAATATATGAACTATAACGTAGGGATTTTAGTTTATGCTACTGTTGTTTGGATGTTTGTTAATGAAGGGGAAAAAACCATATATCTTACACATTCTAGGATTGACTTTTAGTCTGCTAAGCCCAATTCAATAGGCTTTCAGTGGAAAATAACAGAGAGAAATGTATTTCAACTTCTAAAGCAAGTCCATTCCATAATACATTCCATAATACAAGATGGCTGAAACCATTTTTAAATGTGATTCAGAAGTGGTTTATCCTGTAATTGGCTATTAGTAAAAATAATATACAAAAATAATACTATTCCATTAAAGTTGCTTTGGAAACGTATCAGCATACTTTTAAATTCTTTGTATTGTCTTACAGGTGGATAAAAGATCTCGCAGATGGCAGATAACAGGTAAGTTCTGAAAAGTCCTGAAAATTATGGGTCTTTAAGAATTAGTGGCAAATGTTTTGCGCTTGTCTGATTGATGTGTGATCACTGACACATGCAGTGTTTTCGGCACAACCACTATGCAAATGGGGAGTTCCCTGTACTAGAGAAAATCTTTCACTGGACTTAATAAAACATATTTTCTATACCGATTTTCTTTGGTTAAGACGTGGTCCCTCTAATGAGTCAGGAGATGATGACCATTTATTAAGTTTATATCCTGCCTTTCTTCCCAGAGGAGCACTGCAAATGGCAAAACAGCAAAACAACACAATTGAAAAGCATTAAACATTTCTGAAAACATATAATTGAAAATGTTTGTGCTTGTTTTTCTTCTAATCTGTGTGAAATTGGTAGGTCTGTGTAGCCCCGTTACTGGGTCATGTTGTGTCAGGGAGTGATGGTCAGTTTATGGTGCATTGTACATTCTTGATACCCTTAAAACATAGAACATGTGGGTCCTTCCTACTAAGGTTTTTTTTGTTGTTGTTGTTCTTAGTTACCCATGGGAAGCTTACTGAGAATTTTTAGAACCTGTGCTTCAAATTGTGTACTAGCGTTATAGCCAAACTACTATTCACAAAGCAAGAGAGGAAGAATAGGTCCTGAAACAGTAGTGGTCCAACTTCTTGGCAGGTGTATAAAAATCCAACTGAAAATATAAGAGTGCAACTCCAGGGTACAGTACAGTTAAATATGCAATTCCTCATGTTTTATGATGTGTTTCCTTCTGGTCTTAATTAGAAATGTGAAGGCCGGTGGGAAGGGGTGTGGCTTTGAGCTATGGAATGGAATGCAGTCCTGCACTAGAGTGGCAGGCGGAGCTCATTCTGTCTTAGGTAGGCACACTAGGTTTCATTGCTCCTGCCCTGGCATGCCACAAACTCCTGATTTGTCTGTCTCTTGAGGCATCCATACTGTGTGCCATAGGAGCCAACTCCTAAGGAGCAAGATCCCTTCAGCCCCCTCAGTAAAATATTTGAGGGGGCCATCCCCCCTCCCAGTGGAGGGGCATTGCTATTCAAATGATGTATGTGAGCCACATCCAGTTTTAGAAACTTTGATATATAAGCTAGGTGCCAAATAGCTCTTTAAACCAGGGTTACAGTTTAATTTTCTCCAATTGCCTTTTCAAGTTGGAAATTTAGAAATAGTGATTCCTAACCAATGAAATTCTCCTGGCAAGCTGTTTGGAAATATGTGTCATGGGAATCTTTCCACACACACCTAGAATGCAGTATAATTCACCTAACAGCATCTTTAGCCTTTATCCTGTGTACAATCTTGGCAAAAGTAATGGAAAATTGAAAATCTGATTTATTTTTAAGTGCCTATTGTACAAGTTCATTTGAGTGTCAAAACTGCCAACAAGAAATTGATATCTTTACTAATTTTTAAAATACCAGTTTACATTGGGTTGGATCCAGAACTTATCCTGTCATGAATAGAAGGGCAGCCCTTTGGAACAATGGACTACAGAGGAAAGGAGGAATCTTTAAAAGTTCTGCTTTTTAGTCCTTCTCCCAACCACTCAGTTTGAGTGGCATTCCAGTGAGCATTACCCTGGATCCACCCCATTTACCAAAGCTTACTTGATTTAAGTTATATTATATTATGCAAATATCTCTCAAATATGTTTTTGCAGTAAAACAGAAGATGCTGCCTCAGATTCTGTGGAAGCTGCTAAAGGTACCGGTGATAAAAAAGGTAACTGATTAAAATACTATGTTTCAAAAGTATGTTAAAATGCAGAATGAGTGTGTGGTTAGGGTTTCCAGAGATTGTTTTTATCCCTTTAAAAGCTCTGAAGGTGAGAGAAATTATGCTGCTGCTGTGCATCCTATCCTGGTTTTTGTGTATAGCTCCTTCCTGCACCTCTTCCTGATGGGGTAAAAGTTATGTTTTAGTGGACAGAGATGGCAGAGCAGCAGGAGCTGTGACCACTGTCTTAAAGGGTATGCCAAGAACTTCCTTGTGCCTTCTGTTATGTTGCATATACATCAAAGGTCTAAATCAGAAGGTTCTTGAAGACTGCTCGCCAGGTTTGCACATTTTCTCTGGAATTCATATCTTTTCAGGAACTGAGATAATATCTTCATATTTGGGCAATTAGTTGATGCTGGGTATGAATAGGGATGGTTCTTTAATCCTGGCCCCAGAGTATGAAATCTGTTTTGATTACATGTTCTGTTTTGTGCACTGGGCCTTCAGGGATAGAATTGCTTAAAATTCCAAAGAAATGCAGCTTAAGTTGCTGGGGACAATAAGGGAACTTGAATGAATGGGTAGCTTTTGACCTGTACTTTGTACCTCTGAAGAACTTTTCTTCAATGTCATCTTATTTCCATCATCCACAGCTTTTGTAATTTGAACGTCTTATATTTCCAGATAGATTCATTGTTCCTTTGGGAGCACAATACCCTATCTAAGAATTCCCTGGTTTGAATTTTATGTGGAAATGATGCCAAAATAAATGCCTAATAAAATTATACCGATATAGTGAGATTTGTTTAAACTCTTCTTTTACAGAAAAGTTAGCAGACCAGGTAATGCAGAATCCACAAGTCTTGGCAGCTTTACAGGAGCGACTTGATAATGCACCTCACACTCCTTCCAGCTACATTGAAACGTAAGAATGAGAAACACCACTTGTCACAAGTAAAAGATTCACTGGTCCAAAAAATGCATTTGCCACTATTAGGTACATTTGTTAATTTGATTTGGCAAGCTCAACCTGAGGTTAAGGAAAGCCTCCAGCCTTAGAGAGGGACAGGAAATTTCTCTGAATTCTGGAGATACTTGGAAAGTAGTGAAAATCTTATTATGTGGAGGAAGCTAGATGCAGCTGCTATGTAAATTCTAAATAATTTTGTTCCTAGCTTACCAAAAGCAGTAAAAAGAAGAATTGATGCCTTGAAACAGCTTCAGGTGAAATGTGCCCATATAGAAGCTAAATTTTATGAAGAAGTTCATGATTTAGAGCGAAAATATGCAGCCCTGTACCAGCCTCTCTTTGATAAGGTAAGGCATGTAAATTTCCTTGCAGTCTTAACTAATATTAGTGGAACTATGCTTCATCTTCCTGTAATTGTAACAGCTCCTATCATTGCGAGGGGGCTAAAACTGGGTTGTTCTTTGCACTGTGTGGTTGCTATTTTATTTCTGTCATCTATATCATGAGAACTTGCATATAGCTATCCGAAGTGTTCTCAAAGCCTGACTACTTAGGTGTGTGTTTAGCATGTGTTGACAAAAGGGATGTGAGAACAATAGGCAGAGTGGTCCCTCTAAGACAGCTGCTAGATATATAAAACTAATGTTCCTGCTGTTAGTAGCCTTTACCTAAAGCAATAACTATATTAGGGCTTTACTGTTAAGTCTTAATTCTATAATTAATTATTTTGGCATTTAGAATACTGGTATTCATTTATGGTATAGTTATTCAGGATTCCTCTGATCCTGGTCAATTTCATGTTTGAACTGTTCAGCAGCTACACAGCTGTAATCTGCACTTCATTTTCTCTTTTTAGGCATTATAGTGTATTTAGTTTTTGTTCAGCTAAAGTAACTGTTTTCTTTTCTTTTTACTTTAATTTACAACATTCAAATGATATTTGTTGCCCTGTACCTTGGTTAGAGTATCTAAAATACCAGAAACCTAAGTCACTCTCAGATATTGTTTGATGATAAAGTCATTTGGGTGTTAGATTTTAAAAAATGAAGCATATTCCTAATACTTCTGAGATAGTAGTTTATACAGTTCCTTAACTCATTTGAGCATACAATGGGAACCACCATTGTTGATCCATTTTCCACAGCACTCTCCAGTGCTCTTGGATAACCTTAGTATGTTCTAACTTGTCTACAATTTTTATACTAATTACACAGAGAAGGGATTTTATCACTGGTGGTGCTGAACCCACAGAGGCAGAAGCAGAATGGCACAGTGAAAATGAGGAAGAAGAAAAACTTGCCGTAAGTAGAATTTGCTTCTGAACACAATTACTAAACTCTTCAGAAAACCTAATGAAGTGATCTAATTAAAATAATACCTGTCCTAGGAGAGCACATCATGAGCTTGAGTTACCAAGATATTTAGCAGTTTTTCTCTTTCTATAGCTGCATATAATAGCTGCATGCCTAATGAAATTGGCCAGGAACCTGCTTTGATCTAGTCATTTGCACTGTTCGTAACCTGTTGACAGCCTCTTCTGCTAATGGGTTCCATTCCAGTGCTACAGTAACACCCAGGATGAGAAAAAGCAGGCATTTTTTGCATGTCTGTTATCTTCGTTTTGGGGACACGTCATTATTGATCTATTTTATTTTTGTCTTTCCTGCCTGCTTTTCAGCAAAAGGTTCAGGACGGGTTACAGCAACTCAAAAGCAATAGTTTTATTCAGCACATTTTAGGGAAGATACAAAAAGATAGGGTACTTGATGCACCTGTGTTGTAAGGGAGCTTCACATTCTTAGGATCATCACTGAGAAAGCCCTCTCACAAGCTACTGCTGCCAGAACCTGTGAGATTGGTGGATCTGCGAGAGGGCCTCCTCCAGTGATCTTAATCTCTGAACTGCTCTAAAAGGGAAATATTCCCCTGTTTTTTATTACTGTGTCTGCATGCCTCCTGAAATTCTTCCAGTTGAGTTACAAAGTATGAAAGAGTTCAGGTTTGGAAACCTTAGTGCTTTATTACTGTATAGTGGGTAGGGGGCATTCTGGAGAGTAAGAAAATGAAAATGTGTCCTTGTTAAACTATTTTTAGATGCTGTTTTTGTTTTTTTTAAATTAGAGACTAATTTACTTTTGCATACCCTGGAACTGTCCAGAATATGGAGAAACCATTGCCTCATTTTTTTAGGGCAAGTGTGCCGGGGGTGGGGTGTCATTTTGTTTCCAAACTGATGGGCGCAAAACCACCCAAGGTTATATTTTCGCCCATCATAGCATTTAACAAATAATAATAAACAAAATACACAGTCACAGTACATACATTTCAATGATATATATTGAGAAGTTATACAAATTTACTTAAATCTTCTCAGAATCCATAAATCACCATGTGTCAATGAGATATAATGTATGACCCAAGCTGTTTACTTGTGTAATAAAGCAATACCAATCTGTGTTAAAATTGCTATTTTTGCCTTTTATAGCCCTTAGCCTCACAACCACCCAAGTTTTGTTTTAGATGCAAATACTTTTTATAATGACAATGTTTCTGCAGTAAGAACATTAAAAGGACACCTAGGAAATGGGGCATTTGCATTTTACAAACAACTTTGAATTTATTTGTTGACTAGCCTCTGGCCAAAACCTTTAAAGAAGTTTCTCTCTTTTCTGTTCTTAGGGAGATGTGAAAAATAAAGTAGTAATAGAAGAAAAAGAAGCAGGAGCAGCTGAAGAGACAAATCCCAAAGGAATCCCAGATTTTTGGTTCACAATATTTAGAAATGTAGATATGCTGAGTGAATTAGTACAGGTAATACCTATAAAAAGGATGTTTGTTAATTAATGTTTTTACATGTCATGCTATCTCAATTCAAATACCAACTGATAATGATAAATACGAACAGGAAAGGGATCTGTGACAGATTTGCCTGCAAATAAGTATTAATGAACATGTGTTCTGGTTCACTCATCACATTAAAATAGTATTGCTCATGCTGCTCAGAAGTCCTCACTTCACTTGTCTCCCACTTCTCGCTGCAACAGACCATAAGCTTTGACTTGTACTGTTGTCCAAACCTGCTTTCATGGGTTTGGACTACAAAACAAGTCTAGGCTTGTTCCAGCATGTCAAGAGTCAGGAAGCAGCAAAACGGACTTTGGGGCAGCCTGCATCAGCACATGTATGTGTGAGCCCAGGCCACTGTCATGCTGTTTGTTAGAATTTTGCCGGGCTTTTCTAATTACTTTACAACTTGCAGATTTCAGTAAGCTACGTCTGTCCCTGTTTTGGCCTTTTCTTGATTTACCTTCTCCTTATTTGCTGTCTCGGTGTTGTCCAAAAATTGGGGTCTCTCATCTCTCCTCTTAAATTAGTGTACGCCTAATCGTATATCCCTCTTGACCTTCGGAGATACATTTATTATTGAGTCAACTGTATTGGGAGTGGGGGGGGGTTAGTGTGTTAGTAAATATATAGAGTTGGTTGAAGAACTATCTGAAGCAGAAACAGTTAACATGAAATTGGAGATGTTATCTAAGTAAACTTGAGAACTTGCATTGGAGGCATTTGACTCTTTATGAGATGCCAGCCATTTCTTTCATCTTAATCATAGCTTTACCATTTTTGTTTAGGAATATGATGAGCCAATTTTGAAGCACCTGCAGGATATCAAAGTAAAATTTTCTGAGCCAGGACAGCCTATGGTTAGTATGATTTAACTTCTAAGAATTTAATACGATTTAACTTGTGAGGGGCATGGTATCCATTAATAGTTTGAGTGTGGAGGATTTCCATTTTTATCTTATTGTATCAAGTTTCACTTTAGAAGATGAACTTCTCAGCTGTATATCCCACTGGGGACTTCTTTATTAGATCAGGCATTAAAAACTACAGTTATAATAGCACCGCCTACTGACAATTAATGAAACAATGTTTTAAAATAATATGAGCTTGTACTTAAATTAGGTCTTTTATTAATCCTTTATTGAAGCATGTTTCTTATATTGATATAAACTAAAACAAAAGCTTTACCAGCAAAGAAACAAAATAAACAAAAATGGAGCAGGGAAGGAAAATAGGGAGAGATGTTGGTCAGTGTTCATAGGTTTTGCTCATTTTCAATCTACGCGAGTATCATAAGCAAAATAACTGAACTCGGCAAGGGATAGAGTTCAGTATAGGTTTGGTAATCATTTATGTAAACTTAAGATGTGCCGCTAATTCATGTATGGTGAGTGAGTATAGGTTTCTTCTGCCATTGGTGGGTTGTTGGGACTGTATTTTAGTTTTCCTTTGTTGCAAATTGTTACATGCAACAACCAACAAAGTGAAACTAATCCATTTCTGCTGTCCTGGGGAAAGGTTCCAAAAAATAGGAGGATCCTTTTGTTCTGCTTCAAGGACCAAGTTAATACAGTGACTCAAGAATTGAAAAACTAGACAGAACCACTTAATATGTGTTAAGAAGTCTTCTGTATCATTGCTTCCCCATCAAGGAAGATATTCTTAACATATTTGAACTAGTTTTAAACAACCTCCACAGAGCAAGGGAAGGTGCAGATCTTTCCTAGTACCTCATTTAGAATGTTAATGGCATTAATTAGTGAATTAGGTTCTCTGGGAGCTGTTTCTGTTGGGCTGCATGCAGTGAAAGTAGCTAAAAATATATATTTCTTAGTGGGCCACTTCAGAGAAACTATTCAGTAGTCCACTGCTCTTAGTGAAAAGTTTTGCCCAGTAAATAGAGTTTTATACTGTATTGATCTAATAGAAGCACTCGGAGGAAGTTGTGCTCAGTAGCATTACATGGCTTCACCTTCAGAGAGTTGACCCCACATTATTAACAACCTCGGCTTTGATTTTCCTTGGAAAAGTTTTAAGTTGGTTACACTGCTCAGTCTTCTGTTAGTATCTTACATGCTGGGTTTGCATTTTACTTCTATTTATATGTTAAAGGGTTAGAATTACCTTTTTAAGAGGGTGGGAGAAGCTTTTATCTGCTCTCTAGTGAGAACTAGCTCTAGTAATATAAACAGAAATCAGTGGCTGGAATAACTGTTCATATGGCATCTTGTTGTTCCTGGAAGTACTCCAAGCTCTTGACTTCATTTGGCACATAAGAGCAGTTTGCCACTAGAAAACTAAGCAATATGTTAGAGTTCTGTTAGAACATATTTAAGCTTCTGTTGTTTGAATGCGCTGTAGTGAAGCTTTTATCCATATTGTGGTTACTTAAGTAAAGTTGTAATTCTCTCCCGGTTGTCAGACCTGAAATAAGATAATTGATTTTGGATTATTTTTCACCAAAGGTTTTGCAGTTTCATGCTTTTCTTGAACAAGTTAGCAGTTAACTGCTCCTTGTGAATGAGCACCTGCACAGCAAACTGCCTCTGGCTCACGTGGGGGTGTTTGCCCTCCATTTTTCTTGTAGCTTGGAAATGTTAACTGATTATTATGACAGTGGCAAGAAGGTGGAATAGGTAGCAACAGTACAAGTGAGTGGGGGAAATGCCTGGTGACTAGTTCTGAATTATTTCTTCAGTTGAGCAATATATAATCAAATACCGTATTTTTTGCACCATAGGACGCACCGGCCCATAGGACGTATCAAGTTTTTTTGGGGGGGAAATAAAGAAAAAAATTTTTATTTCCCCCCCAGGCGCTTGTGGGGCCGGCAGCAGGGAGAAGCGCTCTTCTCCCCGCAGTCCGCCTTCAGACCAGGTCCGGGGACAGCGGGAAGACGCGCTGCGCCTCCCAGCTGTCCCCGGAGCTTGCGGGGCAGGCAGCGGGGAGAAGCGCTCTTCTCCCCGCTGCCCGCCTTGAGATCAGGTCCGGGGACAGCGGGAAGACGCGCTGCGCCTCCCAGCTGTCCCCGGAGCTTGCGGGGCAGGCAGCGGGGAGAAGCGCTCTTCTCCCCGCCGCCCGCCTTCAGACCAGGTCCGGGGACAGTGGGAAGACGCGCTGCGCCTCCCAGCTGTCCCCGGAGCTTGCGGGGCAGGCAGCGGGGAGAAGCGCTCTTCTCCCCGCCGCCCGCCTTCAGATCAGGTCCGGGGACAGCGGGGAGACGCGCTGCGCCTCCCAGCTGTCCCCGGAGCTTGCGGGGCAGGCAGCGGGGAGAAGCGCTCTTCTCCCCGCGGCCACCTTCAGATCAGGTCCGGGCACAGCAGGAAGACGCGCTGCGTCTCCCAGCTGTCCCCGGAGCTTGCGGGGCAGGCAGCGGGGTCTCCCCGCCGTCAGCCTCCAAACCACTTCGGGAGACAGCGGGATGGCGGCGTTCCGTCTCCCTGCTGTCCCCCGACCTTGTGGGGCTGGCGCTGGGGCTCTCCTGAAGCCTGGAGAGCGAGAGGGGTCGGTGCGCACCAACCCCTCTCGCTCTCCAGGCTTCAGTGAAAGCCTGCATTCGCCCCATAGGACGCACACACATTTCCCCTTCATTTTTGGAGGGAGAAAAGTGCGTCCTATAGAGCGAAAAATACGGTAATTCATGTGATGATGTTCTCAAATGCTTTGACTCATTCTCTAAACGATTTTCTTTTTTGGGGGGGGTGGGCGAATCTGATACTCTGCTATTCTTACCTGCCCTGCCATTGTTGCTGACTAAAGCAATAGATAACCCTTGTGCTTTTAGATATGAACGTAGGATGTTTATGTCATTGTCCCCCAACAAAATAAAAAAGCAAAAAAATAAAAAAGCAGAACTTTGTACATAAGGTTGAAGTACTGTGAATAGCTGTAATACAAAACCTGTCAAGAAAACATATAGCACACTAATTGTTCCAAATTATTTATTGTATGTGTTTATCTTATTCATGTTTTATTACATTTTAATGGAACAGTGTAAAATGAGACTGTTACAATGTAGGATCTGAACTTTTATTTTTGTAAAGGGTGCATTGCCAATATAGATATTGTTTACTAATAACACTTTATCACCTTCTGTCTGCCAAAAATAGTTAAGAGCTTTACAACAATAATGGATCTCTTTTAGTCTTTCACATTAGAGTTCTACTTCGAGCCCAATGACTATTTTACTAATTCGATTCTGACAAAAACCTACAAGATGAAGTCAGAGCCAGATAAGACGGATCCCTTTTCATTTGAAGGCCCTGAAATTGTTGACTGTGAGGGGTAAGAAAATATTCTTAAACATTTTTGAGCTTCTAGTCTGAAGTTTAAGGTACCATTATAAATATATGTGGTCAAAATATAAAATCACTCTGAAAGCACTTCTGTTGTTATGAATGAATGTAGTATATTGGATCATCAATCACAGAACTATTGCCAGTAGTACAAGTGAAAAGGATTGGGGGGTCTTAGAGGACCACAAGCTTAACATGAGTCAACAGTGTGATGCAGCAGCAAAAACAAGCTGTTTTTCTGCCTTGGTCAGACCACACCTGGAGTCCTGTGTCCAGTTCTGGACCCCACAGTTTAAGATGGATGTTAACAAGCTGGACTACGTGCAGAGGAGGGTGGTCAGGATGATAAAGGGCCTAGAAACCAAACCTTACGAGGGACAGTTGAGGGAACTGGGTACGTTTAGCCTGGTAAAGAGGATACTGAGAAGAGATGGGATAGCCAGTATCTTCAAATATCTAAAGGGCTGTCACATGGAGATGGAGCAAGCTTGTTTTCTCCTGCTCCATAGCACCCAAACCAAAGGATTTAAGTTAAAAGAAAGGCTGGGATGGATTTACAGCTGTGAGTGGTTTGCATAGACTGGATGCTGAACCAAGGGGTCACCTTCTCAAAAGGGGGTGCCAGGTTTTGGGAAGTAGGTGCAGGGTTCTGACAAGGTCCTAGAGTCCTTCCTCCTCCTTTCCTCTTCCCAAAGTCCCATAAGCGCCTGTCCAGAGCCTCATACCTCCCTCCCAAAGCCCGGTGCCTCTCTTTCCTGACTTTGAGAATGCAGTGCGAGGGCTAGAGGGGACATCATGTTTTGGCCTTGCATAGGGGTCCACCACTGAGAAAAGAGATTCCAACTAAACATCAGGAAGAACCTTCTTGACACTAAGAGCTGTTCAGCAGTGGAACGGACTCTCTCAGGAGCTGGTGGACTCTTGTTCCTTGGAGAGTTTTAAGCAGAGGTTGGATGGCCGTTGGTCATATATCTCATAGTTGAGATTCCTGTATCACCAGAGGTTGGACTAGATGACCCACGGAGTACCTTTCAACTCTACAATTCTGTGGCTCTTTGATTAAAGTATTAAATTAAACCTGGATCCATGGTTGTCTTAGCTGAGCAGAAAGGCATTTCTCCCTTCACTCCATTGTCCATGTTGGTAGCGGGAGGGACCAGGAAAACTCCATTGTGGGGAACAGACTTCCCCTCATCTGTCTCTGGATCCATCCAACTAGCTTTAATTTTGGAGATTCTGACCATTTTTAAAAAATCCATCAACTACTAGAGTTTACAAGCAGGGCACAATGCAGTGAAAAATCACAATTCCACCTGCCATATCTTCTTGTTCTAGTTGCAGACTTTAGGGAAAGGGGATGAAAGCTGCAGGGAGGTCACTTTCCCACAAGCAGAACTTTAGGAGCTATTACACTCAAATAGGTTTATGTATTGGAATATTATGTCACACAATGTAGACTAACTCTAGCAGCAGTGCTAAAGAAAACTGCCGTTATCCTTACAGGACTTGACCACTGGCTTGAAAAGCTACCAGATGTTCAATGTGACACTCTCCTTTTTAAATGTCACTGACATATAAATTCTTCATCTCCAGATGTACTATTGATTGGAAGAAAGGAAAAAATGTTACAGTTAAAACAATAAAGAAGAAACAAAAACACAAGGGCCGAGGCACAGTTAGAACAATTACTAAACAAGTACCCAATGACTCATTTTTTAACTTCTTCAGTCCAATAAAAGGTAAGTTTGGTTAAATTTCATCTGTTCCTATTTAGGAATACTCATATTTATTTTAGCAAGCTATTTCCATATAACAAGCATGGAGAAAATAAACAAAGAATAGCAGTCTGTTAAGGCTGTTATTAGTTTTGTAAAAACTTTAGTATCAGGAGCCTGAGTATGTTCTAAGACAGTTTGTGGACCTATTTAAAAGTGGGATCCTGCAACAAAATGTGCCCCCTCTGTGTCCCCCAGCTCTAGCCAGCCTCTAGCAGGAGCTCTGTAGGTTTCATAGAGGGTGCCATTTCTCTTTTTTATGAAAGCTGAATCAAAATGGCTATTGCCATTAAGATACCACAGATGATACTTTTTGAACACTTATTTGCAAGAGATTTTTCTGGGAGCGGAGGGGTTATCCATACAGTTGGTGATCAAGACTTTGAAAAGTAATTTGAAAATCCTCCCTTACCTACCTTTTCATAGGTTGGCTTTTTTAAACAAGGAATTAGGCTCTTGACTTTGCATTAGGTGCTAGAGGAGATGAAGATAAAGGGGTTCTCTTCCTGCCTCAGTCTCTTCCAGTTACAGTCATACCTCGGCTCCCGAAGGCCTTGGGAGTCGAACGTTCCAGCTTCCGAATGATCGAAAACTGGAGTGAGTGTTCCAGTTTTCGAACTTTTTTCCACTATTGTTTCTGGTGTACCTGCACAATCGGAAACCAATCGGAAGCCACTCCTTGGTTTCCAAATGTTTTGGAAGTCGAATGGACTTCTGGAATGGATTCCGTTCGACTAATGAGGTACGACTGTACTTTGAATCAGGTATGCAGGGAAGGAGTTAACCAGGTATTGCATACTCAGCTTACTTTCTTGATAGGCAGTGATCTTTAAAGGGGAAAAAGGCCTTTAGTTGGTGAAACTTTTTTTAGGTAACTGATGGCCAAGATGTTAGATGTAGTAGGGATCCGAAACCTTCCTGCTGTCACTCATAAATCAGCAATATACATCTAAAATAGTTTAGGCTTCCAGCACATCTTATCTTGAAACATGTTACACACCACAAATTCAGCTACAGTTATGAGCTGCCTTATTTTAGCTGCCTGAAAAAGGTATAAAGTTGTTTAAATATTGCATACCTGTTCCAGTTTTTACCACATGAGGGCTGTAGAGTTCTAAATCCAAATAACTGCATGGAAGATTAAAATTGATTTAATAGCCTATGGTGATTAGGCTGCAGAGTTGACAACAGGGCATTCTGTGACTTGAAAAACACAATTATTATTAAAAATGCATCAGGATAGCATTGCTCATAATGGCTTCAAGGGGATTTTACAGGTTTCTTTCTTGCTAGGAGAGCCCATCTTTCTTTAGCAAACAAAAACTGAAATATATTAACTTTTGCACTGCTCTTGTCTTGACAACCCGTGTGTCAGTGTTCAGTTTTTAAAAACCAAACCACAACATGATGCCAACTTTTTCTTGCATATGCTGACCATCAAAAGATTAAAATGATCTCCTTATTTGCATATCACAAAGTTCTGAGTAGAAGGCTTGTCCATCCATTCTGTGGGTGGGAATAGAGAGAAATCCATTTGTAAATTTAAAAAGGGAGTTTCTGGCTAGTTCAGCTGAAATTCTCTTTTCAGAATGTTTTAAATTCTGGAACACTCATGCATGCTTTGGGCAGGAAATAAGGATGGGGCTTCATGGGGCCCTGCCTTTTTCAGAGCTTGTTTTGCTATTGATGTCCCTTGAACCTCCAAACTGCTCTTTGAATCACCATGTTCAGAATCAACATTTTGAAGGGCAAAGTGGAAGGTAGCACTCAAGTGGTTGCTTTTTGTCTCTTGAAGCAGGAGATTGGTAACTCTGCAGAGCATGGTGCTCTCCAGATGTTTTGGGCTACAAGTCACGTCCGTCCTGGTCAAACATGGCCAAGAGTCAGGGATGGTGGCAGCTGTAGTTCAACACCATCTAGAGGGCATCATGCTATCTTTCCTAGTGCAGCAGCAGCAGCAGCATAAGAGCCAGCAGGATCATACTACTGTCTCATGCAGCCTTTCTCAATCTCGGGTCCCCAGATATTGTTGGACTACAACTCCTATGATTTCTAGCCATTCTGTCTAGCAGTCAGGGACAGTGGGAGTTGTAGTTCAAGAACATCTGAGGGCCCAAGGTTAAGAAAGGCTGGTCTAGTAACTATTCATACAAGCACCGAGGGTTAAAAAGAAGTGGGGAAGTCTGTATGAATTGCTGCTAGGAAGCAATGCAGTCGTGTAGGTTCATACATTCATTCTTCCATGTAGTTGCAACAAGAGGTATGAGCTATATGGGGGCAGTTATAAGGCAGCTTATCATAGGGACAAGACCTAGATTTGAAATTCAGTTTTTATCTTCTGGATCAATGTGTTACTATGTGGCTGGATTAGAATGATGATGCTTGCATTTTTGTATTGTAGAAAGTATTTTGAATTCCCATTATTTGAGGTAAATGTGGGCTTGGGGTGAATAACTTTCCTTTCTGATGTTGTAAACATTCATCCTGTGTGGGTTTCAGTTGTGTTGAAACATGGCAGGGTGTGTTTTGCAAACTTCATTTTTACCTGTCCAATTTTTCTCACATGCTGTTTTGGCCCTAAGCTGTTGACCCAAAAGAGACAAATAAAAGGACCTATTTGAAAGGATAAGCTTTGAAAATGGAGTCCTAGTTCTCCATTAGCAAAGACACCCAGAGAAAGCTAAGGATATTTCTTGCTCCATCTACACATAACAATAGCTTTCACACTAGAACCTGCAGCAGGGTTGGGTTTTTAAACAGTTTAGACTGACTTCTTGTCTTTTTGTAGTTTCAGGAGATGGAGAATCACTGGTAAGTTAATTTTAATATTTTTATAGTCTGTTCCAGCCTTACCATTAAGCATGTTGAGGTAGACTCTTTTCTCACAACAGACTTCAAAGGATAGCAAATAATCAGTTACTTAATATGGGTTGGATCCTGAGATAGAGTTGTGGATTTCTGCTCAAAACAGGTCTTCCCAGCCTTCTGTCTCTCCTTCAAAAGCTCCTCCTCAGGGTTGAGGGACCTTCCGGAATGGAGTTTGGTGGAACATCGTGGCGGGAGAAATTGCAACAAGACTGGGAAACTGCGAAAATTCTGTGGGGCTTTCTTGCATATGCAGGAAGTGCCTTTCTGCTCATGTGTAACTTTTAACTGTGGCAGTGTACAATTTTATTGGCATCAGCTGTGGCTTGAGCCATCGTGTGTTTTGATGAGTCCTGTACTTAAACTCTAGGCACTGTTTTTGGACTGCAGGTACCACCCCCCGTGTGGAACTGCATACCCAATTCTTTTATTAGTAGTGCAGACAGTTTTCAGTAATAAACAGGAAATTTATTTATTTATTTATTTATTTATTTAATATTTCCTTTTCTTCTCTGCTGTTTTTCTCCTAAACAGTATTTTATCTTCCCACCTGTCCTCTGGAGTTGATTGCTGATTGTTTCAGTACAGGGAGTTAGTATTTTTCCTGTATGTCAGTTTATTATTATAGAACAGACTAGCATCTAAAGGTCCGTCAGGTTCTTTAAAAATTGTTCTGACGTTGCCTGATGTACTATTGAAAATGGTCACACTGTTATAATTCATTGTTTGACTTCTAGCGATGTTAAATAAGTGGTAGAAGTACAAACTAAAAGGTAAAGGGACCCCTGACCATTAGGTCCAGTCGCGGACGACTCTGGGGTTGTGGCACTCATCTCGCTTTACTGGCTGAGGGAGCCGGCGTACAGCTTCCGGGTCATGTGGCCAGCATGACTAAGCCGCTTCTGGCAAACCAGAGCAGCGCACGGAAACGCTGTTTACCTTCCCGCTGGAGCAGTACCTATTTATCTACTTGCACTTTCCCCCGTTGCGGGGATTCGAACCGCCGACCTTCTGATCGGCAAGCCTTAGGCTCTGTGGTTTAACCCACAGTGCCACCCGTGTACAAACTAATACACCTAATAAATACTTTATTAAAATAATAAATTCTTTAATAATAAATACTTTATTAAAACTAATAACCTAATAAATACTTTGACCAAGAAATCAGTTGTGGTTGTATATTTTACCTACATTTTCCTCTTAACTTTCCAGGATGAAGATTCAGAGTGTACTTTAGCTATAGATTTTGAAGTTGGACACTTTTTCCGTGAAAGAATAGTTCCCCGTGCTGTACTCTATTTCACTGGGGAAGCTATAGAGGATGATGATAATGTATGTATACTTTTAAGATTATCTTAATATGTGAATATTCCATGTGTAGAGGGGGGGTGTATGTGTGTGTGCTTTAAGGGAAAGATAACTTTATTCATAAATGGTCAGCTTTTGGCTGGAGAACTGATTGTGTTCTTATCACTCCCTCAAATAGCCAAGTGATGTGGTAAATTCCAACAAAACTGGAGTAATAATGGGGCCTCTGAATATGAAAAGGGAAGTATCTGCATGCTCAGGGAAACCAGAAAGCTACCCCCTACACACTTTTTGGATTCAAAAAATGACCAAAAACCAACCTGATTAAGATTGAGGATACTCAGTAGACATGGAGTGTCTGCTGTAAAAGAGCTCCTTACAGCTCTTTAGTATCTGGATGGGGTAATGGCTGCTTGGCTGGAACCCTGGACAAGAGCATTCCTGCTAGCAGGTCAGAATACTGCAACATTTTGTTGCAGGGCCCCTCTTCTAACTTCCTGCTTCTGGAAAAGCACGATCCTTGCTGCAGAAATACATTTTAATAACTAATAGCATTATGGCACGGTATAACAGTAATCATTAGTACAGTATGTTGATTTTATCCCTGTAGTGCAGGTGGAGGCTGAGGCTGAAAGGATAACAGCTTGCCTAGCACTAGCCATTGAACTTGTAGCTGAGGTGAAATTTGACTGGGATGTCTCAGCACAATATCCTAAGCACCGCACTACCCCACCTTTAAGACAGTGACCTGCTGGCCTTTTCCTTACTGATGTAATTGCTCTCTAATTTCTCTTAACTAGTCTTAAAGAATAAACAGATGACTGGAGATGAAGCTGGTTATGTTAGTGAAAATTGATAAGGTTTGTTAATACTGTGACCTCATATAGCCATTCAATTTTGCATTTAGCTTAAAAGACTACATTCAGTCCTTCATTAGGATATAAATGAAAGTGTTAGTGTATGGACTTGAGATGAAAGTATTAAGTACTTATATACCCAAGTGCTGGGGATCTGATCTGGAATGCGTATCTTCAAATATTGTGTTTCATCTGCTAATGGTTTAAATTAGGATCTAAACAAGTTTTCCCCCTTTTTAGTTTGAAGAAGGAGAGGAAGGAGAAGAGGAGGTGAGTAAAATACTGTTTAATCTACTTGTCACATTTTCCCTATGGGGAAAAAAAGGTAATATTTAGCTTTCTGAGAGACTCCAAGGAGGCACATGTTTCAGTCATGTATGTTCCATACGTCAGTATGAGAGCTAGCCTGTCTTGGTGCTTGGGGAACTGGGAACTATGGTCATGTTAGGAAGCATTTGCCAAGCCATATTCTGTCAAGTAAGTCTGGTGAAAGATAATGGTTTTCTGATAGATTTGTTAGACATGTCGAGACATGTTGGGGGTAAATGCAGCAGGGTGGGGGCAGTGAAGCTGACTGTAGCAGCACTGGAATTGGGGGGTTGAAGGGAGACAGGGAATAGGTTTTAACAGTTAGACTGGGCATCTTTTCACTATCTGTAGATGGACAACAGGCCTACCCATTGAGAAACAATGGAGGGAAGAGCTGGAATACAAGTTTCCCAAAGGCCAAATCTGCCTTGGGTTTGTCACTGCTAAGCCACCAGATCTTACCTTTTCTCTGATGCTAGCATGTGTTTGTTTGTTTGTTTGTTTGGAGTGTTTACTCCACACTATCCCTCCCTGCCTTGGAAAAATTACTGCAGACACCCATGGGAAGGTTGCTTAATGTCAAGAGCCATGAGAATATATGAAGGTTAAGGAAATCCTGTAACTAAATATTTCTACTTGCAAACAATTTCAGTCTTAGCAGTAAAGTATTGCTGAGTTTAGTTCTGGACATATTATTGTTGTCATCAGTAGAAAGTATTGCTCCTTTAAAAAAGCATTCTTATCCTACTTTAAAAACAAACAAACATAGGAATTAGAAGGTGAAGAAGAGGGAGAAGAGGACGAAGAAGCAGAAAGTGAACCTAAGGTTAGTTTTATTAAAGCACTGTATGCCATGTAACCGTTAAATTGTAGCATCTTAATTTTATCATAACTTGCTTTTACAGTCATACCTTGGATCCTGAATGCCTTGGTACTCAGACGCTTTGGCTCCCGAATGCCGCAAACACGGAAGTGAGTGTTCCAGTTTGCGAATGTTCTTTGGAAGCTGAAAGTCTGACAGTGTTTCCAATTGGCTGCAGGAGCTTTCTGCAGCCAATCAGAAGCCACTCCTTGGTTTCCGAACGTTTTAGAAGTCAAACGGACTTCCAGAATGGATTCCGTTCGACTTCCAAGGTACGACTGTATTTTTGTTGACATGAATTGGGGTTGAAGAATTTCTATGCTGCTGCTTTTTAGTGACCAAGTTAACAGTAGTCCATTTCATTCTCTTTAACAATACCTGTTAATGCTCCTTCATTAAGGCACAGAGGCACAGACGTAACTAACAACCTGGCTGCTGTCACATAAACACTCGTAAACTACAGATAAGCAAATAATACACAGTTTTATTGAACTTAAGTGTTACATATGCATATTTAACAAGCTTTGAAATCTTGTTGCAGAATGTTTGACTTTTTTGTTTTTTTACTTTGGCTTTGTTTTATGTATATTGGTATTGAGTCTTTTGTTGAAAATGGTAAGGCTGCTTCATGCATAACACTTCCCTTACACATGCAAAGGGCAAAAATCCTCAAACTGCAAATTGCATTTTAGCTTGCAATGGGTAATTTGTCTGATTCTTGTATAACATTTTTCAATGCCTCCCCAATTAATAATATTGCCATGTAGGAAAAGTGTCATGGGTGAAGTGGACCTGAAAAGATATGCAACTTGCCTATTTTTCTTTCTTTCCCCATAGTAGGCTTGTTTTAAAACCTCTGCATGGGCAAGACTCCCTCATGATCAGTTCTCAAACATATTTTGGTTACACTGATACTTAGACATGTCCAGTATGTATTGATTTGGGGTCCTATATTAAAACAAAGAGCAAGTTATACATAAAATATATTAGCATGCAAAAATAGGATTTGTGTCATGATGAAAACATATACACTTGCATGACATCCTAACCAGCACATTCTGCACAATATACATAGCTTCTTAGTTGAAATAGTGTTTCTTTGGCTATCACAGAATAATTTTAGTGATAGGGTAGCAGTTATTGAGTTCACAAATGAAATGCATCAATGGCTGTATCTAAGTTCTTGTGGGTGGGAAGATCGAGTTTTATGCTGATTATTTGAATATAATTATTTTGGAGAGCAGCTGTATGTGACAAACCATTTCTTGAATCTTTTGGAACACTAGTTATTACTGTCTTTTTTTCTTTGGTCCATTTCACTTTTCTTTCATGCTGACAGTTCCTTTCAATTTTTCCCCATTTAGGTGTAATTTAAGTCTCTTTATCATTCATTCATTTATAGGTAAGGTTGAATTCCATTAATACATAACTTCCAGGCTTCCAGTTTTTGTAGCCCATACAATGTGGTTCATTTTAGTATATGTTTGGTTTCTTTTATTTAGTAAATAGAAAAATTCGGTTTCTAATGGCTACCCTCACGGACGTAGTTGCAATTTAGAAAAATATGTAGAACATCTTAACTGTAAAATCATGAATGATGTCAGTGTTTATAGGAATTTCCATTTCTTCCTGATGCACATTATGTTCTTCTTGCCTTAGTTATGTGCTCTTAAGATGGATGTGTTTTTGTTGTGATTGCACTGGCTGTTTGTGTTTCTTTGTGTAGGCTTTAATGTTTAAAATTAGGGATTAGATTTCTATGTCTTCAAGGTGTTGTTAGGAGGCAACCTTTTTCCAATCTCTTTCAGCTAGATTGGACAACTTGGTTATCTTGCCAAATCGGTCACCCATATATCCCATTTAATCCTGCTTACTTGAATTTAAATTCTGAATTTCCCTCACTTCCTTCTTTCTTTGTACTGTGTTACAGTATAATTACATAATTTGTGGTCACTGATATGCCAGTACATCTTTTCTGCTTAATGAACACTTGCATTCATATATTTTGAGATTATTTGTTTCATGCGATAGGCGAGATTGCTGAAACAAGAAAATTGCATTCTTATTTAGTTATTCTAAACTTGAGTTTGTGACTTACAACTTTTACAGTTAGGCTCTTGCCAATGTTGTCATGTCTTCTGATAGAATGTTAACATCTTTCTCTTGCCCTGAGGCAAAAGCACATTCTCTTTCTCTCCTAGGACCCTCACATGCACTCATTCTCTTGTACTTTCACAAAGTTTATGACTGTTATCCATAAAATATCAATGCTGTAGTTAGGCTTGTTGACTTTTCTCATTGTCTTTGCTGCCCTCTCAGTTGTGCTTTTCCAAAGCCATAAACTCAGGTTCTTCTCTTAAAATCTAATTTTCTATCCCAGCTTCTTTCTAAGCTGTTCATATTACCTCTACATGGCTGATGGCTGATGCAAATAAATTTTATTAAAATTAAAAAATTAAATTACCTCTACATGGGTTCTCTGCAGTGTTAAAAACTGTGATATGAAAGCTAGGAGCTAAATGGCACCTTAAACCTACCGTATTTTTCACCCCATAGGACGTACTTTTTCCCCTCCAAAAATAAAGGGGAAATGTGTGTGCGTCCTATGGGGTGAATGCAGGCTTTCGCTGAAGCCTGGAGAGCGAGAGGCATCAGTGCGCACCGACCCCTCTCGCTCTCCAGGCTTCAGGAAGCTATCCGCAAGCCTTGCAAGCCCGGCGGGAGTTCCCGTGAGCTCACAAGGCTTGCGGGCAGCAGCCTGCAGCCCGAAGCACGGGGAGCCCTCTGGAGCGCTCCCCGTGCTTTGGGCGGGTGTGCGCAAGGCTTGGGGCGGCAGCCGCGGCTGGGGGGGAATAATTTTTTTTTATTCATTCCCTCCCCCAAATGAGGTGCGTCCTATGGGCCGGTGCGCCCTATAGGACGAAAAATACGGTAGATTATGGGTGCAACAACAGAACGTCTAGGTGTACTTTTTTAATAACAAAAATACAATTCTGAAAATGAATGAACTGCAGCTAAAATGTTATATTTATTTTTCACATAGTCTTAATATTCTTAAGAGGGTCTCTTCTCTAGTCTTCAGAAAGTAGCTGGAAGTGGGGAGGCAGAAAAAGGTCTTCCTTTCCTTCCACTCTGCAGCCAGTGTGGTGTAGTGGTTAAGAGCAGTAGACTCGTAATCTGGGGAACCAGGTTCATGTCTCCGCTCCTCCACATGCAGCTGCTGGGTGACCTTGGGCTAGTCACACTTCTCTGAAGTCTCTCAGCCCCTCTCACCTCACAGAGTGTTTGTTGGGGGGAGGAAGGAAAAGGAGAATGTTAGCCGCTTTGAGACTCCTTAAAGGGAGCGAAAGGCGGGATATCAAATCCAAACTCCTCTTCTTCTTCTTCTTAATCTGAAAACATAGGTGCAGTCCCACGCCCAGAGCTTAGAAACTGCTCACGCTAATGAAATTCTCTGTCGCAAAATGTGCCTAGAACAATGGGAGTTTCGAACACTGGTTCTCTGTTCTTGAAAAGGTACCGCCTCTCCAGGTTAACAAGTGTTTCAAAAAATCATGGAGAGAGTTAAGCCAAATGGCTATTGCACATTGGAAAGATCTCATCCAGTATGCAAGATTGTAAGGATCCCTTTTCAATGATCACTAAATCACTGTTCCTTAACCTCAGTATGGGTAACCTGCCTCTCCCCAGATGTTGTTGCACAACAACCCCTATCATCCCCGACCATTGGTTATGCTAGCTGGGGCTGGTGGGAATTGGGGTCAACATTTGGAGAGTCACAAGCCATCCCTGCTTTCCTGTCGGTCAAGGTGTTGTGTTTTTAACCTGAGGGAGATTGATTGCATTTTGTGCTTAGCGGCACATATATGAAATAAAATCCTAATTCCAATAGGCTATTAGAAATACAATCAAATTGGTTTCTGGGATAATGAGGCAGTTAGATACTGGAGTAATGTGTGTTAAGTAAGATTGAGATTACCCACTTCTTCTGGGATTCTTTATGCTTTGAATTGTGGGATTGTGAAGTAGCTAAAAATGGCACACTCATTGGTGTAATGATCTCTATATGTCTGTTTTAATAACTATTGACACAAAATAGGCTCCTTTATGTTCAGCATAAAGCCTGCCTGCCTGCCTGCCTCTTTCCAGTATCCCTTTAAATTACTCTGTGAACTAGCTGTTTCACTACTTGACTTGCTCTGTAAATAATAGAATCAACATAAGATTTTTGCAGGTGCTGACTCACACTTCTATATTCTTGTATGTTCCAAGTTTATCTCGTACTGGATTGATGTTGGGAGGAATCATGTTATGAATGTGCAGAATGCACAGTCTGTTTGACTTGAGTGTGTAAATACTTTTATTGAAATGTTGGTGTTTGCATATTGTGCAATTTGGAAGTCCTCGGCCCCTCTGACCATCATATACTGCAACCATGACTTTTACTTGGCCTGTGCTGAATTCCAGCTTGGTCAGCACATACACGGCTGTGCGAAATGCTGAGTTCATCATGGGCCAGTGGCTTGCATGTGTTTGCCTCAAAAGGCTGGTGTGGCTGGAAGTTATCATGGGCTGACTGTCTCAGCCTGTGGCAGCCATCAATCATGGCAGTGGACTTGTAACAGACCTTTGCTCTCAGAATATGTGAACTTGAGTCAGTAGTTACTGAATTCTCTCATGTATCTTTTGAGAAGACAATTGATGTTTCACCAATTCCCAGAGTATAGATCTTTCATCTTGAAAATAAATGTGATTTCTAATACACATTAATAAAAACCTTCAGGAATTTTGAATCTCTTTGTCTTAGTTATTTAAGACAGTGTGTAGATCCCTGGCATTACTGCATAGAAACAGAAGATACTTGGGTTTATAATGTGCTGGCCCAAAAGTTTCTTCTCCATGAAGCCATATTTTGTACTCACAGCTGCTCTTGCATCTCTCTCTAAATGTGAAGATGTTCTGTTTGTCCAAGCACTTATGAAACAGCTTGCAGTGTGAGGGCTGTGCAAGTGTTTTTAGGACAGCTATTCTAGCCACTGCTTTCTTATCACAGTAGTTTTATCTCCAGCACACTGTGAATGAGTAGCAGCTCATCTGGATATATATAGATATATTTTTAAAAAGTTAATACCTCTTCTTAATCACTGACGGTAGCCTGAAATCCTCTGTACACTCATGTAAGTGAAAATCATATTGAGGCATGTCGTACACAACTTTAAATAAAAAGGCACAGGAGTCAGTTGCAAGTGTCATCTGTAAAAGTTAGCTATTCTGAACCCATATTTTATTCCACTGCTTGGCCGACTCACAGTTCACACTCCTGTACCAAATCCTTGAAAGTACTTCATATTCATTCTGCAATATTTGAAGGGACTTTCCAACATCAACTTGAAGGCTGTTGCTTGTTTATAATCCAGACCTTTATATTTTGGATCTAAAAGATGTGTAGCAGCATGAACTGACTGTACATGTATTTTCAAAGCAGCTTTGAAAAATATTTCATTCACCTCAAAAGAGAGAACATTTCCCAAGGGTGTTTTGCCCTAAATTTCAAAGTTCTTAATGTTGTCTTTTCTGGGAGGTTATCCTGTCCTTTACGCTTCTAATTGAGAGGTAATTTCAGAAGCACGAGCCATGTTCAAAAGTATTAAGGCTGGTGTTCGGTTTTGTAAATACAATGGTTGTATTTCTAAGAACATTACTTGCAAAGAACCAATCAAAACTGATTTTGTTTTGGTAGCTTAGGGCTAAGATGATATTTCCTACAAATTGCATTGTCATGTAGCAAATACCATATTGCCATCTATATAATCTTGGTGAATTTAACCACAGTTATACACTGTTGTTCTGACTTAGGAGCTGTGAATGGTTCCATATTGTGCATGTTTTTGTGCCGCTGGCCATCCTCTTCAGCTCTTGGCAGTGCAGAGAATTTAAGGGGGAAAGTATTTTAGGGTTTTTTTTCCGTATCTGCATTAGGATTTAGGGCCTATATGATTGTCATTGCATTAGCAGGGAACAATTCTACATACATTCTATGATTGCATCTGTTTCCCTAACCTTGACAACTGATGTAAAAGAGGAATTGCAGTCTTGAATGCAGGGTGAAGATGCCTAATCTAGTGTAGACCAGACCATAATACTAGTACTCGAAAAAGCATTGCTCTTGGAGAACCTGTGCATTGTGTGTTGACTTATACTTGCGAAGCAGATTGGAATACTGTGTTTCTCAGTCTTCTCTTGCCTGTGCTTTTTTTCTTCCCAAGGCATACGTAACATGGAGCTCTTTGGTAGAAATCTGTGTTGTTAGAGATGTTGGCATAAGAAAGCTGTTTTTAGGGGTGTTGGCTGATAGTAACCTCATTCTGTTTAGAGTCCTGGTATATTTTGTCTAACTTTTAAAACTAGGGATCCATTACATTGTGGTAGTGTTCTGTGATATATATTGAAGGCCTTTATTATAGAGAGGAAACCTGTTTTTAAAGGAAGAATATAATTTCTCAACTGATTTTTTCTTATTAAAGTGCATATATTTCACTCATAAAACACAGCATATTATCACATATTCACATTACACTTGAAATTAGAAGGCAACATGCCCTTTTCAGTCCTGCACTTTTCACTCTTTCACACTGTGTCTATATGTAATGTTAAACCATGTACACAAGCAGGAATGAATCTGAGTAAAACCTTGGGCTTCTACACTCCTCCCCTCCTGCAGAACTGCAACAAGGGCTTAGTTGGTGCCTGCTTCCATTTTCACAAAATCCCAGTTTAGCGCAGGCTCCTTTTCCTAGCTACACACAGAAAGGGAGCCTGAAGTTTTGCACAGGCTCATTGCCCATTATATTTCATGGTTCCCTTTTCATTTTGCATACAAAATATGCAGAAAACTGCTTAGCTTTAAGCTCTGAAGACCACACAATTTTGGGTTCCCTCTCTAGAATTACAATTGAGGGAGGTGTTGGAAAAGCATTTCATTCTTAAGATCTAGAACTTGCTTCATACCTTTGGAAATTATTGCTTCCTGTGCCTCTAGGAAATACATTAACTGCTTGTTCATTTTCATGACTTAGGATCAAGCACATGTTTAACAAAGTAAACTAAAAAAATATTAACAGCTTGTTTTGTGATAGAGTTGCAGACAGGTGGCCTGATAACTGCCACCTACTGCATTGATAAGCCTATGCCACACAATATTGCAGTATGGGACATTAGCTCTAGTGTCACTTGGAACAAGGAGTTGAATTAACAAGACCAGTAGTCCTCCTCACTGCATTTCCATTAGCATTGGCAGCGCTACACAGTATAGCCGTGGGATAATGGCAGCATATCTCCTTGCCATGAACAAACATTCGGAAACCAGAGAGTTGTGGAACTGATTTTAGTATAGGGAACTATATGCTGGAGGATCTCAAACCCTCATGAGTAACTTTTCAGGGTGTGGGGAGCTGGGGAAAAGTAGACTAGCCAAAAGTGCTTCCTGCTAGTACAAAACTACCATCAGATACAATCCTATATTTCTTCTGCACCAGATCCTTCAGCACTGCTGACCCATGCTTGACCTTGTGGGTAGTCACTGCCAAAATACCACCACTTCTAACATAGCCAAAAATAGTTTAAAGCAAAAAAAGTATAAAATCTGGAAAGGGGAATAGTTCTCCTGCCGCATATGAAATAGCACCAGAAGCCTTTTATTTTAATTTGGGAAATTAGCTTTCATATAGTACAGTCAAATCTCAGTTGTTGAACATAATCCGTTCCAGAAGCCCATTTGGCTTCCGAAATGTTCGACAACCGAGGTGTGGCTTCCGATTGGCTGTAGGAACTTTCTGCACTCAAGCAGAAGCCATGTCGGACATTCGGCTTCTGAAAAACGTTCAAAAACCGGAACACTTATTTCCGGGTTTTCGGCGTTCGGGAGCCAAAATGTTCCAAATTGGAGGCATTTGGGAACTGAGGTTTGACTGTACCAGTTGTGTACAATGAGTAATATTCTGCCAAAAGAGTCCCATCAGCCCAGGAATTTCTACCTGTGCAACAGGACTTTCATTTCCTTCATCCCTCTTATGTGTTCTCTGTGCCCTCCCCAACCCTCTGTGCTCCAGAGGGTTGGGGAAACACCTGAAACAGATTTAGGGGGTGCTTGGAGGGAGGAGTGCAGGGAGAATGTTCTGTTGCTGAAGGAGAAATCCTTCTGTTGATGGAATGTTTGCCTACATTAGCTCCCACACCATAGTTCTCTTGTTGCTTATGAATGTGGAATGAAACTTGGTGTCATGCTTGGGTACCTGTTGTGTAAACTTACTCTCTTTTTTCCTCTTCAAACAGAAAGATGCCAGCCAGCCTGCGGAATGCAAACAACAATAAGGAAATACCACTTCAGAGTGATATTTGAACAACCTGTAACAAATATTTGGATACCTGGCCTGCAGTTCAGGATATTCCATTGCTGCAGCACAATCTTATTAACAACGCTTAAAACTAAATTGTTTTCAAATGCATGATTTTCACTAACTTTTTTCTTATTTTTTTGCTTAACTTGTACAGTGGCAACTTAATGCATTTGAGAAATATGAGGTTTAATTAAAGCACACACTCTACGGCCTTTGGTATACTGTAGCTCAACCTGTTTCAGTAGGCTTTCAAATTAAAATTGGGGGGGAAACTAATTTGCTCTTCTGAAATACTTGCCCTCACTTCAGTGAATTTTTTTATCTAAATATTGTGGAATAGTTCACATGAAAATATATTGAATTAATAAAATACTTGCAGTGAAAACAAATAAAGCAATATGATTTCTGCTAGCTCTTACTCCCTCTAAAATAACATGATTCCTGCAACCTACCAATCAGACTAGTGCTATAGAGCAGCTTGAAACATTGTCATCTCCAGTAAAAGCAATCTGAATTTGAAGTAACATTTCCTTTATCTTCTTTGAAGAAGGTGGTGGTTGACAGATACTTAGTTGTTCACCTTATTTATTCATGTTTGTAAGTACTTTGATGAACTAGTGCTTTTAATAGTTTTAAATATACTTGAAGAATATTTTTCCTGTTTATAAAATATGGGTACTTGTACATGGAAAACATAGTCTGCTCACAGAATGATTGCTCATCAAACATTTCAAAACAAACTGGGAAAGGAGATCTTGAGACGGGCCTCATAGTTGATGGACGTGGGTTGCAGCAGTAAAATGTATCACTGGTCTAGCTTAGCCTACATTACCAAGCCTGGTTCAGATGGTCCTCCAAAACAAGGATTGGGAATGAGCTACAGCTTTGTCTGCTTCCTCCCCTCTTGTGGGCAGCTTCACTTTTCAGTTTCTTTTTCAGTGTGAGGCATAAATTATTGTGAAGTCTGAACTGGCAAGCTGTGGTTTGCACTTCAAATCAGAATTGTTGGTTTCAAATTCTAGAGGTAAGCAAAGATCAAAGCTTGCCTATTCAGACATGACAGCAAACTATGACATGCACAAAAGAGGAGTCTGAAAATGATGCAAGAATGGGAAGGATGGTATGTTTCTGATGGTTTAGGGAATCATCTGAACTGTGCTTATGAGAGTCATTTAATTGGGAAAATATAAATTAAATTATATGTGAGTGTACTTCTGATATTTAATTTGCAATACTCATATCGCACTGTTCCACACTCCAGTGGTTTTAAAGCTCCAGAATCCTTCAAAAGATCTATTCAGAATTACAGTTCTCATTTCTTCAACATACAATGCCAGCTTTTGGCAACAGTTCATTAGCAACTGTATGAATGCTGTTACCAGGCATGTAGAGAGTGCTCCAGCCTTACCTTATACATTTGTAACTTAATACAGTGTTTTCAATTTGTACAGAATAGTTAGAATATTCTATTAAAGTTGTGAAACATGAAGCATATTGTCCTGACAGTTTCTTTGTTAATACTATACATGATACATGGTATTTTCAACGACTTGGGGGGTGGGCTGGGGAAATGAAAGCTATTAAGATTTCATTCTTGTGCCACTCAGATATTCTGAATGTTAGCATAGTAAATAGCTTGTGATTTCAGAATTCAGTGGTTTGGCAGCTTGTGGATATTTCTGCAAGCAGCAGATTTATAGATAGAATTTCAAGATGCAGCAAAAATCTGAGGGCTGTATCCAACAACATTGTGTGAGTGGAAGTCATTCAGTAGGTGCAGTGGCTTCAATGGATACGGCCTATAGATTACATGCTGGTACATTGAGGGGAGGGGAGGGGGATTCATTTATTAGGACCATGGACTACCAGGTAAAAATGATTTAATGACTCAAAAGGGTAGAGTCAGAACACCCATTCCCTGTGCTAGGATCAGGCCAGAAACCATTTTTCACACAAGCAGTTCTTAACCATGTTGGCAATAGCAATGAAGTTGTTACTACAGAAGCCTTTCTGCTGAAGGTTGGCCCTCCTCGCCCTGAGTAGCTGAGAGTAAATAGTACATTCTCTTGTGAAGTGAAGACTATTCAAACAGTATACTAGATTGCAATTTGTCCACTAGTTTGCTGATAATATTTTTATTCTCTGGGGTTTTGCGTCAGAATGATAGTTTCCTTATAGCTTTGTTTGGCAACCCAGTTGGAAAATTATTCCATTAAGGAATAATGCAACAAAAGGAAAGTTGTGGAACTGGACTGGGGCTTTGTGAGACCTCCTTAAAGAGTGTAGAAGAATCCTTATGATGGTTAAGGTTATTGATGGCTACTGGTCATTATGGCAATATACTAACTCTGGGATCACTGAGGCACAAGAGTGGGAAAGGGCTGTTGCCTTCATGGTCTGCTTGTGGACTTCCTGGAGTCTTTTGCTGGCCATTGTGGAAAACAAGATGCTGGACCAGTTTGGCCTTTCAGTCTGATCTCGCATGGTGCTTATGAGCTGTCTGGAAGAAGAGGCAGGGCAGCAGTGTTGCTATAACAATCCAAGAACTAGGGGAAATAATAAGAATGGTGGCTGTATCAAGAGCCATGTGGGTCAAAAGAAGAAGCTCTTTATACTTGTCTAGGTAAGACTGCTCTCTGTTTTGTAGAGACTATGGTTGGATGTGTGCCTAGCTGCCCATGTAACTCTTCTATCTTCCTCCAATTAAATTAGCCTGCCAAAAAATTGAGTTGCTGATTTCTGTGCCTGTTTTAAGTGGTCAGAGGTATGCTTGCCTGTGTAGGCTCCCCGGAATCCCAAATGCTTTCTGTTTCTACATCATTGATTACTATTTTTTAACATACCCCAAATAGAAGCCAATTAAGTCCCAAGGAAATGAAGTTTTAAGAAGAGGTGGAGGAAAGAGAAATTAAAGCAAATGCTGCCAAGTAGAATGTCTGAGTCTAGTTCAGGCACAATGAAAGGCTTGATCTAGGCCACAGATTTCTGCATCAGGAATATTTCACTTGTCAGAATCCTGTCTGGTCTGGATGATCTAATGAATAAAATACCTTTTCAGTTTGCTTAGTCATAATATTGGACACCATATATCCTTTAACCTGATACTCCTAGCATATCTCTGATAGGAATCCCTGAATGTTTTCTGCCTTTTGTCTCTATTTACTAGTATATCATAAAAGCAGGGAGGGAGAGAGCACTAGGAGTTGTAGTCTAGCAGCAACTGGAGAACTACAGCTCTCCCATGCTTCTCCTAGGTAGTTTGCCTCACACTTCAACACCCTTTTTAAAAGGTAAAGCCAGTAAAGTAGTGCAATTAGTATTTCAACAACTTTAGTCAATGGCTGAGGCTTGTAAATCAGCAAAGAGCCAATTCTGCCCCGAAAGATTTCAGATGCTGCCAGAAACTACAAGGCTTACTTGTTTCCAGCATTCCTTATGTCACCACTTAGGGATGCAAATGTCAGCCCCGTAGAAGGGCATAGAAGAAAGGCCCTTCACATTGTTGCTTCATTTTGGAGTATTTTCTCCCAAATTGTTCATCACTAGCCACAGACTCGCCCATATGTGCATCTCCCAACTGCCAGGCAATAGACTCATTGGAGGAGGTACTTTTAAAAAGAAAATAATTGCAGACATATGGGTGACTAACCCTGGGTGTCTTGGGCATAGTAAGGTAAAAGCAAAAGGGAAGGCTGAAGTGAGTAGTTAGGCAAACACTTTAAAAAGTTGCTTGTTGATCTCAACACATTATTACCAGTTTAGTGATGCTGGGTTCTATGCAGATCCATCAATACTTTGTGTTCAAGCATAACTGATGGGCTTCTCTTCCTGTAATTACACCCGTGTTTTTCAGGAAATAGCCGCTTTCAGTTCCAAGAGTGACATGGCTTTGCAATTTCATGCTGTTCACAGCTGCCTTGGGAAACCGTGGTCTTGCCAAAAATCTTTCCTTTATTCATCAGCAGGGGCTGTATTGTGCTTGGGCTGGTCTTCTGGAAGAGGAATTGTAATTTGATTGCCTCCTAATTGTTTTGCTTTTCCCTCCAGAAAAATGAAGCCGGATTCCTTCTACAAGCATCCTAGTAAAGCTGCTGGAGCCCTATCACTTTGTGCAGAGCATCATCCCGCCAGTGTTGTGGCATAAATAACTGAGTTGTTGCTAAATGGCTCCTCCAGGCGGGATTGTCTGTTGAGGAGGTAGTGGTGGCATCATTCACAATTACAAAACTCTGATATTCCTGCACTGCAGAAGCGGACAAGCAGCACTTCAAAGTTTGGTTTTGTTGGGAAAGGCATCAAGAGTAGACCTGTACAAAGAGAAAAAGGGGAGGTGGGCATGGAGAGAAAGATTGTTAGAGGCATGGGGAAACAAGGCGAAAAGATGGCTGCAGGATTTCCTGGGCCTGCTACACTGTAGGTTGAGGCACTTGCAATTTATAGGCAAGAACGGCTTTTGTATGTACAGTGGTAACTTGGTTTACAAACTTAATCTGTTCTGGAAGTCCGTTCTTAAAGAGTTCTTAAACCAAGGTGTGCTTTCCCATAGCAGCGGGGGACTCAATTTACAAATGGAACACACTCAAGAGGAAGTGAAACATGTTCTGCTTCCAAGGCGAAGTTCACGAACAAAAACACCTACTTCCGGGTTTGCAGCGTTCTTAATCCAAGTTGTTCATAAACTAAGCTGTTCTTAAACCAAGGTACCACTGTATTAACTTAGCCTAACCTACCTCACAGGGCTGTGGGAAGATAGCCTTGAACTCCTGGAAGGAAAAGCAGGGTACAAACATGTGGTGCTATAAATAAAAATATAAACATTAGCAAAGCCAGAAAACCGGCCCCTACCTCACTTTGACTGTAACATTTCATAGTTCTGATATTTACAGCAAACTGCCAAAACGAAAACAAAAAAAATTGCCAGCTCTGGTAAAAGTTGAACTAGGCATGACTTTTTTGGCTTATCATTAAATCAATTATTTAATGTTATAATTTAAGCTATCTTTTTAAAAGACAACTAGAGAGAGGTTAATTCAGAACTCCGAACCACATGCACAGTGAGAAAAATTGGCAAGGCTGGACAATAATACCTTTATGGGAAACGGTTTCATTCATTTTCATCACTGAGCTTAGTGTTCTGACAAAGCATATAATCCACTTCCCTCCTTGCTTTTACACCTACAGCTGTCTTGTTTCCAAAGCCTTAAAATATTTGCACACACAGAATGCTGGAAGCCAATCAAAGTGGTAGCTTGAAGGAATCGGGGGCTGCCATGAATACGAGCTTTATGCAACTTTGTTTTGAAGTAGGAGTGAGTCATAAAAATACAATTTCTACTTTCATTGCACTCAACTTTGACTTTACTGAGAAGGAAAATGGAAATCAGCAAAGCACAAGGCAGTTTTACTGGAGAGACACATCTTAATAATTGAATTTGAATAGGATCACTGGATCCATGTAAGAAGCTAAAATTAGCAGAAAGTACAGAACTGCATACATCATTATTGTTTATAAGAAGTGTTTTTTGTGGTTTCGTTTTTACATGATAGATGTTTCAAAATCCATTGAGGTTTTAGTATTGGGTGTAATTTACAAATTTCAATTCTCAAGAGTCTTCACAATAAAAAACACCTATGATACAGCTGTAGCATACAATGTTTTTAATAATTCTAATCCTTTGTATAGTCCTTTTTTTGAGCCCCAGGCTTTACACATGAGGATTGCACTCAGTAATCCTTGCAACGACCCTCTAAGTAGGTCAGTACTATGAGCCCCTTGTTTCAGATGGCGCAGGGGGTTAGGCAGAGACCACAGCACCTTGCGTAAGGCCATCTGCTTTATTTCCCCATGTAACTCTCCAAGAACACCATTACATAACATATATTCACAATGAGAGGTAAATCCTCACATAACTGCTCCCAAACAAAATATATATCCCACCCTAGTGCTTTTTGCCAGGGATTCCTGGTATATCATTGTTACGTGAGAGTAGCAACTCCAACAACCTAATATGCTTTTTTTTGAGTTGCAATTTTAAATGACTTGTCAATGGTATGTCCAAGAGGTCTCCCAAATGTTTTCCTTTCACTGAAAACAGCTTTTCATAGTTGCTGCTGAGAAATGTGAGTCCTATCCTGACAGAAAGCAAAGGTAGTCTTGTCAGTCCATAAGAGCAAGCAAAAAACCCACAGTTGGGCAAAAGCATTTATTTACTGGAACCAACCAAGATATCACAAAAGTGGCTAGATTTTTGAGTTCTCCAGAACTCATCAGGCAAGATGTCCTACAAAGAAGTGGGGAGGGGGACAAGGAAAAACAAAAATGAGGCTGGATTTTTCAGCCATGGCTCTGTGCATCCTTACTTTATTGCAAGGTAAGCAGACTGAGGGATGCAGGTGGCACTGTGGGTTAAACCACAGAGCTTAGGACTTGCCGATCAGAAGGTTGGCGGTTCGAATCCCTGCGATGGGGTGAGCTCCCATTGCTCAGTCCCTGCTCCTGCCAACCTAGCAGTTTGAAAGCACGTCAAAGTGCAAGTAGATAAATAGGTACCGCTCCAGCGGGAAGGTAAACGGTGTTTCCGTGTGCTGCTCTGGTTTGCCAGAAGTGGCTTAGTCATGCTGGCCACATGACCCGGAAGCTGTACGCCGGCTCCCTCAGCCAATAAAGCGAGATGAGCGCCGCAACCCCAGAGTCGGTCACGACTGGACCTAATGGTCAGAGGTCCCTTTACCTTTACCTAAGGAGACAGAGAACTGCTCCACCCAGCTGCTAAAACTGGAAGAGAACTACAGGAGCCCAATCAGGCCAAAAAGCAGGGACTTAACCCAATAGCATACACACAACTCTTGGTATCCTCCTTTTCTTTCTCTTTCTTACCCCCTCTTCCTCACTGCCCAGCAGGCTGCCAAGAAAAAGATAAAACACCCTGCACAGAAATCAGAACCGACAGCTTTGTTAATGTGTTTCTTTAATACAATTGCTACACTTAAAACAAAAACATTTCTCTGGGATGCATCGCCACAAACTAACCTCATTACAAAAAGAGTGAAAACAAATACATACTAGATTGGGCAAAATATTTGTGTGCATGGATCAAAATTCAAGTTGAAGCAGATCCAGCTCTGCTAATTGCCAAAATAGACCAAAATAGGAAAAGATGTGCAGTTGAGAACACCTAATCCCCAGTTTGAAATGCTCCACTGCTGAGTCAGTGCTGCTGAGATCATAGTTAGGTAAGCAGGTGTGATTCAGGTGAGTTTGCTGGCCCAACCCAGCAATAACTAGCTTTGCTGAGGCCTGAAGGGCTGCAGTAGAAATCTGCAAGGTGCTCATGATTGCTCAGTTTTAAAAGCAGTTCAGCTTTCCCAATGAAGGGGGATGACCCGGCTGCTGCTGATGTCACTATGGTCGGAGGTTGCGTTAGAATATTACAACCTCATTCTGAATGGTCATTAAGTACCATGCTATGCAAATGACAATGGGTTTGTCAGCAGTTCCCACACTTGGTTATTCCAGTACTGATTTGGGCTGTGTATAAATCAGTTCAGCTCTCAGCTGATCCATTGTGGTTTTTGATCTGCTGGGTGAGGTTTTCTGCTTTGTTTATTAACAGCTGCTTCGTTATTGGCCACCTAGCTGGATAAATTAGTATTTTAAAAAATGAAGAAATACGTAGGTGCTTTTGGTTAAAGAAGTCCTGGTAGGTTGGAGGGAACAGATGCCATTGAACACCACTGTGGAGTATCAGTGGTAGCACTTTGAAATTTTCTGCTTATTTAATTTATTTGTTTATTGGAAGTTCTATGCTGCCCTTCATCCTCCTCGAATCACAGGGCAGTTTACAAGATAAAAATGCAAAAATACATAACATAGTAGCAAACAAAAACAGTAACCCCCTCACTCACATATAGTTTAAAAGGCCAGGGGTTGTTTAATTAGCCAAAGACCTGGGAGAAGAGGAATGTATTTTCCTGGCGCCTAAAGATATGTAGAGAAGACATGAGCCTCGCTGAGGAGATCATGCCACAAATGAAATCCCTTGCCTGAGTAGAGTAGTGGCTCTGAATTTGAGCTTTCACTTGAGATGTCTTTGTTTCAAGGATTTCCCATCAGCCCCAGTCAATATGGACAGGGATGATGGAAGTTATAGCCCAAGAGCATCTGGGGGGCACTGCTGACCTAGAACTTGATCTGAAAATGTTAACTGGGCCTGAATTGGCTGGAATTTTCTCTGTTTGCCCCCATCTATTCCTCTCTATTAAGGATAAACCCAAAATCGAGCTTCCTGCTTGTTAGATCTGATGCTGGTATAATAGTTCTCTGGTCAAATCTAATCGTGTCCAGCTTGATTTTAGGCCAGCCCCTAAAAATATGATTCTCATTCATGAGTGGTCTATGTAACAGCAAATCCCCTTCTTTGGAGAGCTAATGGAGAGAAAGCCACAGAAAACCTTATTTGCCCACCATCCATTTCCTCTGCTGCCATTGTTGAGGGAGGGAGGGAGGGAGGGAGGGAGGAAGGAAGGAAGGAAGGAAGGAAGGAAGGAAGGAAGGAAGGAATGAATTTTGGTTTCTTTAAAAGGGCAAGTCTGGGCACAATGCATTGTCATTGCCCACCATAATACTTTAATACAATAACAAACCAACACAGCATTAATGAAGCTGATATGACTTTTTTCCCAACCTTGTAAGGTTCATTGCAAAACAACAGTGGGTGAAGGGGCAGACGAGAGGAGGGTTTGTGATATTTCCACCAGAGTCTAGTCGAGTCTTAGGCCAGCATCCCAGTCCTGCACTGCTTACAGTTGTGTGTGGGGTGCTATTTAAAGTGGGAAAAGCATAGTGTAAGTATGCACATTAGCCGAAGTGCTGGAAGATTTGTAAGTGATAATTAAAGCGCTTTAAGATGCGTGTGTGATGTATCTGCACTTTGTTCTAAGGTAATTTATGTGTAATGAGCTGTGCTGAGACTTCAGAACTCAGCATTGTGCATAAATTACCTTAGAACAAAGTTTAACCTACATTAGACTCGAATATCTGCCAAACCAATGAATACTGGCTGGGATCAGCAGAGCCGGAGTTACACAGGGATATTTGGAAGAAAGTAAATGACCCACATCGTTCAAGAAGCAAATTGAACACATACAAAGGGACAAGGCCCTTTAGCATTTCTCAAGATGGATGTCTTTTCCAGCACACACAACCCATATGCTGCATGATGCCTGTACAAAGAGGCTTAAGTACTCCATGAGCCTCATATGAGTGGGCTGTGCATGAGAAATCCCATGCTTAAATGTTTTTGCCTGGGATAGCCAACATGGAAAATGGAAAACCTTCATTTGAAGGATAACTAATTAAGAGATGAAGCTCTTTGGGCTGGTGAAGCAACTTTGGGCTGACATGTTGCCATACATTAATGCCAGCCTAGTTTTCACCATGCCTAGGCCTCCATTGCAATGTGAATGACTCAATTAAATGGGTTCAACTGACTGACTGATTTATTGATTTTCACCCTGCCTTCCGCAAAGTACCTTGAAACAATTTACATATGGTCCTCAAGCAGTCTCCTGTCCAGCCAGTTATACAGGCAACTTACTCAAACAGGCTATAAGCAGCACGTATTTTAAAATGCACAAGTACAAGTGTCGTGCTGACAGAGATACTGTCTGGTCCTCTGGTCAGGATGTTAAGTGCATGCACAATCTGGCAAAAGTCTATTTTCCTGTACAACTTGCAGTAAACCATTTGGTGCCTACATAACTGGGAGGGTAGCATTTCCCTACTTCATAAGCATATTACGGAATACTCTGACACTTGTGATGCAGAATTTATGGGCATCTCTAAGACAGGTGCAACAGTATCTCTCCTTGTGGTTTAGTCGTTTAGTCATGTCCACCTCTTCGTGACCCCATGGACCAGAGCACGCCAGGCACTCCTGTCTTCCACTGCCTCCCGCAGTTTGGGCAAACTCATGCTGGTAGCTTCGAGAACACTGTCCAACCATCTCGTCCTCTGTCGTCCCCTTCTCCTTGTGCCCTCCATCTTTCCCAACATCAGGGTCTTTTCCAGGGAGTCTTCTCTTCTCATGAGGTGGCCACAGTATTGGAGCCTCAGCTTCAGGATCTGTCCTTCCAGTGAGCACTCAGGGCTGATTTCCTTAAGAATGGATACGTTTCATCTTCTTGCAGTCCATGGGACTCTCAAGAGTCTCCTCCAGCACCATAATTCAAAAGCATCATTCTTCGGCAATCAGCCTTCTTGATGGTTCAGTTCTCACTTCCATACATCACTACTGGGAAAACCATAGCTTTAACTAAATGGCAAGGTGATGTCTCTGCTTTTTAAGATGTTGTCTAGGTTTGTCATTGCTTTTCTCCCAAGAAGCAGGCGTCTTTTAATTTCGTGACTGCTGTCACCATCTGCAGTGATCATGGAGCCCAAGAAAGTAAAATCTCTCCGGAAGTGTGCAATTGCACTTGTTTTTCTTCTTTATGATGGAGAGTTTTATTCGCTGTTTCCTGAAAAATCTGTTTGACAGATGGAATGGGGAGATCTGGTTTGCTCCCCCCTCTTCTCTCCCTAGACTTTCTGGAACCACATATTCTCATGCTGCATCAACTATATTGGCCAGGTTTGCTGAAGGAAATGACCGGCAAAGATACTCCTCCCATGACTTCTGCAGTTCTAAGCAAAGAAGCAGGTCTGTAGTGCTGCTAACAGAAGCAAAGCTGCTGCTGGCTCTCTGCTCCTCCCAAATTATCCCTATTAGTTGCAGATTTAACCTTTGGGGAGACAGAGCAAATTTTATTAAGCTGGTGCAGACTTTTCTCCTGATCGTAGGCACTGGGGTTTTGCTGAGTCAGGCATCTGTCACATGTCACCCTTTTGAAGAAACCATCACTGAGATGCACAAGCTACACGCTGGGGCTCAGCATGATCCTTGAGTTCAAGCTAGGGACCGGCAAATCATTCAGTTTCAATTCCTCTCCATTTCTCGTATCTCTCACTTTAAGTTTGTTTCAAAAGCATTTTTTAAAAGTCCCCCTGAAAATTCACCAGCATTTTAGTGCAAATTTCTCCCAGCAAACACATTTTCCATGCACTCTTGCTTAATATGCACAATTTTGCAAAGTGGCTTCTCCGCATAGAAGCATTTTAATATATTATGTTTGTGACTACATGTTCCTTGGCTGGAGAAGTTCAAAGGATGGCTATGTTTCGGTTCACACATTGTTTCAGATCAGAAAGTGGAAAGTAGGTAGGTCACCTGTAAATGTGGACAGAATCAATTCCCCCCCTCCCAAGTTCCAACTTTGTGGGCAGAGCACTTAGTGGCAAGATCTCATGCTTTGCATGCAGAAGATTCCAGTTTCAGGGCCTCTCTGCAGAGGTTTTGCCAGTCAAAGACAAGAGCAAAGTGAAAGGGGGAGAACGCGAACACCCTCTCTTCCTGCATTATAGTTTGCAGGCAACTCTTTGAACAGGCACCAGCGCTTATTTGCAGCACCCAGAAAACTCGTTCTACTTCAGATCCCCAGGATAATTTTCTTGGCGTGTTCTTTTGTTTTCAAAGGGTAATCCCGATGCCTTTCTACTGAAATTTTGTTCAGCAAACATCAACTATCCTAATGAATTATGGTGTGACTTAGCAGTGCCCAATTTAAAGCCAGGACAAGGCAACTAGGCCAACATTCATTTGCAAGTGGCCACACTGGAAGCTGAGCAGGCACCAATTCCCCTTATAAAAGCCCCTTTGAGATGATGCCTTGATGAGTTCCAGATGCCAATCAGCAACCCTCCCCCTCAGTTCCATTGTTTTGGAGCCAGCTGTACTGAGCAGTCCAAGACTGTCCAGTCCTTAACTCATTGGTTGACCAAGCAAAAGAGCATCCAAATGTGTTTTTAAATGCAATTCACAGGCACAGATGCCTCATAAGGATGACTGTGGAGTTTTAGCCTGGAAATATGTGGGCTGGGGAAGGGGAATGATAAAAGTTTCGTTTTTTTCTTGATTGTCCTTCTGAGAAACTCATTAAAACGGGAAGTTACAAAATAATGATTATGTGGAATTTTCATCCAAGAAAATCATACAATACAGATAGCAGTGGTTGGTAAACGTTTTGACTTGGTATGGCTGCAATTTTCAACTTTGCTGTTTTCATCACAGTAGGATGATTTGTTTAGGAAAGTGTGCCATTACAGATGTGCAGTGTGCCACTGTCTCCTCTCTAAGAAAAAAAAAGATCCCCATCAATTATTTGCTGCACATCTATGGACAGAGAAAGAGCTTCCATGTAAGAGGGCCCAAGTATGATTTTCAGACAAGATTGATGCCGTCTTGCTTATTTAGAAATGAAGTCATACCACATTACAGTGGTACCTCTGGTTGTGAATGGGATCCGTTCCCAAGGCCCGTTCGCAATGTGAAAAGCCTGCAACCTGAAGCGCCGTATCTGTGCAGGTGCACGGCGCAATTTGGCGCTTGAGCGCATGCGCGAAGCGCAATTTAGTGCTACTATGCATGCGTGAGCTGCAAAACCTGGAAGTAACCCTTTCCGGTACTTCCGGGTCGCCGCAGGACGCAACCTGAAAAAACGTAACATGAAGCAAACATAACATGAGGTATGACTGTACACATTTCCAGGGCTAGCCCACCCATGAGGAAAGATGGGGCAATTGCCACGGGTAGCAGGGTCCACCAGGGAAGCAGATCCTGATGTTGATCTTTCTCCCACCACCCCACCAAGTGGTTCCTGAAGCAGATCTTCCCTGGCCCCTTCTTCCCTGGAAGAGAGGAGGAAGGGGTGGGGTCATTTTGGGCTCCGCCTCAGGTACCAAAATGTATTGGATAGGCCCTCCACGTTCCTATCACATGGCATGCACCCTCTTGCCACCCTCTAGACTTCCTGCAGTGCAGTTGGGGCAGGAATGGTGCTATATGCTCAAACTCTCTTACCCCAGGGAGCAACCTGGCTTCTGAATTCTGCACCAGCTAAAGTTTCCAAACCATCTTCAGGGGCAGCCTCATGTATAACACAATGCAGTAATCAAACCTAGAGGTTACCAGAACATAGATGACAGAAGTTATCTCTGTCCAGATAGGGGCGCAGCAGGGCTATCAACCAAAGCTGATGGAAGGCACTCTGTGCCACTGAGACCACCTGAGCTTCAAGTGACAACAGCAGATCCAGAAGTACCCGCAAGCTACATACCTGTTCCTTGAGAGGGAGTGTAACCCCATCAAGAACAGGCAATCTCCCATCCATCTGGTCTAGGGACCCACCCACTAACAGTGCCCCAGTTTTATCTGGATTGAGCTTCAGTTTGTTAGGTCTCATCTAGCCTTTAAACAAGGCAAGACAATGCATCCATCACATCCACTGCTATACCTGCAGGTGTAAAGAATTAGATCTGTGTGTCATTGGGCATGTTGCTGACAATATTCTGCAAAACTCTGGAGAACCCCACTCAGCAGTTTCATGTAGAAGTTAAACAGCATGAGAGATAAAATGGAACCTGGGGGAACCAACATGGAAGCCTCCACAGGGCTGAAGAGCACTCCCCAAGCACCACCCTCTGGAAACAACCATCTAAGTAGTACAGGATGCACAGCAAAGTGGGGCCACCCACCTCTAACTTGGACAGCTGCTCCAGAAGGATACCATGGCTGATGGTACTGAAAGCCACTGAGATCAAGGAAAATTAACAGGGTCCATTTCCCCTGCCTCTCTCCCGAAAGAGGTCATCACACATGCTTTCTAGGCATGAGGCACGTGCAAGTCTGGATGACCCTTTACTTGAGCTCTCCAGCAAGTGTGACTTGTGGTTCTTCTTAAAGGCATCCTCTTCTCAGTGGCAGTGCCTGCACTTGTCTTCCTGCACACTCTGATCTGAAATCTATGGACTAGAAGAATTCTATTTTGGGGCTCCTGCATAACCAGATATAGGATCAAAATTCATATGTCAGTAGAGTACTCAAAGAATTTTATATCATCAAGCTGAAAGCTGTTGCTGCTGGTGGAAAGAATTTAAACCTCAATTTAAGCTTGGGGCAACTGCTCTAGGAAATAGTGAAAGATGAACCTAGTGCCTAGCTTCTCTGCTCTGTAATATATTAAATTGCACCAACTTCCAGCTACTGAAACATGGTCTTCGTGACCCTATGGATAAAGGTTAGTCATCCTAGCTTGCCGTTCTAAATAGACTTTAACTCCTTTTGTACGGGTGGAAGGGCAGGCATGCTGGTGGAAATCCAGCTCTTTTTGCAGATTTGATCAGTGCAATATCTATACAGTCATACATTGGTTTTCAAACGCCATGGGAGTCGAATGTTTTGGCTCCTAAAGATCGAAAACTGGAGGTGATTGTTCCAGTTTTCAGACATTCTTTGGAATCCGAATGCCCAACGTGACTTCCGCGGCTTCCAGCAGCCAATTGGAAGCCGCGCCTTGGTTCCCAAACGTTTTGGAATTCAAACGGACTTCCGGAACGGATTCTGTTTGACTTCCAAGGTACCACTGTACTAATAATTTTACTGCCAACATCTTTTAGTCTAGATTAACAAATCTAACTGCTAACAGCAATTACAAAGAGAGGCTCATTTCAGATACGTGGTAAAATAAAGTGAACATATCACATCATTTATTTGGAATGGCTACATTAATGCAAAAAGCAACATTAAGACAGCTATTTGCTTAAAAAGCATCCATCAAAATAAATACAAAATATTGATTCTACAAATAATTTAAACTATGTCTTTCCTCCCCACCAGGTGGTGTAGGATAGTCTTTGCATCTTATAAATATAAAACAAAATAGCAGTTTGCAAAGTGGGCCTCCTCTTCAGTTGGCCAGACTTTGTGTTTGTCAAAAGTTTCTTTGGTTTGCAAAAGCCTTTCAGCAAAGATCTGGCTCTCCTGCTCAGCAGTCTCATCAGATCCAAAGAGATCTAGCAGTCGCTGGCATCCTTCTTTGCTTTCCTTCATTGGTACCTGGCTCCGGTGCACTTGAATCACAGTCAAAGACACTTGGTCCTGTTGCCATCCAGAATAATGTTCTATAGATGGGGAGGGAGAGAAAGGCAAGAGGAAGTCAGCAAAATGACAAAGACCAAGTAGAAATCTCAAACTGGTTTTTAAAAGATTTGCCCAAATAAAAATAATAAGAGCCTTGTGGCATCTAAAAGCAGGGGTGGCCAACTTACAGGCTATGTAAGAGGTCATCTGTGGTCTCCATAAACACACTATATATTTTTTGAAATTATATTGCTGGTTTGTTTGTTTTTTAAATGATTCTTTCTATAGGTCCTCTGTTGTAATACCATGATGACAAAAAGTCCCTAAAACTCCCCCCCACCCTCATTTTTATAATAAACAAATGTTTTTGACTGACAATTCCCATGGATCCTGATGTGATTTTTGGCTGCAGCCATTTTGACTCATGGGCAACACTTTGGGAGTCAGTGTGGTCCTTGGTCTCAAAGTATCTAATCATCCTTGCCTGAAGAATTAACAAGTTGATTTACAGCAAAGGTTTTTATGGACCAAAATTTGCAAATGCTTTTGCCATGATAAACCTATTAATTTTTAATAAATTTTTAAAGCGTCATAAGGCTATTTTTGCTGCTGCAGACTAAAATGACTACTCCTCTGGTAAATGCCTGAATACAAAATGAAGCAGCAGCTAATGCTGCATTTCTTAAGTTTCAGTGTAGGTTGCAGACGAGTCTTTCTTCCATATAATTAGTGGGATTAGGGTGAGAGGAAAACAGTTGCTAGTGAATGCTTTAGGCAGAGTCCTCCAATTTGCAGAAACTAGAGTCAATGGAAATAGGAGCAGTACACTGGAAAAAAAAAATCCCCTCTTTTCAAATGGCATAGCAGGCAGCATTCAAAGTTGTCCAAAGGCACATTCACAATAAATCCCCGAGTTGACATTAGAGCACTAGGCAGTGGCTCTGAAATATTTACTGCCACAGACCACATGAAACCTGTTGAGGGTGTTGGCAGACCACTTAATGATTTTTCTGCCTGTCGTAGGAATTATAAGGTGCTGTGTGCTAGATGCTGTATGATTTAAATGCATTTTTATTGCTTCTTTTATTTCTTATATTATACTGTATTACATATACAATGTTGAATATAAGAAATAAAAGAAGCATCAAAAGTACATTTAAAAATCAGTATATTTAAAGTGATCAGTGTGCCGGCTCCTGCCTTCTGCCACGCACCCTGTGGACCACCTGAATGAAGCTCATGGACCACAGTTTGGGGACAGAGCATCTCAGCAATGCAATCCTAAACATATCTCCTAAGTCACTAACAGTTCAGTTTGTAGGAATTGTGATCAGGTCTGCAAAAAACTTGCTCTGGCATAATAAGCACTAAGAGCTTACAAGGCCATCAACCTTCATACTTTGAAGTATCCTTGCTGAAGCCCAACATGTTTTGCAGCTTCAAGAGCAACTGAATACACCTCCATTATAGTTTAATTACATTTTTACATGAAAGATTTCTGGTCAGTCAGAAGAGAAGCACACACTACATAGTCTATGTGGGCCAGCCCTATGTGGCACCAACAGGGCGCATAGAATTCTGTGCAGGAAAGACCCTTTGCCACTTTCCAAGAATCATGGTCTAGTTTCTCTGGAGAACATGGACTTTGGCCCGAAACACACATTCAAGACTTCTTGCTTACTTTTTTCCTGCCAAAAATCGCTCTCCCTGCAAAGCCAGTCCTCCCCCACCTCTAGCCTCCTCTTTTGGTTTGCAGCATACATGGCTGCAGTTTTGCAATCATGGACCACCACATGTTCTGTAATTGTTCTGCCCTTAAAAGTCCCAGGGGTGGCTGCTTGCAGGTAGCATCACCCTCATCTCGCTCCAGCTGAGTTAGCGCAAACTTCAGCTTTGCCTGCATGTTGCACAAACACATTTTGTGCATTCCGATAGCAATGGCTCTAAAAGGAAGCTGCCTTATACAGAATCACCCATCTCAGGGTTGTCAGCAGCCCCCTCGGTTTCCAGAGGGGTTTTTCTCCCACTCCTATCTGGAGATGCCAGGGAGTGAACAAAGCAGATGCTCTACCCCGGAGTGACTGCACTTCTCCTCCTCCCAAGTGCACTGGGCACTTTGGCTGACGCTGGTCCGCCAACAAGCGGCAAGAGGGGCTTGGGAGGAAGAAGAGAAGAGGCAGTTCAGCAACGGGGCGCCCTAAGGCCTGTTCCCACTTGGCGGCTGCTGGTTCTTTGTCTCCGCAGCCCAGGAAGCTCGAAGTTTTTCCGAACCCCGCACCTCCGGTGGAGTTTGCGGAGTCGACTTCGATCCATTTCCTTGTCCCTTCAAATCTCGCCCACCTCCGCCTTTGCTACTAACCTTATTCCAACTGCAGCCTATATATGCAAAAGGCTCCTCGATCGGGACTAACCTCCAGCCCACTTTAGTGCACAAAACGAAGAAGCCACCGGCTCACGATTGGCGAGCCCCCAGCCTCCCCTCCATCCCGCCGCGCATCTCCTGCTCCCTCCTTCACCTTTGGTCTCTCGCTCGGGGGCGCGCGCGTCGGGCTCAGGGGGCGCGCGCGAGGCGCCTGTCCCGGGTGGCGGCGGCCGCGTGCTCGGCGGCCTCCTGGCGGCTCTTGAAGTCCTCGATGGCGCGCTTGTTCTGGAAGTCGATGAGCGCCATGGTGATGGAGGCGTTCCAGCAGCTCTCGCCCGGGCACCGAAAGTCGATCTCCTTGCGGTCCGTCGTGACGATGGTGAAGTACACGTACTTGCCCGTCCGCTCCACGCAGTCCACCTTCTGGATGGAGCCGAAGCGCAGCTCCTTCCCGCCGCCGCCGCCGCCTCGGGCCCTGCCGGCCTCGGGCGAGAAGAGGCTCAGGCTGTCCTTGCTCAGCACCACCGCCTTCTTCTTCCACAGCTGGAAGAGGCTGTCGCTGCGCTTCTCCAGCTCGCCCTCGCGGATCACCTCCGACGGCGACGCGCCGGCCGGGCCCTTCATGCTGCTGCCGCTGCCCGCGCTCGCCAACAGAGCCGCCGCACCGAGATCGCCTCGAGGGACCAGCGCCAAGGCCACGCTCGCCCGCCTGCCCGCCTTGCTTGCCTGCCTGTCTTCCGACGGGGACGCTGGCCTCTCCCGCCGGCTCCGCGACGCTGCTGGGATCCGCTGTGCGCTTTGCGGGAGAAGAGAACCATTTATGGCCTTGGTGAGACGTCCCAGGCCCCGCCCTGCGAGCCCCGCCTGCCGGCTCCGTCGCCCCGCCCACGCCAGACTGCCCCCTCCCCGCGTTCTCTCTCTCAATTCCCCACGGTCTAACCCTGCGTCGTTCAACTCTCCACTGACAATCTTCTTTTAGCCATCATCACCACTGCAGGTGTTGCCCTGCAATGGTCATTGCAAAAGTGGGGTGCAGGACCTGACAATGACTTTCCCATCCCCACCCCCTTCCCAGCTAGGAGTGCTGGCTTTCACTAGATTCTCGATTATTATTGCACCTCACAGAGCCTAGGGCTTGCCGATCAAAAGGTCAGTGGTTCAAATCCCCGCGACGGGGTGAGCTCCCGTTGCTCGGTCCCTGCTCCTGCCAACCTAGCAGTTCGAAAGCACGTCAAAGTGCAAGTAGATAAATAGGTACCGCTCCAGCGGGAAGGTAAACGGCGTTTCCGTGTGCTGCTCTGGTTCGCCAGAAGCGGCTTAGTCATGCTGGCCACATGACCCAGAAGCTGTACGCCGGCTCCCTTGGCCAATAAAGTGAGATGAGCGCCGCAACCCCAGAGTCGGTCACGACTGGACCTAATGGTCAGGGGTCCCTTTATCTTTTTTTATGGCTGGTAGCCGAACATGTGACCTGATGACACTGAAAAACGTTGCATATACAGTATTTGTGATGGGCCATTCAGAGGCACATACCCTCACTTCAGCCCCATTCAGGTGCATGCAGAGCTGGGTGGAAACTGGATTGCCATGGCAGGCCTTGTTAGGTCCAGTAGATCCTATGCTGGTACCACTGAAGGTGCATAGGCCTGTGGACTCAGAGTCCTGCTTTTGGGAGAGGGGTTGGCGGGATTGACCCTGTCTCAGCCTTCATGAATTCATGGAGTGCTGGATCTTGTCTGCAAAGGGCTTTGATGTTGTAGCCAACACATGCAGAACATGCATGTCTGAACCAGCCCCAAAGGGATGCTTCACAGATGACAAATGTTTTGTGAGGTACAGTGCTACCTTGGGTTACATATGGTTCAGGTTACAGACTCCGCTAACCCAGAAATATTACCTTGGGTTAAGAACTTTGCTTCAGGATGAGAACAGAAATCGTGCAGCTAAAGTGGTGTTTCAGGTTAAGAACAGTTTCAGGTTAAGAATGGACCTCCAGAATGAATTAAGTTCTTAACCCAAGGCACCACTGTATATGCAAAAAAATGTGCACAGCAATTGCAAACGTGTATTATACACTTGCTAAGTGCATTCAACAAAGCACTGGAATGAAGTGTGGCTCCATAAACTGCAAAAAGAAAAAAGGGGGAAAAAGGAAAATGAGACGGGCCTGTGGCAGACAAAAAAAATGTGCACAGCAAAGCTGTGTTTGCAAACGTGTATTATACACTTGCTAAGTGCATTCAACAAAGCATTGGAATGAAGTGTGGCTCCATAAACTGCAAAAAGAAAAAAGGGGGAAAAAGGAAAATGAGACGGGCCTGTGGCAGACAAAAATAGAAAAGCAAAACAGAAATCCAACTGAAAATGTACAAAAAGGAATATGTAATTGAAATAGCCCACAAATAATAGGGAAAATTATTGGGACTATGTTGCTGCAGATTGATACCGTGCACAATAAATCATAACATAAACACATCAACTGATACACAGAATAATTATGAATTCACAAGGTGATTTTACAGGCACAAGTGCTGGACTTGTGGGTATACATGTAAACAGAGCTCTTCCCACTTCCCACTAATTCCAAATGAGCTCAAGAGCTGCATAGCTGAATGTTTAAAAACTGCAACTGCATGCCCAAGTGTTTTGATAGGGATTAAGTGTCCCAGTCTCCTGAAGTCTTAATGTACACAGACAAAAAGTTGTCGATTCCATGCCTTGGAAATGACGATAGGGACAAAGAAAATGACGCAGAGTACTACAGCAAGGGAGAAGATTAACAGCCAGTTCTTTAGTCTGCTGTTTCTTCAGCTTGTGTGGAAGTTTTATTTGGGATTGATTGTTCTCTGTGTTAAGAGAGTGAGCCACGAACCTGCAAGTCCCTGGTTTGACTTAGGTGAGCAGCCTTAGGAAAGCCACCTGCACCTCTCTCTGCCTCACAGCCTCAGTCCCTGCCACATCTGCAACATGGCAGATAATGGCCAGTTCCACTGGCAGAAGCCCACACAAGGGCTTCTGCTAGCGTAATGGGGCTTCCCCCCTCTTCCCCCATCCCCCTCAAATTGGCTCTCAGTGGGTTGGGAGAAGCGCAGAGCAGTGCACAGGAGAGCAGGGGGCGTCGTTCCATCTGGCAAGCCAAAATGCTTGCACTGAAGGAAGGATTGCCATCATGCTATGCTGAATTTCTCCCTGCAGTTTCTGACTTACAATAGCAGTGGATAACCCACCTCCTGCCAGAAGTTGGACTCTAAATTCCCATAAGCCACAGCCAGTGGTGCTCCGATGTGGAATGCCTTGCCTAGCTACCGTATGTTCACCTGCTTCCCGAACAGCAAAGTTTTTCTATGTTTCGGGGAGGAGTTTCCAGATGCCACCCCTTTACGCTATAAGTTGATCCTTGTTGAGACTGAGCAGCTGAGTATTCGTCACTGGCACCCCCTCTGCTGTCTTTCTTTCTTTCTTTCTTTCTTTCTTTCTTTCTTTCTTTCTTTCTTAAAACATTTTTATTAAGTTTCCATTTTACTGTATATAAATATAACACACTCAAATTTTTCACCTTATATTCCACTCTCGCGAGCACTTGACTCCCCTCCTTCCCAGCCCATGATTATCTTAAATTATATCTTTTTTAAATTGTATTTCATATTTCCCTTCTTTACTCTCTATTCAATTCTGATAATTGCAAAATTATGTTAATTATAAATCGGTGCTTTCTATAAACTATCAAGCTTTAAATCAGTCCTGTCAGTGTTGTTAAATGTTTACAATTATCTTTCAAATACTGTATAAACTTATTCCAGTCTTTATGAAACGTTTGATCCATCTGCTTTCTTTTAGATGTCTGGCAAATACGTTTTTATTCAACTGGGCCCTTCAAACACCTTGGTCATTTTAAATTCTGACTTTTTATTTGCTGCTTTTCTGCAATCCTATCCATAAGCAGTGGGCTGGTTTTATTTTCTTTATTCCCCTCAGAAATAAAGGCTCTGTGCACCATATATTTAAAGCACATTACCACCCCACCCAAGGGACGCGGCTGGCGCTGTAGGTTAAACCACAGAGCCTAGGACTTGCCAATCAGAAGGTCGGCGGTTCGAATCCCCGTGACGGGGTGAGCTCCCGTTGTTCAGTCCCTGCTCCTGCCAACCTAGCAGTTCGAAAGCACGTCAAAGTGCAAGTAGATAAATAGGTACCACTCCAGTGGGAACGTAAATGATGTTTCCATGCACTGCTCTGGTTCGCCAGAAGCAGCTTAGTCATGCTGGCCCCATGACCCATAAGCTGAACGCCTGTTCCCTCAGCCAATAAAGCAAGATGAGTGCCGCAACCCCAGAGTCGGCCACGACTGGACCTAATGGTCAGGGGTCCCTTTACCTTTACCAACCCACCCCCATTGAACCCTGTGAACCATAGTTTGTTAAGGGTTCTGGGAATTGTAGCCTGAGGCAAAGAAGAAGATGGTATCCTCCACTTTCCCTTTCTGTATTCAGAAACTGCCTAGAATGGCATTTGATGCTTCTTACTTCAATACTGGCGAACAGTCACAAGGCTGCTGCCCCCTACCCCCAGCATTGACGCCTGAGGCAGCCACCTCACTTTGCCTAATGGCAGGTCAGGCCTTGCTCTCCTTGCCTCTGTTCTCTTCAGACATTTTCTTTCCGCTCCTTCTTTGGCTCACTTGTACCTCGCAGGATGACTCGCCTCAGGAATGCGGCTGTTGCCTAGCCCACTATCTATGAGTCAGCGGCGGCCTTGGAATTCTCTCTGCAGGTTTCATTCAGCTGTTGGGCTGGGCCCCGGATAGTGGGAGAAGAAGAGGTAGGCCTTTTGAATGCAAATGCCATGGAAAGCCATTCTTTTGCTGCAGGAAACATGGAATATGACTTCACTTTTAGGTTCGCTAAGCTTATCTGATGGGACGTGGGTGGCGCTGTGGGTAAAACCTCAGCGCCTAGGACTTGCCGATCGCATGGTCGGCAGTTCGAATCCCCGTGGCGGGGTGCGCTCCCGTCGTTCGGTCCCAGCGCCTGCCAACCTAGCAGTTCAAAAGCACCCCCGGGTGCAAGTAGATAAATAGGGACCGCTTACCAGCAGGAAGGGAAACGGCGTTCCGTGTGCTGCGCTGGCGTGCCAGATGCAGCTTGTCACGCTGGCCACGTGACCCGGAAGTGTCTGCGGACAGCGCTGGCTCCCGGCCTCTAGAGTGAGATGAGCGCACAACCCTAGAGTCTGTCAAGACTGGCCCGTACGGGCTGGGGTACCTTTACCTTTACCTTTAAGCTTATCTGATCAATTTAGTCATGCTTTTCCTGTGAGGATGCTTTTAGAGGAAGACTTGGTCACCTCAATGTTTGCCCATTTGGGTTGGCTCCCTCACTGATGTGTTCCCTTCAAAAAAAACAACAACATTTCTTCATGGTCTAGGTTCATAGAGGTACAGTGGTACCTTGGGTTAAGAATTTAATTCGTTCCGGAGGTCTGTTCTTAACCTGAAACTGTTCTTAACCTGAAGCACCACTTTAGATAATGGGGCCTCCCGCTGCTGCCGCTGCGCTGCTGCTGCACGATTTCTGTTCTCATCCTGAAGCAAAGTTCTTAACCTGAGGTACTATTTCTGGGTTAGC